TTCACACTGATTCCAAAAATATATAGTTTGTATATACTTATGCCTGTAATAAGGAAGATAATATGCTACTTCCGGTATATAAAATGTCACTTCCGGTCTCAAATGATAGGTTAACCTATGATCATTCAAAAAATATATGGTTTCTAGGTACTTTTCCATGAAATAAGTGCAAAAAAACTACTTCCGGTTCACTCAAGGTCACTTCCGGTCTACTTTTTTCAAGATCATATGTCAACCAACAGTTTGCAAAAGACCCTATGGCTTTATCATGTACCAAGTTGGAGTAAAAATCAATTAACCTTAAATTGAATCATTTCAGGGACGATAACTCCTATAAATTATCATTGGATTGTTTCAGACCAAATGTATCATATCTTAATCACAATTAAGCAAACATTATGCACTAGTTCTTTAATTTGTAATTTTAAAAGTGACAGAGGAGATCAAATAACAAGGAAAAGTCAAAATTTAGAATATGACCTTGACCTTTGACCTTGGCCTCAATTTCATTTAAATGAACCAAGGAACTTAAATCAATATACCTTAGGTCTCTATCACTTACCATTCATGCTATACATTTATATATCCCTTATGTCAAATACAGAAGGGGAAATAACTCTCATATGGAGTTTACGTATCGCTTCGGTCAAAAGTGGACAAAACATCCCGAGGATATAACGAGCAATTTGGTAAAATAAATTTGTCGCTTTCTTATACGGTTACAGAGGAGATGCACGCACAAGGAAAACAGTGTTCGGGGAGATAACTCCTACAAAGAAAAGTATTCGGTTAAGCATGGTCAATTTCAAAGGCGCATAAACTGTTCGATATCATATACGAAACATCTAAGCGACATCTTACGAAACAAAAATTAAGCGCAAGAACAAAATTTGGCGGAAGAAAAAAAAAAAAAAAAACAATCAGAAGAAAACCAATTGGTCTTTCCACAGAAAAGTGGAAAGACCTAATTATTCTTGCAATTGTTTTAGTCTTCCGAAGGCACAAAAAAAAAAATTAAAATTGATAAGTTTAAGCATAAATTTATAATTGCAATCCCATGATTATCCATATTTAGCCATTTTCCATAAAAAAATTACACCAGATTAAATTGGTTTCATTTTAAGTAAAGTTTGTATCAAAATAAAATAAAGTTAGCTCCGCATCCTTGGCAGTCTGTTTGGTTCAAACTGAACTATATTTCGTAGTAAAAAATCTTTCCTGTACTCAAAATAAGCTGTTTTCAAAAGGCATGCGCGAAATCACCGGACATTTGAAGAAATGTCAAAACAGGGGTTTCCCTAATTTTGGACACACATTTATGGCAAGCCGTTTTACTATTTATTCTAACTTCAAGATATCTACAATAAACTTTATAAGATATCTCATATAGTTTATAAGATATCTCATATAAGTTTTCTTAATATGATATCTTTTAATTATATGAGATATCTTATAAACTATATAAGATATCTTATAAACTATATAAGATATCTTATAAAATATATGAGATATCTTATAAAATATTTAAAATATCTTATATAAAAAATATTTATAAGATATCTTATATACTTGATAAGATATTTTATAAACTATATGAGATATCTTATATACTATATAAGATATCTCATATATCTTATATACTATATGAGATATCTTATATAGTATATAGTATATATCATATAATATATATTAGATATCTCATATAATATATAAGACTTTATAAGATATCTTATATAGTTTATAAGATATCTTATATAGTTAATAAGATATCTTATATAATTTATAAGATATCTTATATAATTTTCTTTATAAGATATCTTATAAACTTTAGAAGATATCTTAAAAGTATATGAGATATCTTATAAAGTTTATAAGATATCTTATAAAGTATATACGATATCTTATAAAGTTTATAAGATATATTATAAAGTTTATAAGATATCTTAAATATTATATGAGATATCTTGAAGTTCGAATAAATAGTAAATCGGCTTGCCATACACATTACATAAAATCTTTAGGCTGAAGCCATACATAAAGAAGATTTCATGAAATTAATATATGTCATGAATTTGTGCACACAATATTATCCGATTATTAGTTTTGTGAGATTACCAAAATGAAGCCAAAAGTCTTAGGTGCGCGGATACACCGGAATGCACCGCAATCTAAACTTGTATGAAAGCAATTATGTGCAGTTTAGTTTTTTACAAATAAATATATGCAAGGGACATTTTAAATCTAATAGTTTTTAATAATAATTACAAAGCAAGATTTGTATAATTTTGCAACGTCAAAATCAACTAACAACATTAACCGTCTTCAAAAGTACAGATATATGTAATTATACCTGAATGACAGCTGTTTACTTGCATGAATTCTTTCAATAGTTAGTCAATGTGGCGAGCTAATCAAGCCTAAAGCGGTATTAACTGTTAAAAATCAACTAATTCATAGAAGTAAGGTTTTATTATTCAATATCTAGTAACGGATTATGATAAATTATCAATCTCTTGAGGGAGTCATAGCGAATAACGTATATATAGAAATGAAGATAAGTTGAAATAACAAAATTGTCTATTCCGAAGAAGGTCTCGCATTATTGTAGAAAAAATCAAAGCAGAACTATCACAGAATGCATTATTATAGAAAGAACGATCCACTTACCAAATTATTTTATTGTACTAAATAAGAAAACAAAAATGAACAAGACAACAGAGTAGTAGACAACAGCCTCACAATATGTTGCTTACTCAACTGCAGACAAATGCATTATGGTCTAGGTTAGTTGTCGTTATAAACTTATCAACTGACTTACAAAAATTCAAAAGCACTTAAGCATGACTAAGGGATACAGTACTCGGAAAACTTTCATTTCAACTCAATAATCCTTACTGTTGCAGACATGAAAAACAAATCGTTTAGATACGGTTATCAAAAATTATTTACTGTGATTTACAAAAACATATTCACTTAAATCATAGGCAGTGCCAAATCTCTAACTAAATTGATGGTATGACACCCTTGTGAACAAAGAGTACACCAATAGCGGTGTCTGTAACGGTTATATAGTGAATATGTATGCCATCTTGATCCAACCAAGTCAATACAATACGTATATAATCGTCCTGAAAAGAATAACCTCTTTTGTCTATCGTAAAAAAACTCCCTAACAAGTCAAGATGAAAAACAGCAATAAAGTTGCAGTTCCTATGATGTCTTGATTGTTTCCTTTGAATTCATGGTGATATTTTCTCATGAACCTTATGTTCTTTCTTTCACTTAACTTACTTTATATAAATAGAGCGTTAAAACGTATTTCTAAATAAAAATATTGACAGAACCCAAATATCTTATTGATCAACTTTTTTCGATTAACAAAATTCAACAGATTTGCTAGACAGAAAGCAATAAAAATGTTAATATGAAATAGTTACGGAACATTCTATCTGGTTATAGTTTCTTCCTCTTTTTTGTTCAAATGCTTACTTTTAAGTTTTGCCAATAACACGTTAAATCTATCTGGAATGATTCACTTTTAGAGCTATAGTGCTCATAAATATACATCTTACTGTTTAACATGTTCATTTGCCTACACATTTATACATGTGTACATCAATAGTGTGTTGACTTACCAATATATGTGTGTTAGTGCTGTTTTATGTATTTTTTTCTGCGTCAAGTAGTAATCTTTAGGTAGATCGAATGTTTTCGCCATTTTGGATTGTAAAATAGCAATAAAATAATCGGTCTAGATTTTTAATGAAATATGCAAAATTTGATTTGATTTTGATTTTTGATTTTTGGTGTTTTAACGCCACTTTTAAGCACCGCTTTTGGGCTATTTCGTGGCGGCCAGTTTTTATTGGTGGAGGAAGCCGGAGTGCCCGGAGAAAACCACCGACCTTCGATAGGAAAACTGACAATCCTAGTCAATAAAGATTGGAGTCGAGTGCACCCGCACGAGCGGGGTTCGAACTCACAACCTCAGTGTTGACTGGCTAGTGATTACAGTAGTAACTACTTAGACCACTCGGCCACCGAGGCCCCTGCAAAATTTGAGAAAAGAATGCAATTAATTATATCAAAATAAAAAAAATATGTCTTTTGTCTTATTACAACTGTAAATATATATTTGAGTTCATTATTTGTTTAACTCAATCATCTAAGGGTACATACACATAATACATGTAACTGAGATAGTCTAACTTTTATACAGGAATGCATGTACAGTCAATTTACCTATTTTGTTTTGTTTTGTATAGCCAGATTCTTGTAACCCCATTTTATTTTTATTTTCTGATAGCACATTAGAAGACCTATCTTGAATACTCTTCTCATATTTCATTTTCAATTATATCATTTATTTTTCTTTCTATTCACACAAAATTGGGGTTTCCAAGTATAATCTTTACAAAATCTGAAAATTTTGCACAACCGGTAGCATGAAAAAGAGCCCCGTGACATTTTCTTTTGATTACATTTTTTAATGGATCAACAATATTTTGGCAAAGTAAAATCACAATAATTTAGACCCCCTGTCTACGTTAGCTAATTTCTCATACACACTGAAAGCATTTGGTAGTAGTAACTGAGAGAGAGTTTAAACCATTTTCGAAAGCCATGCGGATATTCTTGCACTGTCGACGATTTAATATTCAACTTTAATCACCCTTTCCGAGTACTGTTTTACGATTTCTTGCATATACTTTCCCCATAACCAATGCAGTAAAATCCACAAACTCAAAACAAGGATGCTCCACTAGTTGTTGCACAAATCATTGAGAACTAAAAATCGACGATAAGTCATAAAAGAGGAAAGCAAGACGACGAAATTTTAAGGACCATGACAAATGGAACAAATCCGTCGTACCTCAACCGTGGAAAAAGAGAGGATTTCCTAATCACAAACAGTTACCATTAATCTTGTATATTTTCAATGTAATTGAACAGTAATACTAAAAAAAAAATTAAGCTGAAACTTAAGATTTACAACATACCTGATGAAAATCCGTACTGGACAAAATGAGGACATCGAATATCTGCAATACTTCCAGCATTTGCCTCCGAAACACATCCAAATCCATCCCATGTTTTGGGACATTGCACGGTGAAAAGTGGTTTGTGCGTTAATTGTCTTTCTGGAACTTGCGTCTTGCAACATTCAACAGCCGACAGGCAGCAACTTTTCCATCTTTCACAATTTGTTTCATCCAAATATTTACAAACTTCTAACGTAGCTCTAGTATTTGAAACATCTGGAATTAATCCCAAGTCATTATCTTTGGAAATAAGTAAGGGATAAGATTTATTCCTGTTTGGAGTAAGACGAGCTGAATCTTGAAAGAGGTATGAAAAACAGAGAGAACATGTCCACAATTTAAAAATACTTGCATTGAAATATCCAAAAGTGTCCCGACAGATATTTTCCATAATCCTTGGATATTTTACTTTATTTTATCTTTAATATTACGGAATGTCTCGGATAAAAGGAATTCCAATTAAACAATTTAAAATGTACTTCTACTTGTAGAAACCTTGAAATATTAAATACCGGAACGTTATTATTGGTAACAATGAAGTACCACCAATACCGTCAGCTACATAGCTTCAGTTGTAAGTTGATCGTTTTCTTCGCCAATACAGTAATAACTAAGTGGAAAAAAGACAACGAAAGATAACAGCGATGAAAATCGTATATAGAATTCTCACGATTTGCTTATTAATTGGTCATTATAGAACACAACTTTTACTGTTATGGAGACAGGTGTTTCTAGTTTTATGTAAAGCTAATACGTAAATACAGTCCATTCAGATGTAGAGTATGGATAAGTCTTTTTAGCGTAGAATTAACCATAGCAACTAATACTGTGTACATACTTAACTTACTAATTGTTATTTCCAACTCAGATTGAACTGTAATATAGCTATGCATTCAACACGAGTCCTTTCATCTGTAATTGCATGCTTTACAACCAACAAATAAAACTAATTACTGTATTTAGCCTCGAATGATCATTTTATATTCAATAAGGGTTCCTTAGAAGTGACTATAAAAAAATATTATAAAATAGTGCATATGAAACTAATAACTGTCTTGTATTTAGTCTCGAACTGATATTGCTATAACAATGGTAATCTCCGGAGTTCCGTCGAAATATACCATATTTTCAATAAAACCATATACATGTATATAGGTATAGAGAAGATATTTATGTACAATTTGAAGTGACAATGAAAATAATATACAAATTGCGTACATTTGGTTTCTTTGATTAGTATGCTATTATTTTTACTCATTTATTACCAAAATTTCATCGACGTTTGTTCATAGCGCTTTTATTTATGACTGAATGTCAAACGGTATCATTAGTTCAAAGACTGGGTGGTCAGATGCAAGCGATGTCAATTTCATTGTTGATATACTTGATGGAAAACAGGAGATGCCAATATGAGTGATTATGATGAAGTCAACATTCTTGCAAAAAACAGCATCACAGGAAGCAAAAGACATATACAACTAGAAACCAACATCATAGCCTTTCACGAAGTCAAACAAGGGACAAACATGAGCGTCGCTAAAAATAACAGAGAAGATGGGAAATATGAGAAAAAAGCAAAGACCTGTATGAGAAGATATCAGCCTTCAATCATATCATCTTTTGTGCCCACCGAACCAAAAGATATTTCAGCATATTTGCCCAAATGAAAATTGGATAATCAGAACTCAATTATAACAGAAAAAAAGTAGACAAATCCAACGCCAATGAAACCTGTAAATGTCAATCACCAGAAACACCTCACCATGTTATCCTCGTGTGTTCCTGCAAGGGAAATTATGTATAATTATGACATAACGAAACAGGCCGGGATAAGAAATACCAACTTATCAATATTACTAATCAATATTGATGGCGACAACAACGAGGAAACAAAATTAAAACTAGTTGCCAACTTCATTGACCTGACTGGCCGTTTTAATCCTCCAAACCCTCAACCTCAATCTTAAACAGCGTAACCAATTGAAGCACAAGATGAAAAAGCAACAGAGTACACCTTCATCCTAGATAGCAGTTGTGCCAACAGGCCATAAGATTGAGGTTCACATTTTAATTAAGCGCAAGACAAATCAGCTGATAAATAAGACTGGTAGTAGAAAAACGCAAAACTGAAAATACGAACACAATGCCTCCACAATCAGTATTTTGAACAAAAAAGAAATGACGGGGAACTTTTGGTAGGTTGTATAATTGCCGAAAACTCAGAGAAAATAGACCAACAACATACTAATGGCAAAATTTCTTCCTTCCCAATTATTTTACCTTATTATAAGATACTTTATGACTGGATACTAGATGAGGTTTGAACCAAGAAATCGAAGTAAAGGAAAGAAATGTAGGAAAACAGACAAGCTATGGAAAAAGAAAGATGTTAAGCCATTATCAGTAATATTAGTTCTTCGATAACAAAAAATCAAAATTATCCACTTGTTTAATGATTGTTGACTTAAACCGTTCTCATACACTTTTACATTTTCATGACAGTTACTTGTATTGGTACAACAGACCCTGTGGAACATATATAATACTGTATGATACCAAATTGAATCTAAAATATTCAAGAGACGTTTTTACATCATCGTCATGATAAGATCGATCATAAGGTATGTACATTTCAGTACTTATACAGTTTCCTAGAATATGATCTAATGTAGTGGACTTAAATGCAACTCTCCATCAACACAAACAATTCTTTTAAATGTAAATCTCCTTCAACACAAACAATTCTTTTAAATGTAACTCTCCATCAACACAAACAATTCTTTTAAATGTAACTCTCCATCAACACAAACAATTCTTTTTAAAGAGTAACAAATACAACAAGAATTTTACACTCGGTATCTGCACATCTTATCTGTAACTGAAATGTATATAAAACAATATTAGATGGTATTGCTTATCTTATCTTCCATTGTTATTTGGTAAATAAAAAAAAACACGATGAAAAATAATAGATTGGAACTTGTGATAGTTATAAAATCTTTTTACAGCAAGTTGGTTCAAATATATACTGGTTCAACCAATCTACTTGTATGACCATGTGTTTTTATTTTGTTGTTAGTTCTCGAGGAGTCAGTTGTTGGTGTGGTCTTGATTAATTTCTGTTATCTCTTTTATGTATTACATACAATGGTACCAGTAGATAAAAAGTTAAAATAACAAAAATACCAAACTCAAAGGAAAATTCAAAACGGAAAGTCCCTTCTCAAATAGCAAAATCAAAAGCTCAAACGAATGGAAAACAACTGTCATCTTGTCACTAAAGTTCACATTGCCATTTTTACAAATCAAGACAAAATCTTCAAGCTTACAATGATGGTGATGGGACAAAATAAACTGCACAGGTATAGATTGACCAAATATCTCCGACTTTTCAGTTCCTTCTAGATTCTTGCAATGTATGAACAGAGCCTATCAAATTGTATATATATCTTTGTAGACCACCTTCTGAAGTCTGTCTTTTATGACTTGTTCTGTTGTGTTGTCTACTTGATGCTAACCCCTCTAAAATATCGTGAGTTCATGTATCATCAGAATATTACAAAGGTATAAACAAAATGTGATCAACAAAGCAGTCACACACTTTGCCCATTTCGCTAGGTGAATGTTTAAGTTTCTCCATTTGAAAAGGTGAAGTATCTAAAATATCTCTTCGTATTTTAAAAGTAATTTCACATTTTCAACAAAATGTGTACTTTACAGAACTTTTAAGTATTACCAGATAACTAGCTCTTTTGCTCTACTTAAAGATCAAACTTATACGGTTACAGTTTAGATATAAAGATTTCAACCAACAACACAGTATTCAACTTTTTTATATGCCTTTTGTTTCCAGATACACAACATCTTAACATATGAAGGAACTTTACTACTAATATTCAAAATAATATTCTCATAAATTGCTTCTTTCTCAAATACATAATGTATAATACAGAATAATTGTGGTATATAAAAATAAGTCGGAATGCTTGTTTTAGAGCAACAGACGTTTGGAATATTAGAATTTTTTGGAAGATGTCACTGATTTTTTACTTGAGAAGAAAAGGGTTGCTGGACAAATATTGAGAAGAATAGGGGCTGCTGTACAAATATTGAGAAGAATAGGGGTTGCTGGACAAATATTAAGAAGAATATGAGTTGCTGGACAAATATTGAGACAAATAGGTGTTGCTGGACAAATATTGAGAATAGGGGCTGCTAAACAAATATTGAGAAGAATAGGTGTTGCTGGACAAATATTGGAAATAGGGGCTGGTAAACAAATATTGAGAAGAATAGGTGTTGCTGGACAAATATTGAGAATAGGGGCTGCTAAACAAATATTGAGAAGAATAGGTGTTGCTGAACAAATATTGAGAATAGGGCCTGCTAAACAAATATTGAGAATAGGTGTTGCTGAACAAATATTGAGAATAGGGGCTGCTTAACAAATATTGAGAAGAATAGGTGTTGCTGGACAAATATTGAGAATAGGGGCTGCTAAACAAATATTGAAAAGAATATGTGTTGCTGGACAAATATTGAGAATAGGGGCTGCTAAACAAATATTGAAAAGAATAGGTGTTGCTGGACAAATATTGGGAATAGGGCTGCTAAACAAATATTGAGAAGAATAGGTGTTGCTGGACAAATATTCAGAAGAATAGGAGTTGCTGGACAAATATTTTTAATGAATATCTTTGAAAAAAACCTGAATAATGACTTAATATTCATGGTATTTAGGAAAGTTGAAAATATGAGATAACACCTTCATTTTCTAGAATTTAAACAAGTACAAAGAAATCTATGAAAATCCAAGTCTTTATTGTGACCCTGTAAAATCATTTCACATAAATTAGATCTACCGGTACTCAATATGAAATAGAGCTTAGTTTTGTTGTGTAAATTGGTTGCTGCTACATTGATACCACAAAACTGTTTATGTATATCAATTCATTTCAGTACTAAAGAGGATTAGATATTATAAACCAGATCATATAACATATCTAACAGCAGAATGATAGGGTTGAGAGGGAAAATGAAGGCAAAAAAACTAGTCTAGTTTGGCAAGTTTATTTTAGTAAACTCCTGACCCTAGTCAGACTGAGATACAATATCTATATGGCAAACTTTTGACACAGAAATATATTTTGCAAGTGCAACATGTTAAATTTTCAACAAGTTTCAAAGTCAATAGACCAAGACTTTGGAGGGGGCCAAAATGATCTCCATCAAAATGAGATGTGCCAATGGTTATACCATTTTCTACCAACTATCATTGCCCTACCATTGATTGTTCCATTATAACTGACCTAATCACAAACTTTAACAATTGTAGACACTGTTGCTAGAAACCACAAGCCAAAGTCTTGCCTAGATGCTGATGCCAGAAACCACAAGCCCAAGTCTTGACTTCACAATATTGTCCAGGCAATTCTATAACATTAAGACAGAGGAATAAAAAAATCTAGTAGCTTTAATAATTTTTTTTATCACAGACTGTTTTACAATGTTTGATTCTGATCATTAATTATATAGGAATCTGTGTGAAATATTGTCATTGCAGTATTCAGTGAGGTTTTCCAGGCAGAAATTTTAGTTTTATAATCATCAACAATTCTATTATCCAGAGATGGAATATCCTGCACATTACGCCTGACCGTCCAAACAAACTCCTGAAATGCAGCTGCTACTTCTTCACTCACAACAGATAAATACATATCAGAGGACTGTTCTTGTCCATTGTCTGAAAAACAAAAGGCCAAAGTTGAGCTTCATGTTAATATTACTATCATGAGGAATTTGCACAGAGTACACATTCATAGGAACATACAGTTAGTACCTTTTTCACATTAATTCATATGTCTATTGTGTTCATTCACAAAAATGAAAAATAATCTGATATCTAACATCAATGTTGTTATCACAATATTCAGTAGATTTTTTTTAACTCTTCCTATCTTTTTAAATATGAGATTAATCCGTAAGTGTAGTTTATTTAGTTTTTGTTCTATGATGGTGCTAGTTTCTCAAATAACATTTCAATATATATATACTAGTTGAATATTTATTATGCATGTTTTATATTGTACTTTTTAGACTTTGCACACGAGGTTAGTTTTATAAGGTCTTTTAATGCTTTCACAGTTTGTAAGTTTTGTAGGGTCTATTCCTAGGTTGAGTGATTTTAATCTATTTTTTACACTGCACACAGGTTGTGAGTTTTGGAGGTTTTTTACCCTCCCCCAGGTTTTGTCTTGTAAAAAAATCAGTAAGTTGTTTTATGTTATGTATTTTGGATAAAGTCTCATGAACATATATCTATTTCATTAATTTTTTTTAATTATCTTTTTTTTTGTGAGATTATTGGAAGCTCACATAAATTTATTTACTATATCAAGTAAGTTTTTACATAGTACCTGTTAAATGCTGAGCAATGATTTCCTCTGTTTTAGCATATCCTGGCAAAACACAGCCTAATGACATGGCAGATGACAAAACATTAATACATCGCTGAAATTCTTGTTCAAGTAAATCACACCCATTTTTACTAGGATGACATAACACAATGGTCTGAAATAAACAACCACTACAAAAGTAAAGACTGAGGCAGTATTATGTTCTACAATATTAACTACACAACTTTCTCTAATTCTTACCCGATTTATCCTTTTCCTGACCTATTGATTATTTTTATTTCATCAACGTGTGGTTTGTTTGATCTCAGTTCTTCATTGGTCAAAATTCGATTATAATGTCAAATGTTCCTGCTGTCCTCTAAGTTTCCTATTGTGATGTCATGAAAAAAGGCAACCATGCCTGATGATGTCACATAGAAGGAACACATTTTTTGGCAGATCATTTGAAAAGAAGAATTTAGATTGTCTGTGTATCGTCTAAAAATCAATAGCGAAACAGATTCCACCACCTAACAAATCTTGTGCAATACGATATTTTTCCACTGTCACAAGTGGATAAATATTGTATCACACTTGATGCAGTGGTAGAATCCTTATATATCTGCTACGTTTTTATTGACATTAATATTCATCTCAGATTCGGAAAAAGTGAAGAATGTGTGTTTATCTATTGTAAATTCAGAAATTATTGCATGCATTTATTTAAAGAAAGGACAAAAATGTGAGATTAAATATTGCAAATTATTCAGAAAAATCTGCATACAGATGTATGAATTGCATATTAGAATGTGAGTTCTTATTATTTGTGATACTCAATCAATTGCATTATTCGCACTGATAAAAACCTCACAATAATTTCTGAATTAACAGTATTACAATTTTAAAGAAAAGCATGTATGTTTGTCTTTTAATGCACAATATTAAATGTGGTATCTTGTGAAATAGGTTGTTTTCACTTTATTATCATTGGTTTTGACATAATAAAATTCCTTTCAGTTGTTATAACCAGTCTGAAATAACTATTAGATAATCATATATCTAGTTACATAAGTTTAAAATCATTTTGAAGTAGTATCTTTTTAATATTTCTATATTTAATTTTTTTTTTTTTAATATTTTACACTAAGACAAGGGAAGTAACTCTTTTCCTATTTGATGCATGTTATGTTTTGGGATATGTTTATACAAATGTATAACCATAGGCTGAGATAGCAGAAGTTAATGAACAGTACAGGTGACACCAAAGCTGTGAAATGGAGCCATTCTTGTCCACATTTATTTTGACTGACCTTTAAATTTGATGACAATTTAAAAGTAGTTAAAGGTCTCAGTTAAATAAATTTAAGTTGAATGATTAAAGCTTTGAAGTTGTCTCCCATCATCTGTTACAATCAAGTGACCAGATAATTTCAACTTACTTTAAAATTATCAACCATGACATCACCTTTTATAATCACATGATTATATGGTTTCAGCATCCAATCATCACAGTAGGGTTTAACTAGTACGTTGCATACATTTGCCTACAATGAAAGAGAATCTGATCTCAGGTATCCCATTAATCAGAATTACTAGTTAAATTAAAAAAAAAGATGATAAAGCATTAAAACCATTTAAAAAATTATACACTTCGATTTTTAATGTATAACCATAGGCTGAGATAGCAGAAGTTAATGAACAGTACAGGTGACACCAAAGCTGTGAAATGGAGCCATTCTTGTCCACATTTATTTTGACTGACCTTTAAATTTGATGACAATTTAAAAGTAGTTAAAGGTCTCAGTTAAATAAATTTAAGTTGAATGATTAAAGCTTTGAAGTTGTCTCCCATCATCTGTTACAATCAAGTGACCAGATAATTTCAACTTACTTTAAAATTATCAACCATGACATCACCTTTTATAATCACATGATTATATGGTTTCAGCATCCAATCATCACAGTAGGGTTTAACTAGTATGTTGCATACATTTGCCTACAATGAAAGAGAATCTGATCTCAGGTATCCCATTAATCAGAATTACTAGTTAAATTAAAAAAAAAGATGATAAAGCATTAAAACCATTTAAAAAATTATACACTTCGATTTTTAATAACTCTCAAAAAGTTTTTTAAAGAATGTGAATGAATAGAAAAATAAAAATCAAGCTTTTCAGCTCATAGAGAGCATTAGCAATAGGCTTCAATATTTAACCAGCTGATTAATTTGAAGAAATAAATTAAAATTTCAACTTGAAAAAGTGTTTTAAGTCCATAAGTATATATGTATTACCAATCTTATTTATGGCTCAAGTGAATGAACTTCCTTAAGTAATAATGTTCATCAAATAGCTTCTTAAAGCAATAATGAATAATAAATATGATAAGGTAACCAAAAGCCCATTATTTATAGTATTTAGGTCTTCTAAGGAGAAAGTGGTACCCTGAAAAGATTTGTACACAGCTTTACTGACATAAAGAATAATATGTTTTTAAAAGAAGTGACACAGTTAACTCACATCTGTCACATTGGTGAGGTATGCCATCATACAAATATCAAACTGGTTAGCAAGACCTTGTAATGTTCTGTAATACACACCATCAAGCACAATAATATTTTCTTTCAGACAGAGATCTATTACTTCATTGCAGACTGATCCTTTAACAATCAAACAACGTATGGAATACTGAAACACAAGATAACTGTTTCAAAAATATTCATACAATTGAATCTAATTTACCACTTACATATTACTAACAATGAAGTGAATATGAGCAGTGAAAGACAAACACAAAATGGAATGATCATACAGTCAGTTCCCTTAAACTTTTTGAGGTTCAACAGAAATCAACACTCTGTGGTTAATACTTCACAGCTTTACATAATTTATCAGCAACTGTCATTTTATAGATATTAAAATTGTGGCAGCATATCAATGAATTATGAAGTAATAAACAAAAATACAAGTTTCGAGGCATGATCAAATAAATCTGGTATACAGTTGAACCTCATTTAGTGGAACTTGGTTGTGTACAAAAATTCAGATAAATCAAGGTTTCTTGTCAGTTCCAATAAGATTTAGCGTTTGATCAATGCATTCCTGACTCTGATGAGTCAAACTTGGTTGACTTGAAAAATGGTTTAAATAGAAATTATTTTAAAGTTCCCTCTTAGAATAAAACAAAATGAAGTACAGAAATTTTGAAATACTGGTTTAAAAATTCTAATCATTCTAATCATATACCTTTATTGAGCATCAAAATGAGTTTCCTTTTATATTATAACTTATAACTAAATGATAGAACTTGTGTAAAGATATTCAAAATGGACATCATTATATATCGGCAAAAGGGAAAGTATGATAAATGCTTCTCAAACTATTTGTTTTGTTCCACAAGTACTTCCAGTATTTCAAATTAACTTTAATATCTCTGTAAACAGATGTGTATTGTTTAGCCGGTTTTGTTTTTATGAAATTTATTTATTTTCTAACACTATCAATGCATATAAATTGGGAATTTATAAAACACATCTTCTACCTATCATATACCAGATTGGCAATAAAAGGTACAATAAAAATAACATAACTAAGTAAAATAGTTATGTCAGGTCCCTTTTGTTTTGACTTATCAAGGTTCGACTGTATCAAGTTTCTTATATTCAATCATTTGTTGTAATTTTACTTTTTCCTGATAAAAAAAAATGATATGTTGATTATAACTAGGAAATATTAACAAGCATACAACCCATGTAGTTTTGACTGATTGTACATGTTATTGTTGTTTACATGTTTTGTTTTACCTCGTCAGCACAGTATTCTCCCTAGTATTTCAAATAACACTGCTGTATATAAAATAGCAGTTTTCCCCAAAAATTGTAGCACCACATTTATAATTTCTATTCTTAAGTAGTCTATTCAGAAAGCACCAAGGTACCACAATGCTATTAAGCCTTGGGGAGAACACTGCCTGAGCATACTAACTACTATTTCCTTTACAATGTATTTTTGGAGTAAACTGTTAATAAGAAGGTGTAGTTTTTACAACAAGAAAGAGAAACATCACCATTTTTAGGATTTCTTCTATAGTGTTCAACCATTCAATATTCCTTTGATCTTCTATTCCCGTAACTCTGTCTGACAATACTTGTTTTGCTGGTAGTGATTTCTTATAACCAATATGTTTGTAATTATACGATATATCTCCATTTATTATCTGAAATGGAAGGACAGACTATATTGCTTCAGCAGTACGACATCTCAAACCATATACAACCTCAAAAAGTAATCACTCATTAGTTTGTCTTTACATCTCATAGGAGTTTTGTAGTGGTTACTCTGAGCAAAATATTCTTTCCCCTAAAACATTTTATCCCACAAAAAAAAGCAAAATTCTTAACATTGATTGAAATTAAAAGTATTGATTGATTTCCTGCACATATAGTAGTTGTCATGTAAAGTCAAAGTTTTTTATTTTATCATAAATAATTAGGTCATTCATTTATCTGATTATTACAAGTTGACCAGACATAGGAACGATATTTTTTTTTATCGAAAATGTGTTAGAAAGAGTAAGGAAGTCATTTTTCAAACAGTTGAAACATCAAATTTTAAAATGACTGTAGTACTCTTTACAGCACACTCATTGGGAAAAACAAATACACAATCTGTGTATGTGTCATCTGTGATAGGCAAACATTAGATAATTTATAATTTATAAGGCATCATTTGCCATATCTGTAGTTTTCAATCAAATTTCATGACCATCTTCACAAGTAAATGTTGAAGAAAAAGGTCAGGAGACATAATGGTTTTGTCATTGCTCACTAATTGAGTCACTATGGTTGCTTATAAGGAAGTGGGAAAACTAAAAATACTTCAAATTGAAAAAGATAATATGTTGGAAAGGGGCAGAAGTCTAGCATTCCAATAAGCCACCTACATAAACCCTTAAAAAGTTGATGCAAGAATCCTTTCCAGTGAAAAGTGAGTGGCTCTCTCCAAACAAGAGGCATCTGATTTAACATACAATTTTGATCTAGCCATATTTACATCCCCATCCTTTGGTCTCTGGTGGATAGTTGTCTCATTGACAATCATACCACATCATCTTATTTTCATATAGTTTGGTAATATGCATCCCCCACAGCCAAACTGACACCCACTCTGCATGGTTTTACGACTCCATTACAGAATTTCAGGTAAACATATGTCAATACTCCAGTAAACCCTAGTCTTGGGGGTAATACACAATTAAAGGGAAAGAGTTAACATAGACCACTATAGAATGAACAGAATCTGAACAGCAATACCATATGTAAAGTACAAAATGTAACCTACCACAGTGTTTATTGTGGTCTGGTCATATTTTGTAACTATATCCAAAACTTCTGTTCTTGCTTTAACAACAATACCAGGTACTGTTATAGGTGTCTGTGACAATGGTCCTTCTATACAGATACTATGTACACAACTGAAACAGACAAATACAATAATTCATTGGCAATGTCCCTTACTGGAAGGAACAGTGATAAGTTTGAAACAGACAAATACAATATTTCATAGGCAATGTCCCTTACTGGAAGGAACAGTGATAAGTTTGAAACAGACAAATACAATATTTCATTGTCAATGTCCCTTACTGCAAGAACATTGGTAAGTTTTAAAGTTTTTCTCTCTCAGAATAATGATATATCCATCCGTTTTCTATGTCCAAGGGCCACAACTTCAACACAAATTGATTATTCAACTTAAACAAAACTCCAATTGAATCTATAATTCTTATAACACCTATTTTTGATTGAAAGCTTTATCTTTGTATTATTTCTTTATGTTTGACTTTTGGGTACACTATCAACTTCTCAACATTTATATCTTATTTTCTCACTATACTTACTTTATACTAGCTTGCCCAAACTGTGTAGAATTCAAATCAAGACTGTCTATCAAACTATTCATCATTTCTTCTGATCCATGACTAAGTCCTAAAGCTAATGATATAAAACCAGCTTCTCTGTTCTCCTGGACAATATCTGGTGGTACATCCTTGGCAATACAAGTTTTCCTACTTAAACAACTACCACCTTCAGAACATGAGTAAAATGCAGTTCCTGTTTCTTTACATTGTACATTGTCCACAAATTCATCATCTATAATATGGTTTTTGAATATTCTTCTGTTTCCCATTTCCTTATATTTTTCTAAAGGTATCTCGTGTGTAGATTTTATAGTTCCATTACTAACATGGCCTGTCTCCTCTATATTGGATTTGTCACCTATTTGGCTAACAGATGAGTGTATAGTTTTATAATGTCTGCTACTGTTTAGAATTTTTGAAGCACTGAATTGTTTCCCTGTTGAAGATGTTATAGATTTTAATAATTTATTTACAGAACTTAAATCTGTTCCTTGTTTGGACTCTGTAGGCTGTGGTGACTTTGTTTTTAAATCAACACTAAGGACATTAGAATATTGATTAATCCCTTGAACCTGATCAGTAGATGTATTATTCAACAAAGTGTCAAAACAGTCATCAAATTCATCATCAGATTCACAATCATTAACAACTTTATTCTGTGGCCTCACTTTGACATTTGAACCCTTAAAATGTGATGGTTGTTGGCGACTATAAAGAACATCTGAATTATTGTCTTTGTTAATTCCTAACATTTCTCTGGACAAATCATCATCCAATAACCAGTCTAGCTCACTATGATCAGGTTCATCAGTTAATTGTGAATTCTCTGATTTTAGATTTATTATACCTTTTCTACTACAATTTACTCTTTGGTCCATTTCAAGGGTTTGAGGAGGTGTACCACTTAATGAATTTTCATGTTTGTCTTCTAATACCACCCCTCCAGCAACAGTACAGTTCTGTTTACTATAATTTTCTTTCTGTATGTTTTTTTTATATCTAGGTTTAGAAAAGTCTATTCTTATTTCATCAGCTTTCTTACAGCATCTGTCTAAAATCACATCCAAATTTGTATCTATGTAATCTGAAGGTACCCCCTAAAACAACAAAGTATATATACTAAATCTGGTTCGTAAGATAATATTACATACTTCTATTCAATCAATTTTTTCAACTAGCAAAAAAGCAAAATGAACATTCTAAAACTGCCTTCCCTTGGACAACAGCCATTTCAGTTTCGTGTCCTGTAAATTAAGCAAACAACTGAAAAAAATAAACATAAAAACCATGGCGTGCCATTTGGTGGCACTATAGCTATATATTAGTAACCTGAGATACAATTTTGGGTTGAACTTGTCACCTTTCTTGACTTATTGTGAGATTTTGACGATTTGATTTTATCAGGTGACTAGAATATGTCATTAAAATGAAAGTACATCTGATGTATCCAAATTTAACCTTAGATCCCTGTTGGTATAGAGACATTTGTTTCATGTTATCATTATTGTTTGTGGCTACCCAAACAAGTCTCCCACTGAAACAAAGATGTTTGTCTTGATTATTTGAGATTAAAGATGATGATGGATGGCTGCTTAATGTCCAGCGGCAAATTAATATGCATATTCAGGACGAGAACATGTTAATGTGATATGAAAATTAACCCTACTTTGGACTAGACCGACACACTGAGCCGGATTTAACATGCTAGTCAGGAGAAGCAGCAAATACCAATTTTCAAGTCTTTGGTTTGACCCGGCCAGGGTTCGAAACCCAAGACCTGCTGCACTCGAGGCAAACACGCTACCACAAGACCACAGAGGCAGTTGAGATCAAAGAATTGTTTACTCCTTAAGTCCACAAAACAGTGACACATCAGTTTTGTGTGCACATGGAAATTGAAAACTTAGCATGTGCTTCAGAATCATAAAAATATCCATCACTGGGTTAAAGTTTGCACATGTATACTTTTATATTTTTGGTTCTACATGATGATAAAAATGCAGTAAAAATAAAATTATAGCTATTTCAATTGGTACTTAACATCATGTTTTAAACAAATGATTTGAAGCAATTTATGGCTTCATATTATGAAAATTGATCTGTTACATATAAAGCATTAAATTAGCTTGTAATAGTTTTAATAGTACATTGTGTAACATTGCATGACTTACAGGTTCAAATGTTGATTTATCTCAACACATATGAAAATAAATGGGGAATGTGTCCATGGGACACAGATGATGCCCCCGTTTGCATATAACGTTATAAAGGGACATAACTCAAGAACTGTAAAAGTGATGCTACCCAAATTTGTACTCAATCTGAGTTTTGTGGTAATAAGCATTGTGTATAAGATTCATAACATTTGATTAAGGTAAACTAAAGTTAGAGAACGGAAACGAAAAATTCAGCAATTTTTGCATTTGTAAAGGCTCATAACTCTAGGACGGTAAAAGGTATAAAACCACTAATTCATAGCCCCATTGCTTTCTATGTTAAATTCTGCAATTTCAAGCATTAATGGCTACTTTGTCTTAAGTTCAAATAAAGTGGCAGTTATTTCATGTCAAAACTGTACCTTATCCTGACTTGTGCTGAAAAAATCAACATACCTTTAATTGTATATTAGAGCGTACTGGTTCCCGGAAGTTTGATAGTACAAAAACAGGAACTTCTGATCTGAACAACAGGCCAAATGAGCCCTCCTATTAAAATTTCATATACTTCTTTATTATCCAAATAAAACTTTCAACAAGGGTTCTACAGTGATCCCAAAACCCCAAGCTTTCAGTTGATACTAAAACTACCCAAATATTCCCACTATTGACAAAGATACAGCTATGCGTAGGAACTATTTTGTTTAAAATATGTACTACTTTCTTGTATGTTCTTTCCGACCGGGCCTGAATTAGTGGTTCTATACCTATAACAGTACCAAACTTGTTATATTGACTTCTGCTTGACCTAATTTCCTTCTATGATCTATTTCTAGCATAGAAAAACACATCAAGCATTTGTCAAAACACTATATCACTGAATTCAAGCTCAAATTAGACTGGTAGTAGCATATGCGTTAAACAAAGAAAACTACATATGGATACTACTAGTGACAGATATGACACTATTTCAATTTTTACCAGTTCTGATTTGTTAATATCTACTCAAATAACAGTGTTCTTACCTATATGTCTTATTTTTATCAGAGATTCTTCCTTGAATATAAATACAGTGGTCCAAACATAAAATATAATTGATAATTTTGTCCCCCCTTTTTTCTACATGTTGGAAAAGGAGAGTGATTTGGTAAAAAAACATACTTTTATGTATAAACATGGATCAACAAGAGCAATTTATGTATCTCCAAGCTAGACAACTTGCTAAAATGGTTATAAAAATGCATTTCAAGTGAGATTTTGGAATTCCTATATAAGTATACACCAATTTTCCTTGAAATAAATAATTCACTATGAAAGACAATAAAACATGAACACTCAACTAGATAATTTGACCAAAAACAATATTTATACTGCAAACTAGTCATAATATACAAGTCTCGTTGGTTTCAGTGTTAGATACTCCAAAAATTAAAATTTCAGGTAAAATCTTAACTGTGTGCATGCTAAATGACCAAAAAAGGCTAAAATACCTTAATGTAGCAATTTGAGGGTTGTAATTTGACACTAACATAATTGTTACATAAAAAAAATAATGTAACATGATTTCTGACAACAAATGTGACCAATTTTCACTGTAAAGGGTATGATTTCTAAAAATAGAATTTCACATGCCTGTCAGTAATAGGTATAAAACCACCAATTCATAGCTTTCTATGTTAAATTCTGCAATTTCAAGCATTAATGGCTACTTTGTCTTAAGTTCAAATAAAGTGGCAGTTATTTCATGTCAAAACTGTACCTTATCCTGACTTGTGCTGAAAAAATCAACATACCTTTAATTGCATATTAGAGCATACTGGTTCCCAGAAGTTTGATAGTACAAAAACAGGAACTTCTGATCTGAACAACAGGCCAAATGAGCCCTCCTATTAAAATTTCATATACTTCTTTATTATTCAAATAAAACTTTCAACAAGGGTTCTACAGTGATCCCAAGTCCCCAAGCTTTCAGTTGATACTTAAACTACCCAAATATTCCCACTATTGACAAAGATACAGCTATGCGTAGGAACTATTTTGTTTAAAATATGTACTACTTTCTTGTATGTTCTTTCCGACCGGGCCTGAATTAGTGGTTCTATACCTAAAAGGGAAGCCACCAAAATTCATTCTTGATCTGTGCTTTGTGGTAATAAGCATTGTGTATAGGTTTCATAACATTTGGTTGAGGCAAACTAAAGCTAGAGAATGGAAACAAAAAATTCAGCAATTTTTGCATTTGAAAAGGCTCATAACTCTAGGACAGTAAAAGTGAAGCCACCAAAATTCAATCTTTATCTGTGCTTTGTGGTAATAAGCATTGTGTATAAGTTTCATAACATTTGGTTGAGGCAAAAATTCAGCAGTTTTTCCATTTGACCAATTTTTCCATTTGTAAAGAGGAATAACTCTAGAATGGTAAAAGTGACGCCACCAAAATTCAAACTTGATCTGTGTTTTGTGGTAATAAGCATTGTGTATAAGATTCATAACATTTGATAGAGGCAAACTAAAGTTAGAGAACAGAAACGAAAAATTCAGCAATTTTTGCATTTGAAAAGGCTCATAACTCTAGGACGGTAAAAGTGAAGCCACCAAAATTCAATCTTGATCTGTGCTTTGTGGTAATAAGCATTGTGTATTAGTTTCATAACATTAGGTCGAGGCAAACTAAAGTTAGAGAACAAAAAACCAATTTTGGGGAGTACTGACGGACGTACAGACTGACAAGGGTAAAACTTAATGCCCCCTCAGCTACGGCAGGGGGAATAAAAATTTCATATTTTGTATGAAGAATGTCCCATAACTCTGGAATGAGTAATCAGGAAATCATAAAAAAATTAAAGGGAGCTTATAAGCTGTGAAATTTTCCACACATTTCCTATGATTCAGTAAAAGTAAACATATGATATATATTATCACACCAGACATATGAAACATTCCAAGTTTTTCACAATAAAAGTCACTCGTAATCTGGAATGACTAATGACTAAAACATATTTTCTTTATGATTCCCTTGCTTTTGGTGTTTACATGGGTGTGTAGTGAATTTGTCTCACGAGTTGATACATCATATCATTTCTTTTCCATTCTACAATAAAAGAAGAGAGTTCCAATGTCCCCCGCATTGCACATATTTTATCTATCCAAAGATCAAGGGCAATAACTAATAAATAAACTTTTTTTTTATTCTTTAAAATTGTTGATAAATATCTTAGAGAAATGAATGCTTCAGAGCAAATTCCATGTGATTTCCAATATAATTAATATTTCAAAGGGGCATAACTCTTTAAAAATGTTTGATCAGCATTTACTCTCAAGTGTGTCAAAGACATGGCTGATATAAACCGATAATATAAATTTCATAAAATTCTGGCAAGAATTGTACACATGAGAGCAATAACGATGCAATTTTCTGTGTAATATTTCCAAGGGGAATAACTCTTTTTTAAATAATTGATCGGCACCTATTTTCCAAATCATTCAAGACATCGCTGATATAAATTTACAATATAAGTTTCATAAAAATCTTGCAAGAATTGTACACATTAGAGCACTCACAAGGCAATTTTCCATATAATTAATATTTCCAAGGGGCATAACTCTTTTAAAAAATTAGAGGATCTGCACCTATTTTCCAACTCATTTAAGACATTGCTGATATAAACCTATGATATAAGTTTCATAAAAATCTGGCAAGAATTGTGCAAATGAGAGCGCTAACCATGTAATTTTCCATATAATTAATATTTCAAAGGGCATAACTCTTTTAAAAATAATTGATAGGCACTGATTTTCGAAGTCGTTCAAGACATTGCAGATATAAACCTATGACAGATTTTTATAAAACTTATGTTTTATGAAAATCTGTCAAGAATTGTACATGTGAGAGCGCTAACAAGAGAGGATGGATGGATGGACGGACAAACGGACGCCCAGTATTTCTATGAACCCCCTGCAACGCGTTGCACGAGGGACAATTAATATGTGCATTTGATTTTCACAGTATATTACTATAGATCCTTACCTTGTCTTTGAGATTCCTGCAGACTTTGACAAACATCCCAGTATATTACTATATATCTTTACGTACCTTGTCTTTTAGATTCCTGCAGACTTTGATTGACATGTCAGTATATTACTCTAAATCCTTACCTTGTCTTTGAGATTCCTGCAGACTTTGACAGACATGTCAGTATATAACTCTAGATCCTTACCTTGTCTTTGAGATTCCTGCAGACTTTGACAAACATCCCAGTATATTACTATAGATACTTAACTAGTCTTTGAGATTCCGGCAGACTTTGACAAACATCCCAGTATATTACTATAGATACTTAACTAGTCTTTGAGATTCCGGCAGACTTTGACAAACATCCCAGTATATTACTATAGATACTTAACTAGTCTTTGAGATTCCGGCAGACTTTGATAAACATTCCAGTATATTACTCCAGATCCTTACCTTGTCTTTGAGATTGCTGCCGACTTTGACAGACATCCCAGTATATTACTGTAGATACATACACTAGTCTTTGAGATTCAGGCAGACTTTGACAGACATGTCAGTATATTACTATAGATAATTAACTAGTCTTTGAGATTAAGGCAGACTTTGATAAACATTCCAGTATATTACTATAGATACTTACCTTGTCTTTGAGATTCCTGCAGACTTTGACAGACATCCCAGTACATTACTCTAGACCCTTACCTTGTCTTTGAGATTCCTGCAGACTTTGACAAACATCCCAGTATATTACTATAGATACTAAACTAGCCTTTGAGTTTCTGGCAGACTTTGATAAACATTCCAGTATATTACTATAGTCTATATAGCCTTACTTTGTCTTTGAGATTCCTGCAGACTTTGACAAACATCCCAGTATATTACTATAGATACTTAACTAGCCTTTGAGTTTCCGGCAGACTTTGATAAACATTCCAGTATATTACTATAGTCTATATAGCCTTACTTTGTCTTTGAGATTCCTGCAGACTTTGACAGACATGTCAGTATATTACTCTAGATCCTTACCTTGTCTCTGAGATTCCTGCAGACTTTGACAAATATGTCAGTATATTACTATAGATACTTAACTAGCCTTGAGTTTCCGGCAGACTTTGATAAACATCCCAGTATATTACTATAGATACATACACTAGTCTTTGAGATTCCGGCAGACTTGATAAACATTCCAGTATATTACTATAGATACTTACCTTGTCTTTGAGATTCCTGCAGACTTTGACAAACATCCCAATCATATAAAGCAGAGTTTTCACTCCACACCCATGTTGCTGGTGAAATGACTGACAAACAGATATAATAAACTGTCCAACAGGATGCTGTAAAATTGTTAAATTTATGTCACACATAAAGAATAAAAATTATCCTAAAAAAAATATTTCAGGATTAACTCATACTTCACGATTCTTGAAACATAAAACTAAACACCAATCAACCTTGTCATCTTTTTCATTTTAATTGTTACAAAGATATACATTATATATCAACATTAGCAACAACTCTAAACTTAGGCTGAGGTTTACTTTTAGTCATTTTAACATCAAAACAAATTACTTCAGTGTACTTAGGAAACACCACTTCAAAAAAGGGGGGGGGGGGGAGGGGGAGGAGGGGGGGAGGGATATGGTTTTTTCCTAAAAAAAATTCTGATCCCCAATTTGCTGAAAAAAAATATTGTGGTCAAGAAGATGACAAAAAAAATATTCTATATCCAGTTTTCCCATACCTTATAATGTTAAAATTTTTTAAAAAATAATTTGATTGATTATAAGCGTCGAAAACTTTTAAAAAATGTTCGTGCCTTGCGCAAAAAAAATTTCTGACTCAGACAAAAAAACCATAACCCCTCCTTGAAGTTAAATGGTTGCTCCCTTCACACGTAAAATTTTCATGGTAAAACATTTTCGAAAAATACTGTACAGGAAATTACTCACTAATTCTGCAGATTTTTAGTTGACCATACTTTTGTGAAAAGGATGCCCAAAATGACCAAAAAAGAACATTCCTAAAATATGTAGATAAAATGATGAAAAATATATAACCCTGGTAATATGGTAGAAATAGATGGAAAGCTGTCCTAATGAACTACATAAACTGAACTCATTTATAAAGGCATACACTTAAATTGTACAGTAATTTAACCAGTGTTTATCAAATAACTGCCTAATCCAAATAAAATATATAGTTCTGAAAGGTTCCATTTAGCCAATTTTCAAGTTGTTTTTCTAATAAAAGCTTACATTTTTGCCTGGGTAGAACTAAGAAGGAATCGGCAGTTAATTCCAACTGGAAGTTATATAAAAATAAGAAGATGTGGTATGATTGCCAATGAGACAACTCTCCACATGAGACCAAATGACACATAATTAACAATAGTTTGTTTAAGTTGAAATTATTTGTTTGACCTTTTTAACAGCAAATATTTGATAGCAAATTTTTCATTAGGGAGCTACCATTTGATTTTTATGGGGGGGGGGGGGGGGGGGGGGGGGGGGGGGGGGCTAGGATGAAATTTGAAAAAAAGGCAGGACAGGAGTTTTGAGTAAAAAAAAAGGCAGGATGAGAAACTTGGCAAAAAAAAAAGGAGGGATGACAATTTATGTAAAAAAAGGCAGGACTGAATAGAGTGAAAAATAAAAAGGCGGGACAGAGATTACAACTAAAAAAAAAGGTTGGACAAAATTTTTCATCCTAGCCCCCCATAAAAATCAAATGGTAGCTCCCTTAGTCCTTGCAAGTTGCACTCAACATCTAAAAAATTGTGTAACTAATACCTGTTTAAACAGATTTAATTACCCTAATACAAACTAACCTGCACATTTAAAGCTGTTAACAGCATACTGGTTTCTCTTATAAACAGGCTATGATTGTTATCCACAACACATTTTATACTGGCAATATAAATTAACACAATAAATAAACTTGCTTTCTGTATAACAATACATATAAAATATTATTATCAACTATTTACAAAGTGTTATTTTCTAGCACTGTGTTGATACTTCTTCTGGTAGGCTGTTAGTGCCAGAGGGTAATGTCAGCTTAGAAGTCAGTGCTTCAGTACTCATAATAAACTCATCATATAAAACATACCTATCTTAAAATCTGTTAATAAATTTAGAAATTATTAAGAAACTAAGTTTCCAACTCTCTCAGGCAAAGTTGACCTAAGGATGGTTAGACTATTCTTTTAAGGTCCCATTTGGTCATATGTAGCTTAATTATGCAAATAGTTATATGCCTTTATAGGAGGATTTGGCTATTCTATTTAGGTCCCTTTTGGTCATATGTAGCTTAATTATGCAAATAGTTATAGACCTTTATAGGAGGATTTGGCTATTCTATTTAGGTCCCTTTTGGTCATATGTGGCTGAATTATGCAAATAGTTATAGGCCTTTATAGGAGGATTTGGCTATTCTATTTAGGTCCCTTTTGGTCATATGTAGCTTAATTATGCAAATAGTTATAGGCCTTTATAGGAGGATTTAGCTATTCTATTTAGGTCCCTTTTGGTCATATGTAGCTTAATTATGCAAATAGTTATAGGACTTTATAGGAGGATTTAGCTATTCTACTAAGGTCCCTTTTTGTCATATGATGCTTAATTATGAAAATAGTTATAGGCCTTTATAGGAGGATTTAGCTATTCTATTTAGGTCCCTTTTGGTCATATGTAGCTTAATTATGCAAATAGTTATAGGCCTTTATAGGAGGATTTGGCTATTCTATTTAGGTCCCTTTTGGTCATATGTAGCTTAATTATGCAAATAATTATAGGCCTTTATAGGAGGATTTGGCTATTCTATTTAGGTCCCTTTTGGTCATATGTAGCTTAATTATGCAAATAGTTATAGGACTTTATAGGAGGATTTAGCTATTCTATTTAGGTCCCTTTTGGTCATATGTAGCTTAATTATGCAAATAGTTATAGGCCTTTATAGGAGGATTTAGCTATTCTATTTAGGTCCCTTTTGGTCATATGTAGCTTAATTATGCAAATAGTTATAGGCCTTTATAGGAGGATTTTGCTATTCTATTTAGGTCCCTTTTTGTCATATGATGCTTAATTATGAAAATAGTTATAGGCCTTTATAGGAGGATTTAGCTATTCTATTTAGGTCCCTTTTGGTCATATGTAGCTTAATTATGCAAATAGTTATAGGCCTTTATAGGAGGATTTGGCTATTCTATTTAGGTCCCTTTTGGTCATATGTAGCTTAATTATGCAAATAGTTATAGGCCTTTATAGGAGGATTTGGCTATTCTATTTAGGTCCCATTTGGTTATTTAGCTCCTCACATATTCAATACGTTATACATCCTTGAATTTCAAATTTTTGGGTTTGAGAGTTCCTGATGAAGATAAATTCATTAAAGTGCTTGTCATTCATTCACACAGAAATTATAGACTTCATCATTTCTATTGCATGAGCTAAATTTGCAATATGCTATTCGGCACAATCATTTCCCTTCAGTCTTTGATGACTATAAATATTCATTTGTAGTTCCCTTTATTTTTAGCATATTTCTTACAGCTTTTTTCCTTTCACTTTTTTATAACTGTGTGCCTTTTTTTATATAGTCATGACATATGGAGTTGAAGTGAAATTCTGTTGTAAACACGTTAATGAAAACTGGAGTCATTCAAAAAAAAAAATAGAAAATCAGTTTAGTTTCTGGTATATAAACTACCTCAACTAAGAAGGATTAGCCATGCATGGCCAAGGGTCTCCAATTGCTTAACATAGACATATATACTAACAACACATATTTTTCCTTACCGATACATACATACATGGCTAACTCTCCTTGGTCAAATTACTTTCAGACATGTTAGAAGTAGATTATTTCTAAATATTAAACGTTCCATGTATTTCTGATTTCAAAATTTTTCTAGTTTCAAATAATCCCGTGTTTATAAATTTTTAAGGATCTAAACATAAGGTTGTATAGATTTTACTGCAAGGCATGAAACATTTAATCTTTGTTGAAATCTCTAAGTAACAGTGAATATGAAGAGCAGCAACAATTTTTTAATATTTACTAATTTAAAAAAAACAACTAAATAAACCATACCTGTTTTTTGTTCCCAATGCAGACTGGACCAAACTACCTTAAATAAAAAATTAAAGAAATCTTTTTTCAAAATAAGGTCATTGTAGCCCATTTCAAGATTATGAACCTCTTGGAACTTGTTATAGTGCCATATATATACTTGAATTTTTTACATTTCAAATCAGGTTTATTTGAAATTTTCTTCAAATTCATTACAGCTTCTTTGCTGTGAAGGTATTAACAAGTTGTGTATGTACAGAATAGAGACTTACACTATTTTTCACCTTCCAACATCGTGTAGGACAAGTATCAGTAAGAAACAAATTGAAAGTGTGTCCCTGCACAGCACATAGATACAGAAATTTGAAGAAATACCAGAGAACTTCTAAGTTGTACACAATTTTCTAATTAATTATGAACAGATTTATCATGCTCGGAGGGGTATTTGCAAAAAAAAATGAGATAAGGTAAAGTTTCCAGTGCCACTTGGCAAAGAAAATTTCTTTCCAATATAAAAATAAGGTGGGTATGATTGCCAATGAGACAACTATCCACCAGGGTCCAAATCATTTGGATATAAGCAACTTTTTCACAAAAATATCCCTCCTTAAACATGATAAATCTGTTAAAATACAACAAATCTCAATGGAGATTGTTAAGGTAAAAATTAAAAAATTTAATTCCCTTTATGTTTTGCTATCAAATTATTAGCCAAAAACATGAAAAGAGCTGCATTTAATAAAGGGCACAAATGAGCCTCTGTGGAGGGTAGCAATGCTTTCTCTGTGGAGGGTAGCAATGCTTTCTCTGTGGAGGGTAACAATGCTAAGTGTTTTGGCAAATACAGCATTCTCCCTTGGGCCTTTTAACATAATATCAATGTCCAGTGGCGTAGCTTGCATTCTGTTATTACTCAGGCAGGGGGTCTGGGGTTGCAGCCCCCAGAAGCTGTTGAGGTTTTGCAATTTGAACAAGAAGAATCTTTTAAAAATTATAACAGTTGTTTTATTTTATTTCATCATAATAATGTTAATATGCCTTACACTAAGTTATACTACAGATTTATTAGTTGATTACTGGTACCTACATCATTTTCAATCAACAGTTCAGATGAATACATAAATGTTCTCAAATACATTTACCACTATTTCAAATTGAATCCTTTCAGTGAACTAAGATTTTAAATTCTTTGAGAATAAAAGGAGATGGATATGGGGTATACTTAAATGCATGTCAAACAATACAGCTAAGAAACCATGTCAACTTACGTACAGAATTTTTTTTTAAATCCAGATTTCAGCTAGTGCTTTACAAGTGGAAGCAACAGCAAGATTCAAAACGTGCACTCTGCAATGATGATAATATGCTCTTGGTTGGATTTGCTGTATGCAGGTTTTAATACCAGAAACTTTACCAGACATTACGCTAGCACCATTTCTTGATAAACAAAGAAATAGATACATGCTACATGAAAATGCACCACAGCCAATTTATTGGTTGGGTTTGGCCCTGATATTTTTTGGAAGGTCTTCAAATTCTTACATGGTTTTCCCATTGTGAAAGTGACAACCGTTGAAGTACTAACGGAAACATTTTCGTTTTTTCTGAAGGGTTTGAATGCAGGACTTCAAATATTTATTTTAATCCTTTTTGTCCATATTTTGATTTCCTTTCTTTTATATTTAAGCACCATTTTAAGTCTCTATTCTTTTAAATTTAAAATAATTTCAGGGCATGTTTCTGTATTCTGTAAACCTCACCCAGACCCTCATATACTAGGAATTATTCTCACACAAAATTAATAATTTACAAGCTCTTGAAATGGATCATCATCTGTTCTACTGATTTTGCTTGGGGTAGGATTAAAATTTTCAGCTTCAATTGTGTCGATTTCTTTTGACTCCAACATATTTAGAAAACTACCGCAAAGGGGTCGGGATTTCCGGAGGGAAATGTTTCCATAAATCTTGCATAACTCCCAAAGGGTATTAATCAATAATGGCAACAAGACAATATACAAGTTGGTTTAGTAGCGAGTCTGTTCTGCATTTTGTGAAAAAAAAAAAAAAATTTTAATTTGTTTTTAATTATTTTTTTACAGAGGCAACTTTCCTCGGTTGCCTCAATGTAAGCTACGCCAATGATGTCATAAATATGATGCTATCTGAAATGATTTTCTTATAGATTGTGTTATAAATGTGATGCCATATTTCCTAGAAACAAGCATGACTGTGAAGATGGTATTGAAATATTCCTTGTTTACCAGGATGCTATATGTATATGAAAATGAGAATGCTGAAATACCATGACAAAGGGTCAGAAAAGAGATATATCCTCATGAATTTGCACAGATGATGGTGAAATATAAATGAAAACATATAAAAAAGAAAACACATGAATAAAAACACAAAAGTCACAAGCTTTCAAAATCAAGGATGCTTAATTATTTAAGGTGTAGCCCTGCCACATTCTTTAAGTGGCTGTCCCATATCAGGAGCCTCTAATTCAGTGGCTGTCCCCAAGTCAGGAGCCTCTCAATCAGTGGTTGTCCTAAGTTGCTGTCTGCCATATATATTTTTTGTTAATTTTTAAGCATAAATCAGATCCTTGGTTTTCTCATTTAAATTGTTTCATATTTTGTCATGCCAGTGCCTTTTATAGTTTATTATATGGTATGGGCAGGGCTTTCAAAACAGTTGTATTGTCCGGACAAGTCCGACAAATTATATTCTGGACCGGTTGTGCCAAACCTGAACTGGCCATATAACCTAAGTTTGCCATATTTAAACAATTCAGAAAAAAATTGAAGTTTATGCGATATTTTTGACCTGACCTTTTACCTTAAACAGCATCACATTTCCGGTCATAAAAGTGACATGATAAATAATAACTATAAAAGTAACCCCTACTTTAATATCCCCATCATTGCAATCAAAGGGAATTAATTGACAGCTGAAATTTACCTGTTAAGGCGAGATGTAAACTTTTTTTTCAATCTGTCTATTTCACTGGTTTGCATCTATTTAATTTAGTCTATCAGAATTCGTATCAAAACATCATTTGATGATACATTTAAAAAGACAGTAATAAATGTGAAAAATCATCAGAACCACGTTGTACGAAGTGGTGTGCATGGTGTGCGCATATGTGCAGGTGCGAGATTTAATTATGCATTCAAATTCTTCAAAAATACTAAAAATATCATTGATACCTTTATCTTAAGTTCATTTTAGGTATTTTTTTGAAATAATAATGTGAAAAGAACTACTTAAACTCAATTATCCTTTGTAAATGAGCACGGATTTTACATATCTGTCTTTGGTCTGTGTTTTACCATTGGGAAATCAACATTTGGTATTAGGAAAATGTGCCTTTTAAAAACAAAAGAAAAGGTTGTGACACCAGGATTTTGCATTAATAAAGAGTCTAAGCCAGATATTAGTAGACTGATCAGTGATGTTGCACACTTCGAATCATGCATTGTCAACGGAACATTTTACATCAGAACATCATTTTATATCAAGACAAAAGACTGTTATTTAGTCTAACATGTCTACAGATTAAAATCAGAATAAGAAAAAAATGTCCAGCTGGCCAGAATATATTCTAGAAGCCCTGAATTATGGGCTTTGCTAATTGTTGAAGTACAGTGACCTATAGATGTTAATAATCTTGTCCTTTGGTTTCTGGTGATAGTTGTCTTATTGGCAATCATACTTCATGTCCGTATTGTTTATATATCCAGAAAGCATGATTTTCACTAGAAATCACATTGTCTCCTCAGGGAAACAAACCCAGGACCCATGCATTCTAAAGGAATCAGGGTTTGTTTGTCCAAAATCATGTTTGCCCCTAATACGTTCGCACGCTGGGTCTGTTCGCGACCTATACGTTCGCAAACTTTTTATTGGTTTTGAGTTGAATAATTTTTTAATCATGTTTCAGATAGTGTATTGCTATAAATAAGTATTTTTATTGTTTCAAAATAAAGTGACAATCTATAGACGTAAACAGGTTAACTTTAGTGTTTAGTTTATCATTTGGAAGAAATGAATAATGAATAAATAAATGGAAAATGTGTCCCCATGGACACCGATGATGACCCCGTTTCCATACAACATTATAAAGGGACTAACTCAAAAACAATAAAAGTGATGCTACCAACATTTGTACTAGATCTGAGTTTTGTGGTCATAAGTATTGTGTATAGCTAGGTTTCATAATGTTTGGTGGGGCAAACTTAAGTTACAGAACGGAAACTAAAAATTTTGCAATTTTTCGATTTATAAAGGGGCACAACTCGATAACGGTTAAAGTGACGCCACCAAAATTCAACTTGATCTGTGTTTTGTGGTAATGAGCATTGTGTATAAGTTTAATAACATTTGGTTGAGGCAACTTAAGTTAGAAAACGGAAACTAAAAATTTTGCATTTTTTTTTTCATTTATAAAGGGGCATAAATCGAGAATGGTTAAAGTGACCCCACCAAAATTCAAACTTGATCTGTGTTTTGTCGTAATAAGCATTGTGTATAAGTTTCATGTAATTTGGTAGAGGCAAACTTAAGTTAGAGAACGGAAACTAAAAATTTTGTAATTTTTTCATTTATAAAGGGGCATCACTCTAGAACGGTTAGAGTGACACTACCAAAATTCAAACTTGATCTGTATTATGTGGTAATAAACATTGTGTATAAGTTTCATAACATTTGGTTGAGGCAAACTTTAGTTAGAGAACGGAAACTAAAAATTTTGTAATTTTTCCATTAATAAAGGGGCATTACTCTAGAACGGTGAAAGTGACGCCACCAAAATTCAAACTTGATCTGTATTTTGTGGTAATAAGCATTGTGTATAAGTTTCATAACATTTGGTTTAGGCAAACTCAAGTTGGAGAACGGACACCAATTTTGGGACGTACGGATGTACGTACTACGTACGTACAGACGGACAAGGGTAAAACTTAATGCCCCCTCCGCTACGGCAGGGGCATAAAAATTGTCAAGATGATCAAGGCAAAGTTCAATCATCTAAGACTTGTAAAAGAAAGCGGAAGATACCAAACGGCTATAAAACTTGTCACAATGACATTGCCATGACAACAACTAATTACACAAAAATATGGGCACAAAGCACATGCTTTTTTTTAAGTGTTCATGGTGTTGTATGTCATCTATAAGTATCTACAGACCATTTATTTCCACATGCAAAGAAGATTGAAGGTACCAACATATATATGTACTTATATATATCAGCACAACAATGTTAAATCTGCAAATTTGCAGAGGCAAATTTTTGTTTTCCCTCGCTGGGATTTGAACTCATACTATTGGGATATCTAGACAACATCGCCTGCACTATGTCCAGCGCTCTAGACCACTCTGCCACCTAGACTGAACTAAAAATTCAGCTTTCGGTGGCCTAGTGTTACCTTTCCTCATTAGTAGAATTTAGAGTTGTAACACAGTACATGATATATGAGGCATGAAGATGGAATTGATTGCAGATTAGCTAACTTATCTGTCGTAAAGGATCGTAAAATGCAGTCACAGAAATAATTATTTGATAAGTACGTCTAAACAAGTGACAACTCAATAATATAATATGTGTTTTCAGCCGTGTATCACCTTCACTCATGTGATCCACTGGATGGATCTGTCATAGAGTTGTCACTTATTTAGACGTACTTATGTACTTATATATATATATATACTTAATTGGTGTTGTATTACATGAATAAGTGCAACCATGACAGTACACATGTATACTGAGACTACTGACAAGTACTGTGTGATAGCAGTCTTAGACTTAGATGAAGAATATACGTCATAAAAAAATTCGAATTGAGAACAGCTTTTATCATTTTGACCTATTGTCGGAAATGCTTGCATTTACTTTGTGAATAAAATTTTAATTCTTTCACATGAGTTTTGATAATTATTCACTTTATCGTACAGATAGATAAAATTTTCAACTCTTGTTGTGCAGCAAACATTATTACAAATTTGGAACGTTACGAAATGGGGAGAGTAACTTGTTTTATTTGTATTGTATTTTTGTAAAGTCTAGAGAATATTCGAAATGAAAATTAATCTCTTCACGTGATTTTGTTCATGTGACTTCGTTTGGTAGGAAATACAGGGAACTGAAAAGGTAGATATTGTACCTGTGCACTTCACATTTTACCTAAGGATATTTTTGCATGCAAATACCAACTGCATTCTAAAGTCAGGGTATTTATAAAGAAAGTTAATAATTATCTAATGTTAATAGATTAATTCAATAATTGCATTACAAAAGAAGAATAAGGTTAGAAAATGCATGATACCTGGGACTATTATACTAGTCCCAGATGATACACAACAAGGATGTATATAAGACATATATGGATATATGTGCATATATGTCTCTGCATATAACAAGGTTTATAATACCTTGTTCAAATATGTAATAAACAAACATGAAATACTATGTTTGATTATGCATACGATTATTATAGATTATGCATACGATTATTATAGATTCCAAATCTACCAGGGCTATAAAAAGCAATAAAATAAATTACCCATTTTAGTATTCAAAAGGTCCACAAGTTCAAAAAACATAATGAGATGTTAAACATAAAATGCATTCTTATGGGAATATATACAAAATAAATTATAGACACATGATAGATCAGACTGTTGGTTTTCCCATTTGAATAATTAATTCTTTTCAAATTTCGTCATGCTGGAACCTTTTATAAATACATTGTAAATGACTATAGTGTATGGATTTTGCTCATTGTGAAGTCCAAACATTGACCTATATTTTTTCACATCCTTGTCATTTGATCTCTGGTGGATAGTACTATAGTTGTCTCAATGTTTATTTCCTTATTTTCTATATAATATATGATAACAGACAATGACAGATAAACACATTTAAAACTCATATCAACTCAAAGAAACAATTGCTGTTGAACATGTTGAAAGTAAAATACCTGTTTTAGAGAATAATGCTAGCACACAGATTACTGATCAAGAGCAGGGCTGCCAAGTCTCACGCAATTAGCGTGAGACTCATGCATTTTCATGCATATTTGGCAGCATTTTCCTTTGATCTATTGTTTTTTCTCTTTGATCTTTACAATTTTGGCCAAATCTCACGCATTTGCTTCATGAAAACTTGGTAGTACTGCAAGAGTGTAGTCCAGGATGAAATGGTCTTTACCAAAAAAAGATCAAACAAAATCTACGGAATAAACAAAATAACAAAAGTTACAGACATATGTACATGTATTTGTAATACCAAGACTCTTGTAAAGAGTTGAGAAATTGAACTTACCAAATTGATAAAGTCATAATGAACATACATGTACACAAAATTGTATGTAGCTTCTACTTTTACTGTAACAATCTGCAAGACAGGGGTTTTAGTATCGTTCATATGGACTCTTACAACACATGTACAAAGTCTATCTGAATCATTTTGCAAAGAAGTCTGCTCAAACAGTCGATAGGGTCTGTTTTAAACTTGTAATTAGTTTTATTTTTATCCATGTTGAAGGCCTCCCTGTCACTTTTGAGATGAAGAACAGCAATGAAGGACTGTTCCTGTACTTTTTGTGTGTTTTTTGCTGTGCATGTACTGATTTTGTGTCATGGATGGATACTCCATATCCTTTGTTCTTCTATTACATGTAGTTCTTTTCCCATTTTAGGAGCTAGGTACTTTTCATAATAGATTCTCTAAATTATCTACATTTGTACATGTACATTTGTGAATAAAAATTCCTCAGAGGGCTCTTGTTTGTCCAGAAGTCTTGGCATATTACCCAGGGTTCTCACTAAGAATTATTGTAGGCAAGTTCAGGGACTAGACTCATCGTTTTTGGCCATGGCAAGTCCAGTAGTGAGAAAAAATACTATGTCATGTATGTCATTGCTATAATATGTTATTTAAGTTTCAGTGACAAGAAGAGCATTCAAATAACATCAAATTTAGATTGATTTTTAACTTTGCTACATATACAAATGTAGAGGAAATATATATGGGCTCAGCTGATGCAAAATTGTACATTCTTGATGCATCATTGGCGCACCAGTTCAGAAAATGAGGAGTCCAGACTGAATTTGGTTTTTGATGAGATCAAGACTTGTGGACTCTTCTTAGTGAGAACCCTGTTACAACACTTGTATTTTATTGAATAACCCACATTACAATGATATTGACTGTTATATAGATAGCCAAGTGTTGTTCAGGGTATGAACCCCCTTTAAAACCAATAAGCACTATTAGACACAAGACTATGTTCTTTGAACAAGGACTATCGTGACTATTAAGGTGGTTGAGAACTATAACTAAGGTCTTTCCTTTCCCAAAAGGGAAAGACCTTACTGTATTTCTTCTATTACAGCATATTGAATAAATGTATGTATTGTATATACAATGCAGAGTGAACACAATCCCTTCTTATAGCTATATATGATTAGAGGATATTCAACTTTGAAGTTTGAGTTTGAGGAAATGCAAGCACATGTTTATTTATCATTCATGAAGGTACACATATCTGACCATTTCCTCATCTCATTGCATGTTCAAAAATGAGTTCCATTACAACTTTAATCATAAGTACATATTAAATTTTTTTATAGAGTATTGTATATTGAATATGTTATTAGCAGGGGGCAATATATGACTCAACCCTATATCACTATCAAAACTATAAATGTCAAAACTGATTTTGTAAAATGTAGACAGATAAACATTAAATTGTATACATGTATTTTAGCTAAATTATAAAAGTCGAGAATTGTACTTTGATTGATACATGTATGATTCATCATAAAAGCCACATTAATTATTTTATATTTCTAACAGATGTATTTCCTTGTTGTGTCCCTGCTTGTAACAGTGACAGCAGCACATAATTTGTTATTTGTACCAAGATTAGCTCAGTCAGTAGTGTGTCCAGATAAAAAGCATGAGTGTCCCACAGGAAATACTTGCTGTCCATTACCTAATATGCAGTTTGGATGTTGTCCAGCACCAAATGTAATTATCCTAGTTATTTAATACATTATTAAAATTATATGTACCTACTACCCTGTTTTTTTAAACACTTTTTGTTGACTTAATTTGTTATAATTTTTGGACAGTTATTTATCATGACATGACTTCTTTCCTACATGACCTGTATATGTTACAGGACAGTTGATTTTAGATAATTATTACATGTGATGACGGTCACATTTTCAGATAGTGTCAAAAGTCATGAGGTCATATGTATATAATGATAGCTTCTATCTATCTATATCAAATCTTTATCTTTTATTGGTATTAGTACTAGTTTTTTTTTATGGATTAAGTTTATGAATTATACTAAATATGAATAACATTAAAATCAACATCTAGTCTGATTTAGGACATGAAATCCCTTAGGCTTTTTGGGGGAAACTTTAAAATGCATCCAGGCCTTTCTTTTCAATGATATAAACCAGTAACGACTGTTTTAAGATATTAAAATCAATTTGAACATTCCTTTAAGGCATTTAAACCTATTCTGTCTTTTTCTTTAGGACATTGGAAACCACCAAGGTATTTTTGAGACATTAAAGCTCACACTAGTCTTTCCCTACATTTCCCTAAGTTTAAGTTTACCTATCTATAAAACCAAGTTTAATCCACCATTGACTACATAAGGAAATGCCTGTACCAAGTCAGGAATATGACAGTTGTTTTCCATTTGTTTGATGTGTTTGAGCTTTTGATTTTGCCATTTGATAAGGGAATTTCCGATTTGAATTTTCCTTGGAGTTCGGTATTTTTGTTATTTTACTTTTTACTTGGGACTTTATAATTCTCCTATACAACTTTATTTTGGAAGGTAACATCAACCACTCTCTTAAGAATGTCTACATTGAATTATGATCCATTGATGGTCTGTGATAAATAAGATATATCTAATTTCAAGTTGCAGTAGAAGACTTTAAATTCATTATCCACTCCCTAGTTGTTTCCCTCTACTCACGTATCATGTGTATAGGGGTATAGAATAAACACCATATTGAGACAGTGTCTGTCATTGTCTGTACAACAACCAAAATTAAGGTCTTAGGATCACAGTATGGTCTTCAACTATGAACAGATCCCAATGCTATACTCATACTATATAGTAAACATCAGATTAAGTGTATTATACAGAGCAAATAGTGTGTTGTCATATTTGTTATTAGTAATTCAGTCTTAAGTATTGTTCTTTCAAATTATTATTTATAGACTACAATGTAAATGATTCCTGTCGATCATTGACACATTGACTTTGGCAGACCATGAGGCGATGTATTTAGTGACACATTGACATTGACAGGCCAAGAGCTATAATCATTGACTCATTGAAAATGACAGACCAAGAGGTATAATTATTGACACATTGACATTGATAGACCAAGAGGTATAATAATGATACACTGATATTGACAGACAATGGGGCAATGTATTCATTGACACGTTGACATTGGCAGACCATGAGGTGATGTATTCATTGACACATTGATAGACCATGAGGCAATCCCCAATGTATTCATTGACACATTGACATTGGCAGACCATGAGGTGATGTATTCATTGACACTGACAGACCATGAGGGGATGTATGCATTGACACATTGATATTGGCAGACCATGACTGCATGAGGTGATGTATTCATTGAAACATTAACATTGGCAGACCATGAGGCTACATGTATGTATTTATTGTCACATTGACATTGGCAGACCATGAGATGATGTATTTATTGACACTGACAGACCATGAGTGGATGTATTTATTTATACATTGACAGACCACGAGGCGATGTATTCATTGACACATTGACATTGACAGATCACGAGACAATGTATTCCTTAACAGACTTTCTACAGACTTTTTTTGCCCATGAACTTACTTGTTCTGACTATACTCCAGTTGAGCCTTATAATTTAAAGTGGACTTAAATGTTTTTGATTCACTTTTATATGCAGTGGTAGAGTAAGTTTAAACAATGAATTCCAATAAAATAGGAAGACCCCTATTCAAAGTATTAAGAGACTATTACTCGTAACATGAGGACCAGAAATGATTCAGTTGTAACAATTTTACACCTCTGGTTTTTCACAATATTTAAAGTTATCTTTGAGGTAAATTTACCAAATATACAAATTGAAATCCTTAAATCCAAACATTAGAGTCTCATAGTTTATCCATTGATCTCATAAATGTACTTTAATTGAGTGTGACAACAAATAAAAACAAAATAATGATACCATTACATCTTGAAAAAAAGATGATCATTGTAAAGTATTCTAATATGACGTTCTTCTTTTGCTTTGGAAACAAAGCCATGTTCTAATTCAAATAAAACATGGACTGCACATGATTGACATCACAATTGAAATTGCAATGTCAGTTGGATGTTGAACAACGCCGGTGATCAAAATGGACATTTGTGTTGGTGTTGCTTGCTAGGAAATTAAATAAAATCATTCTAAAAGTAAGTTTAAATGTATCTGTTCATTTTTTATCCTGAAACGGTTGATTTTCTATATCGTTTTGGCTTCATAAAATCAAAATGGCTGCCTTTCGGGTGTGTATTATAGGTCCGCTTCGAAGAACAAAAGTTCAAAATTTTCCTATTAGAATCAAAATAATTCTATCATGCCATCCTCTATTCTCATTTTAACATGGGTAGGCATTATATTTGTCAACATTTTACACCTCGCTAACGGTTGTTATAAGGATATTGACAAATATAATGCCTACCCATGTTAAAATGAGCATAGAGCATGGCATGATAGAATTATTTCTTAATTAGAAGTTCCACCAGAAAAAGTATAGTAACAGTGCTTTAATGAGTATTTCTAATTATCTATCTTTTTACAGGCTGTTTGTTGCCCTGGTGGAAAATATTGCTGTCCATTTGGATCTAAATGCTTGACAACATCAGCTTCTTGTCAGAGAGGAAATGAAGTGTTTCCATGGTTACAGAAATCTCAAGCAAAGGTTATCTTAACTTGATAGTACTTATTCATCATGTCACTTTTAAGACGGGAAATGTGTGGTTGTTTAAGGCAAAAGTTCGGGTATAAAAGATCGCATTAACTTCAATTTTTTTAAAAATTATGTAAAATGGCAAACCAACATTATATGTCCATTTCAGGCTCTGCACAGCAAGTAAAAAATATAATTTAACTGTCTCAAGTCCAGACAATACCACCGTTTTGGAAGCCCAGATCTTAAGTTATGTTCCATTGAAAGGACAAGTTTTATATATAGCATTTGTGATATTTTAACCTATACAAGAAATGAAATGTGTTGAACAGGGCATTATGTGATGAACACCATCAAATTATAAGTGTCCTTACAGGCATCAACATTTGATAAGCTCTTAGCAATAAATATAAACTTATTATAGTTGTTTGATTTTCAAATAGTTTGACCTCTAGCATCACTGAAGAGACATTGATTGTTGAAATGCCTATCTGGTGCAGTAAAATTGGTACTGTTAATGTTATTATACAAATATTGTATGCTGAAATTGTCTTTATATATTATCTTGATATACATGTCTATAGCTTTATACTCCCTTTTCTATGCAGGTTATCACTAAATTGGCATCAACAAATAAACCTCATATTATTGTAAATGATATCAGTGCAAAGGCTGATGTTACCAGAGTTTTGGATCAAAAGGTATGTATATAAGACCAATAAGTTTGAGGCAAGACAATTAAATTAATCATTATAGTCAGTAGATTAAGTGTAAGACAAGATATTTAATAAGTTAGTTACTTCATTGATTATTAACAGTGGCGGATCCAAAACTTTTTATAAGGGGGGTGGGGTGGGGTGGGGGGGGTGGGGGGGGGGGGGGGGGGGGGCACTGACTGCCATAAGGGGGGCCCACTACAGTCAATTCTTCAGTTATTCTATATATAATCAACCAAATTTTTCCCACAAAAGGGAGCCCCTGGATCTGCCTATGATTAAACACTGTGGTAATTGTGGAAAAGATATATATTTTATTTATTGAACTATATATTTGTAGGTCAAGCATTTTCCTGTGATCATTTTATATTCATGGAATCATAGTTGACTTAATCACACGAATATTATTGAAGGTATTTTTAGTCAGCTTTTACTGCAGAAAAATGTAAATGATGAATTTTAGATTGCGCATAGAATGAATCATCAAAAAAATCTATCCAAAATAAAGTAAACATAAACAAGTGTTATTTCCATTTTGTGAATAACAATTTTTTGTAAGCAGTAAAAAACTGCTGTATGAAGAAAGACACTGAAACATTATAAACATACATTAAAAAGATAGAAAATCTTTACCCTGCAGTCAGCAATAACTATAAACTTGTGCCTACAGCCACCAAAGGTTGTCTGCAATTTTGTGTTCTGAAATGCTCATTAAAATTGAGTCTTCTTATTGATATAGGAAATTCTTCATATTTTTGTCAAATATTTAAAATAACAGTTCTGATAAAATTGAATGAATTTTTTTTTTAAAGGATTTATTACATTTGTGAAGGGCACCGTTTGTGGTTGGTGAAATGAAACCATTTAATTTTGAACCAACTACATTAAGGGCCATCCTCCAAAGTAATCAAGCACAATCTTTTTACCTTTCTAGTTATAAGAAAAGTTGTTATGTATAGAAAATAGAGTGTACTGTATATATATAACAGTGTGAGTTCAGTATATATACTTCAGTGAGTCAAATATATATTATAATTTGAATGCAAAAAGAGGAAGAAGGCACCAAGAGGTCAATCAGAATCTGTAAAGGTGAAGAAAACAAACAATACCATGCATGGTCAAAAATAAAAAATGATGGAAAGACAAACAACAGTTCACAAACATTGCACACAAACCCCAAAAATGGGAGTTAACTTGAGTGCTTCTGAAGGGTAGGCAGCTTTTGGCACCACTAGTGGCACTAATTGTGTTCCTCCATTCAAGTAAAATTTGATGACAAGTCATATTTGGTGATGTCACAATCAAGACTAAGAGGACAGGATTTTGACTGCAACAATCAAAACATATACATTGTTCTTTGTGACACAGATGTACAACAGTCAACCAAATTAATAAGTTGTCCTTAAAACGTTCAAAGAAATGACTTCTACTTTACCAACCTTTGATGCAAATAAGCTTCTGTGTTCATGATAGCAAACATAAGCCCTGGAACATCTTATCAATTGGGAATGTATATATTTCTATTTGACTTATAGATATATTTCAATGTTTGTGCAATGTAATATATATTTTAGTGTTACTGTCATGTACATATTTCAGTATGGGTCCAAAATGCATATTTTAGCTTGAGTTGAAGGTATATATTTCAGTTTGTGTCCAATGTATATATTTCAGTTTGAGTCCAATGTATATATTTCAGTTTGAGAACAATAAGTTGACAGGTAATTGTGATGCTGGAGAATGTCCTGATGGTCAAACTTGTTGTATTGGTTTGTCTGGTCACTTCTGTTGTGAGCTCCCTGATGCTATCTGTTGTCCAGATAAACTAGAATGTTGCCCATATGGCTACACTTGTAATTCCTCTGCAACGCCAGAATGTCAGAATGGTACACAAACAAAAATACCAGCAAAATCAACTTCAGTTATGAAGGTTGGCAGGTTCTCCTTTTTATGTTGCATAGCACTGTTCTTCATAAACCATATTGTCTTTATTTTGTCAGTGATATGCATGAACTATACATTTTATTACCAGTTACACAATACCCCATATCCTTTGCACTTTGTAGTTTTATAGTGTAGTTTAAGACCTGTTAGTACCATATGGTTAAATACAGGTTCTAGGCTAGTTGATAAATTCCAAAAACCTTTTGACAATGATTGATATAAGTATGTAATAAAGTTACTATATATAAAAATCCATCTACAATGTATTGTGCATTACATCAACACAGGATATACTTGGACACTGTTTTGGATCAGTCAGATTTTGCCTATAGTTATGTATTTTTCAGTCAAATCAAAATAAATGATTCATTACACAATTTTGTCAGTTAATTTCGAAAGTGGGTGCTGCATGAATTTTGGTAAAGTTATGGTTGTTGGAAATGTAAAATTAATGAGAATTCTTATTTCAAGCACCCAGGCAATCTCCAACTACTTTTATGTCAATCATTTTTCCGTTTGAAGTGATTTTTAATTGTTCTCTACTGCCCTCAGGCATGCCTTAATGACTTTTATATAGTTTTATAAGTAACTTGCAATTGGTCTCCACTGCTAGGAAAATGTTAAAATATGTGTGGTTTAAATTATTTGGCCTTCTTGCTAAGTGCTGTATCATAGCACCCAACAATAGGGGGGATTGACATTATTCTGATCAGTTGCAAATGTTTTTAATTTTGAAGAATTTCTTATGATACCATTAGTAAATACTGTTGCATTTGCATTCAACAAAATATGTGTCAGAATTTCTATAGTCTTACTCAGTAGTTGTGGAAACGTTTTAAATAAGTTGTTATTGAAGAAAGAGTTACTAATTCTTAAGTTGGTATCATCACTTTTAAATTAATCATTAAACCTTGCCGAGTAAATCCATTAAAAAAGGTCATGGATATTTTTGTTTTGTCATTGTTGTAGTCAAACTTTCCTTTCCTCAGTCCTTGTATTTTACCATGAGTGACCCGATAAATGCCACACAAAGAAGATTGGTGAGCAGAAACTTTCTTGTGCAGTTCAGTTCTACCCTTATTTCCACTGGTTTCATGTCAATCATAATCTTGTATGCATGGATGGATTTTTGTCCTTTTCTGACTTTAATGAAGATGGATTGAATCCTTTTCCATTGGCTCTTCTAAACACATTTCAAGGTTGCTTCTTTCAAATCTTCTATGAATTTTCAAAAACTTACTTGCTTCTTTTGAGAACCCAATGTCAATATTGAATGGGCTTTCCTAGATGCAAACATGTATATTTTTGTTTTGTTATTGTTGTAGTCTCATTCTCCTTTCCTGGATTTTACCAGGATTGATCTGATAAATGCCACATGAAGAGTTATGAGCAGCAATAAAATAAAACTACCGTGCAAGGCGCTAATGGGGAGTCAAACTTGTTTAACACTCATGTAGAAGATGCCATTATATGCAGTTTCTGGTCATCTTTTGCCTCTAATAAAAGAGATTTCTGTTGGTCCAGAGAGTGATGAAATAAGAAAAATATCAAAACTGCAAAAATAGATAAAATTGTCTGTAATGAGTTAGATATTCAGTAAAGATTTGTCAATGAAACGTTTAAATGAAGGATGAAAAAAAAGATTTACTTTGTACTTACATGAGCAGCACAAATTATTTTTAATGATGAAATAGTACTGTCTACTTCTACTACTAGATTGGTAATGTTATGTGTCCTGATGGAAAATCAGCATGCCAGACCGGGCAAACTTGCTGTAACAAGTCAAATGGAGAATATGCTTGCTGTCAATTGCCAAATGCTGTTTGCTGCTCTGACAAAATACATTGCTGTCCAGAAGGGGACACATGTGACTTGTCCATAGGGAAATGTAAGAGTGGAAACTTGGTAATGGATTTGTTTGAGAAAGTTGAAGCACTGAAAATGAAGTCTGTGATGTGTCCAGATGGTAGATCAGAATGCTCTGATGGCCAAACATGTTGTCCATTAGATGGTGGGAAATATGGCTGCTGCCCAATACCAGATGTAAGTGGTAATTCTTACATAAATTATAAGTAAATAAAACAATAGACCTTACAAAGCAAAGGTATGATAATTTGTCAAATATACATTCACATTAGTATAACTTCACTCAAATTTGTTTCTGTTTGTAAAAAAACAACATTTGAAAATTTGAATTATATTAAACCATAATTATTTTGTCCTAAGATCTTCCTTTCTCCACTGTTACATGTATGAATTAAATAAGAAGTGGTATGTCAAGGAGACAGCAGTTCAAAATAAAAAAAAAAGCAAAAATTGGATGCAAAGGAATAGCTTGGTTAAAGCATGAAAATGAAGAATTATGTGCTTGTGTTGCTCAGTCTTTAGTTTTCTATGTCGTTTATTTTTGGTTGTTTTTCTATTTTTTTGTTGCCATGGCATTATCAGTTTATCATCAGCTTATGAGGTTGAATATCCCTTTGGTATTCTTTGCCTCTTTTATACAATAGAGATTTGGTATTTTTTTTCGAATTTTACAAATATAGAAACATATACATAGGTATTGGTATGGTAAGATTGTATATAAACCAAACAATTCTTTGAAAAAATTTTATTTGGCTTAATATACTTTTTGTTTGGGGTTATAATTATACTGATATTGTTAAGTCATTGCATTTTTAATTTCCTATTGTTTTCAAATTACAACCTACAGTTTGAAACATGAACAAGTATTTTATCTTTTTAACTGTATTTTGTAAATTAAATGAATTGTGCATTGCTCACAATTATGTCTCTTTGCACAGTTCATGATGATACTTTTTGAAATCTACTTGAAAGTTCAAAGGCCTCTATAAGTGTGTCTGGTAGCATGAATGAAATTGCGAATACAATCTAATTCAAATGCAGATTCTGTGTCAGCTCTACTTTTACAAGGATCTACTTTCTGTTTTAAAGACCTTTAGGGATCCCCTGGATTTGTCATTATGATAGACACCTTCAAAAATTTGAAGACTGAAATTTCATTGGCTGATGATATAATTACCTACCAGAAAAGAAAATAGAAAGGAGTGTTCTCAGATCCTTGTAAGCATGCATGCACACATGATCTGTTTTTTAATCAGATTGATGTTAATACAGCATGCTGTAACAGTTGATGTTTATATTAGGCTAAGTGCTGTAGTGATCATGTCCACTGCTGCCCACAAGGTTATATTTGTGATGTCATACAGCAACAATGTGTTGGTAAACGAGCGCAAAGAATACATTGGTTTAAAACCCTTCCTCCACATCCGTTAGTCAAGAAAGACATGACTACAGATGGTAATGTTATATGTCCTGATGGTGGGTCAGAATGTAAAACAGGTCAGACATGTTGTAAACTAGCATCCGGTCAGTATGGTTGCTGTCCTATACCTAAGGTAGGATTACATTTAAAATGTTAAGTCCAAAAGATGCAGAAATCTAGAAAACTTTAATATTGTTCCCTTGATAAAATATCAAGTTTACATTTTGTCAGTTTTCCTATTTTACAAAATTGGAAAGAATAATTTAAAGGGAATATTGAAGTAAAATATGTAGACTGGTAAATCTTAATTGCCACCTCAAATGTTTTATCTGCATTACCATGATTACGTATGTCATATAATTACTTGCTAATTAGTTTTAGATATGGCATGTTATTTTACTCTTGGCATTTAATTAATTAAATCAGTGATTATCTGGGAATTGCCATATTCTTATTATTAAGCAAAGTTGAGTTGAGCAGTCAAGCAAGTTGATTTAATTGGTGGAAGACCAGACCTTCATACATTCTTTTAGAACTGCTGCAATCCTATGGACATTTCTGCTTCAGTCAAGACCAGACCAGTCGTCTTGACTTGTCTTAAGGACAGGTCTGTCTATGACCATTCCCCAATTAAATCTGCACCAAACTATTGTTTTCCCTAGAATTCTTTTGAATAATGAGGGATTAGGAAGATGGTCCTGAATTTTAAACAGACCAGACCTGTGAACAGGTCAGCTTGTGACTGGCCATGATGTTTAGAACTTTTCATACTATACATGGCTATTTTTGGGTTGACATAAAGGATAATTTCATTCATTTTAATATGCATGAAATGCAAGAAATCTGTATATGAATATACATGTAATTGTATTTTTTTTGGTATTGAGTGAATAACTTTCAAAAAAAAAAACAAATGATTATTTCACAATGCATTGTTAAAACAATTCCGTGACATACATTAGGGTAATTAATGTGTTGGAAGATATGAATTTATATATGATGGGACAGCATTTTAAGATTGCTTTGTTCCCAGTTTTCTAGCCCAAACCTAAATTTCAGGTCGACAGATAATTCATTCAGTGCTGTTTTTTTTTTATTGTTATATATACTGGTCTTGAATTTATTGATTGAATATTGTGGTGTTTAATATCACTTTTAGCACTATTGGCAATTTTTGTCTCGCCTTGACGGAGTCGAAAAGCGAGACATAGGTATGCTGTTTCCGGCGTCGGCGGCGTCAACAATGTATTAGTTTGTGATTAGGTCTAGTTCATGGTGAACCACTAGTGGTAGGTCAATGATATTTGGTATGCAGTTGTATTAGCATTGGCACATCTCATTACCATGGAGATTATTTGGCCCCGCCTCCTCAGTCTAGGTCTATTGACTTTGAAACTTTTCATAGTTTATATGCATTAGTTTGTGATTAGGTCAATTATGGGGAACCACTAGTGGTAGATCAATGATATTTTGTATGTTGTTGTATTAGCATTGGCATATCTCATTTCCATGGAGATTATTTGGCTCCGCCCTTAGTCATGGTCTATAGACTTTGAAAATTTTGCTAAGTTAACATGTATTAGTTTGTGATTAGGTCAGTTCAAGGGGAACCATTAGTGGTAGGCCAATGTTAATTGGTGTTCAGTTGTATAAGCATTAGCAGATCTCATTTTCATGGAGAATATTTGGCCCCGCCCCCTCAGTCATGGTCTATTTACTTTGAAACTTTTGCTTAGTTTACATGTATTAGTTTTTGATTAGATCAGTTTAAGATGAACTGCTAATACATGTAAACTTTTGCTTAGTTTACATGTTTTAGTTTTTGATTAGATCAGTTTAAGATGAACTGCTAATGTTAAGTCAATGATATTTGGTATGAAAATTTATTGGCATTTGCAAGTATCGTTTCCATGGAGATTATATAGCCCCACCCCTGATCATGGTTCATTGACTTTGAAACTTTTACATAGTTTACAAGTTAATGTTTGTGTTTAGGTTTGTTTAAAGGGAACGACTTATAATAAGTTAATGGTATTTGGTATGCAGTTGTATTAGCATTGGCACATCTCATTCCATGGAGATTGTTTAGCCATGTACCTTCAGTCATGGTTCATCGACTTTGAATATTTGCATAACTTACATGTTAAAGTATTGCTATTTTAATTTCAACATTTGCATTATCAAAATTACAAAAAGGCGGGACATATCTCTGTGATAACAGTTTTATTTGTTAACAGTATGCCAATTTTGCTGACGTTTATATAATACAATCAATCCTTAGTTATTAAGTCTACAGATTTCCAAGACTGGTACATTAATTTCAATAAAAAGAAGAAATATTGGCACTATTTTCTTATGCAGACACAATTTTATTAAATGTGCAAATTTATATGTATTGCAATCCATCCCAAGTTACCTCATCTATAGATACCAAGGTTATTAAATTTCAATGCATTCATTTCTTAAATTGCGTTTTTTTTTTTATATTTTCACATGCATGGAGTAATTTGGTTATCTCACTTATAAATCTTTCGATTTTGTGCCATTCAAAACCGATCAATGCGATTTCTCATCCCAAGTTGCTTTTTGTTTTATTTACGCATTCATAAGACAATTTAATGTTCATATGAGCAAGCAAAGTAGAACATAAGTGTTAATGATTTTTAATTAAAAAAGAAATATAGGCACTTTTTATTAATTCCAACAAAAATAGGAATAGCATATTCTAATATTGCTCAAATGTGAAGTAATACAGTTTATCCCGAGTTAACACTTATATTACATTGTATTTCCTGTACATGATTTTTAATTAAAAAAACAATTTACCCATTTTATGAATGAAGACCAGTATTTAAATAAATGTATACAAATATTTCTCACTTTTTTGTTTAACAATCCATTCTGAGTTATAAAGTCTACTGATATGGTGCATGATTTCAATTCAATAATAAACAAGAAGCAACTCTTTATACTATTGAATATATTTCTAGTACAGGCAGGGATGGGGTTGATTACTTTAAAATGTAATCGATTACATTACAATTACACCTAAATTCAAATGTATACCTTTACATTAGATTACTTTTCTTTAAAGTAATCATGATTACTTTGAATTACTTATGATTACACTGTATATTGTAATATTAAAGAATTTCTTATAAACTTTTTATCCTCACGAAAAAGTTAATTTTGGTGAAATTTTTTTGTTTATATCCTTAATTTATTCATCTTATTAAGAATTCAGACGACTAGGAGCAGTGTAACATGAGTAAAGTTTGATAGCATAGACAAATGTCCTTTTCTGTGTAAATGATAAAACATGGTTTATCTAAAAATTTTAGCAAAAATTTAGCAAAAAACCAGAACAAATAATGAAAAATCAATTAGGTATAGTTTTATTGTCTGTGGGGATATAATTGACACATCCATATGTTTTTTACAGGTGTTTATCACTATTTCCATTTTTTGGACAAACAATAGGTGAGCTTGGGTATTAAAATTTAATTGTCTTAACTGCAATATTAATAAAGTATAAGTAGTTTATTTTCATTATGTATATAATTGTTTGAAAAATTTCAATACTTGATATAATTAGAAAGCACATATCAAAATATTTTTGGAAAACAAAATTTATACAAATTATAAAAAAATAAAATTTGGTTCTAAACTCCATTATTAATTAAGTGGGCTCATTTATGTCGACCGTCAAAGTCAAACTGGAACTAATCTTTTATGCTATTGAATTTCCATGTACAATGATGTAGTTATACCAAAATATTGTGAAAACTTAAATTGGAGTTAATATCAGAAGTGTTTCATCAAGGAACACAAAATGCTTTCAAAGCATATTCTTGTATCATAGGAACTCAATATCACAATGAAATATTTGGAAAGGTAAATTCCTTTAGTAAATTGTTTACAAAAAAAATCACACATTTTCACTCTACATGCCCAACTTGGTTATACTTAGCTTGTTACATAGATAATATGATTAATCACAATGAACAATGATCCTTAATTTTTCATTCATGCTTCACATCTTATTTTTATATTGTCTATCAAAAACTATTTTCATATACAAAATTGTAATCAGCAAGTAATCATATGAATATAATCTTAAAGTAATCAAAAAGTAATCATGATTACACCTGTTTTTCACACTGTAATCGATTACATTACGATTGCTTGTAATCAGAAATTGCATGATTACTGATGACATGGGATTACATTGCAAAATGTAATCGATTACAGCTGATTAAGATTACTGATTACGATTATCCCATGCCTGAGTACAGACTGTCTTGAGTTACCAAGTACAATGATTTCTAATATCATTACATGATTTATTTCATAAAAAGAAGAAATATTGGCACTATTATTTATGCAGACAAAGCTGTTAGTAGCTGTGCATCATTATTCCTCACATTTAATGTAATTCTGCAATATCATTTTAATGTCTGTTTATGATTTTCAATAAAAAAAAAAGAAATATTTAATTAATGCTAAACAAGTTTGTATATTAAATGTATACCAATATTGAATGATTTCAAATAATTTTTACTGGTAAATAATTATCAGACTTTAAAAAAGCTTTTGATTTGTTAGATCATGACATTCTTTGTTTAAAGCTTGTAATTTATGGATTAAGTGAGGCTACTGTTAGTTTTTTCAAGTCATACCTGAATAACAGAACACAGCAGTTAAACATTTGTAATGTTTATTCTGAACAACAACATGTAAAATGTGTGTCCCCCAAAGTTCTATACTTGGTCCTCTATTGTTTGTGTTATTTATAAACGACCTTCCCTTATGCATTGAAAACTGTGAAACAGACCTATATGCTGATGACACCACTCTTCATAAATCAGGGAAAAACATAGAAAATATAAATATACATGATGATGTTCAAGAAGATTTATACAGGGTTGAAGAGTGGTGCAAAATGAATAACATGTTCATTAATGCAAATAAAACAAAGTGTTTGGTTACTGGAACAAAGCAGAAACTATCAATCCAGACTTTTCAACCAAACTTAATAATAAATTCAAAAATATTCCAAAATTCTTCATGCAAAAGTTATGAGGAAGGGGACTTGTATATCTGATATAATTACTTGTTGCTAGGATAGTGCCTTTATTTTAAGTCAGATCCTCTTCAAATTTGGATAAGGCTTCTCACTCATAAAAACCTTTAAAGATATGGATAATTGAGAAAAAATGAAATGAGGGACCATAGTTTGGAAGGGAGACTTGTAAAGATATTCCATTTTTATTCTTATCCCAAAAATAGAATTCTCATTTTTTGTCAAATCCTCTTCAAATTTATATGAAGATTTCCACTCATCAAAACCTCTGAAGAGTTGAATAATAACATAAATTTAAAAGGGGGACCTACTTTTTTCTTGAGGGGAACTGGTGAAAATATTGCATATAAGTTATGTTATCTTGCTCACTAAAGGTTCTTTCATTATAACTCTGTGTTGGGGATGATAGCTTCTACACTTTGCAACATCTTATGCAAAAAAAGCAATCAAACAGGCTGTCCAGAAACATATATGATTGAGATTTTTAATTTGTACGTTAGAAAAAAATTTCAACAACAACCATGCTGTAATAGGCGGTTTTGGATTTACCATTCAACCTAGCTCTGGTCTCACACCCTGCAGCACAGTCTGACTATAATGTGAATCTACGGGAGATGTTTGATTTGCTTAAAATGTTCAAACCATATAATTGACAAGTATTTACTCATAGACTTAAATCATATTTTTTGTGACAAATATGATATCTGACATGTCTGATAGTCACTGGAACCTATCCGAATGGCAATACAATGTATGTCTCCTCTCAGCATTTCATATTGCCATGTCATGACATATCATTGAAATTTTTATTACTTTTCTTGTTAAAAGGTTTTGACTAAACCATCATTTCATCCAAAATATACATACATTTTTAAAAAGGTATTGCTCAATTCAAAATTTTAGGTTTTGATAATGTTATACTTCTGCTTTTATTTCCAAGAAAACTAAAACTATTTTCATAACCATTACTTGCAATTTATCAGCTTCTAAATTACATGGCAAAAGAAAAGATAAACATTGAAATAGAATCAGCTGTATTTAATCATGTAATGGATCTGGAAAATGGAAAGGTTTTTTAATAGGCTTCCACTTTACAGGCTGTCTGTTGTACTGATGGTAGACATTGTTGTCCTGAGGGAACTACCTGTGATGTGTCATCTGGGAAATGTAACCGTAGAGACATGACTGTTATAGACTGGTTTAAAAAAGTTCCTGTCGATGTTGCAAGTGTGAAATGTCCTGATGGTCAGTCAGAATGTAAAACAGGACAGACCTGTTGTAAACTAGCATCTGGTCAATATGGTTGTTGTCCAATACCAAAGGTATGTTTAAGGATGTAGTAAACCAGTGTTTTGCCATTAAAAGTATTTCACTTGATCTGATAGTCACTTTAATCTGTCTAAAACACAAACAGTCTCCTCTCGGCATTTCATATTGCTATGTGATAACATATATTTGAACTGTTTTTACTGTTTTTCTGGTTTGCCATTTAAGAGTACTTCAATTGCTCAGATTGTCATAAAAATCTGTCTGAATGGCAATAAGTCTCCTTAATTGTTAATAGCTTTTAAGCTACCTCATGCAAAAACCTACATTAGTTTGAAATGTTATTGATTAAATTAAATGTTCTTAATATACTGATTATACTACATTTAATAATAAGAACTTTCTTATATGCCATTTTAGAGGAATATCGTTGTCCGTCCGTCTGTCCGTCCATCTGTCGTCCAAATGTCAGACAATAACTCAAAAACCCTTAAACCAATTTGCATGAAACTTTAATGAATTGTTTATATCTATTGACGTGAGCTTCCTTTCGATTTTTATAAATTTTAGATTTTACGTTTCCAAGTTATCGGTTTTTTTTCATTAAAAAAGGGGGATTTTCCAGTTTTCAGACAATAACTCAAAAGCACTTTCACCAATTTGCAAGAAACTTTGGTGAATTGTTTATATCTATTGATGTGAGTTCCATTTTGATTTTATATGAATTTTAGATTTTACGTTTCTGAGTTATGGGGTTTATTCATTAAAAAAGAGAGATGTTCCAGTTTTTGTACAATAACTCAAAACCTTTTTATCCAATTTGCATGAAACTTTGATGAATTGTTTATATCTATTGACGTGAGCTCCCTTTCGATTTTCATAGATTTTAGATTTAACGTTTCTGAGTAAAGGTTTTTTTTTTTCATTAAAAAAGGGGGATTTTCCAGTTTTTGGACAATAACTCAAAAATGCTTCACCAATTTGCAATAGACTTTGGTGAATTGTTTATATCTATTGATGTGAGCTCCCTGTAGATTTTTATGAATTTTAGATTTTTAGTTTCCGAGTTATGGGGTTTTTTCATTAAAAAAGGGGGATTTTCCAGTTTTCGGACAATAACTCAAAAACGCTTTCACCAATTTGCAAGAAACTTTGGTGAATTGTTAATATCTATTGATGTGAGCTCCCTTTAGATTTTTATGAATAATAGATTATAAGTTTCCGAGTTATGGGGTTTTTTCATTCAAAAAAGAGGGATGTTCCAGTTATTGGACAATAACTCAAAAATGCTTTGAGCAGTTTTCTTCAAACTTTGGTGAATTGTTTATATCTATTGATGTAAGCTCCATTTATATTTTTATAAATTTAAGATTTTACGTTTCCGAGTTATGGGATTTTATTCATAAATATAAAGGGGTGATTTTCAAGTTTTCAGACAATAAATCAAAAGTGAATAGAGCAGTTTTAATGAAACTTTGGTGACTGGTTTATATGTATTAAAATAACCTCCCTTTAGGGTTTTATAAATTTCTAATATGATGTGCCAGGGGTATCATGCCCTCATGGTGCAGGTCTTTATTGATTCCTTGTACTGAAAATTCAGAAATTATTGCAATGTTTTTTTTTATAATAAGAAAAATATGACAGTACCAGTTTTGCAATAATAAAAACTCCCGTTCATAATTTCAGAAGTTATTTTCCTTTATAAAGTTTTTGCAATGGCGTTAATAAGATTTCGCATTATTGCCTGATGGCAAGGAATTGAATAATAAATGCATGCATTAATTTCTGAATTTACAGTAAACCATAAAAATTTTTGTATCAATAGTTGCCTTTTTCAACCTCAGTTTTACTTGAAAGAGAAAAATAAACATAAGAATAGAATTAGCTGTATATCTTCATGTTATAAATGTGCAAATTGGAAAGATTTCTAATAGACTTATACTTTACAGGCTGTTTGTTGTACTGATGGTAAACATTGTTGTCCTGAGGGAACTACCTGTGATGTGTCATCTGGAAAATGTAACCGTGGAGACATGACTGTAATAGACTGGTTTGAAAAAGTGCCTGCCAATGTTGGAAGTGTGAAATGTCCTGATGGTCGGTCAGAATGTAAAACAGGACAGACCTGTTGTAAACTAGCATCTGGTCAATATGGTTGTTGTCCAATCCCAAAGGTATGGATACAGATGGTGTATTTTTTTCTGTTTCAAAATCAATTCACTTGATCTGATATTCCCAAAAATCTGTCTGAATGGCAATAAGTCTCCTCTCAGCATTTCATATTGTTATGTGATAACATAAAGTTGAACTGTTTATTGATTTTCTGGTTTGCCTTTTAACAGTACTTCAATTGCACGAAATGTCATAGAAATCCGTCTGAATGTCAATAAGTCTCCTTACTAAAGTCTACTTGTAGTATTTCCTATTGCAATGTGATGATATATCACTGAAACTTTTATTACTTTTTTGGTTTGTTTTTGAACAGTACTTTAAAAAGCACTGATTGTTACAATACTCTGTCAGCTTGGCAATAATTCTACTTGCAGCATATCATATTGCTAAGTGCATGATGTGTAGACATATCATTGAAATTTCTATTATTTTCTCATTAATAGCAATGCAACATTTCACAATTATACCTCTTTCGATGCCCAGTAAACAAAAAAATATCTTGTATCAATGCTCACATATGACAAGCTACACTATTATTTGAAAGAGAACCATATACTTTGTGGTAGAATTGGCTGTATTTATTCATGTTATGAATCTGCAAATTGGAGGGTTTTCTAATAGGTTTACACTTTACAGGCTGTCTGTTGTACTGATGGTAAACATTGTTGTCCTGAGGGAACTACCTGTGATGTGTCATCTGGAAAATGTAACCGAGGAGACATGTCTGTTATAGACTGGTTTGAAAAAGTGCCTGCCAATGTTGGAAGTGTGAAATGCCCTGATGGTCGGTCAGAATGTAAAACAGGACAGACCTGTTGTAAACTAGCATCTGGTCAATATGGTTGTTGTCCAATCCCAAAGGTATGGTTACAGATGTTGTATAACTTTCCATTAACAAATTTATTCACTCATTCTGATAGTCACTTTAATCTGTCTGAATGGCAGTATATCTCTTAGCATTTCATATTGTTATGTGATAACATATAGTTGAACTGTTTATTGATTTTCTGATTTGCCTTTTAACAGGGCTTCAATTGCATGGATTGTCATAAAAATCTATCTGAATGGCAATAAGTCTCCTTAACAAAGTCTGCTTGTAGCACGTCCTATTGCAATGTGATGATATCACTGAAAATTTTATTACATTTCTTGTTAAAAGCTTTCACGTTGTCTCCTGTAAACCTACATTAGTTTGAAATAGTATTGATTAAATTAAATGTTTTAAATATACTGATTATACTTCAATTCACAATAACACCTTTTTTGATTCCTACTATTATAAATTCTGATATTATTGCAATGTTTTTGATAATACCAAAATTATGATAGTACCAGTTTTGCAATAATAAAAACTTCTATTCATAATTTCAGATTCAAACGTGATTTACCCTTATAAAGTTTTTGCAATGGCAATAATAAGATTTCACATTATTGGTTGATGGCAAGGAATTGAATAATAAATGCATGCATTAATTTCTGAATTTAGAGTAAATTAAAACTTTTACTGTATCAATAGTTAACTTTTTCTAGGTCAGTTTTACCTGAAAGAGAAAAATAAACATTAGGATAGAATTAGCTGTATATCTTCATGTTATAAATGTGCAAATTGTAAGGTTTCTAATAGGCTTACACTTTACAGGCTGTCTGTTGTACTGATGGTAAACATTGTTGTCCTGAGGGAACTACCTGTGATGTGTCATCTGGAAAATGTAACCGAGGAGACATGTCTGTTATAGACTGGTTTGAAAAAGTGCCTGCCAATGTTGGAAGTGTGAAATGCCCTGATGGTCGGTCAGAATGTAAAACAGGACAGACCTGTTGTAAACTAGCATCTGGTCAATATGGTTGTTGTCCAATCCCAAAGGTATGGATACAGATGGTGTATTTTTTTTCTTGTTTCCAAATCAATTCAGTTGATCTGATATTCCCAAAAATTTGTCTGAATGGCAATAAGTCTCCTCTTAATATTTCATATTCCTTTGTGAAGGTATATAATTGAACTGTTAATTACTTTTCTCGTTTGTTTTTGAACAGTTCTTTAACAAAACACTGATTGTTACAAAATTTGAGAGCTTGTCAATAAGTCTCCATTCAGCATATCATATTGCTATGTGCATGATGTGGAGACATATCATTGAAATTTCTATTATTTCTCATTTAAAATAGCAATGCTACATTTCACTATTATACCTCTTTGAATTTCTTGTAAACTAAAAACATTTTGTATCAATACTCAAATATTACCAGCTTCACTTTTATTTGAAAGAGAAATATATATTTTGGGGTAGAATAAGTTGTATTTATTCATGTAATGAATCTGCAATTTGGAAGGTTTACTTAAAGGTTTACACTTTACAGGCTGTCTGTTGTACTGATGGTAAACATTGTTGTCCTGAGGGAACTACCTGTGATGTGTCATCTGGAAAATGTAACCGTGGAGACATGTCTGTTATAGACTGGTTTGAAAAAGTGCCTGCCAATGTTGGAAGTGTGAAATGCCCTGATGGTCAGTCAGAATGTAAAACAGGACAGACCTGTTGTAAACTAGCATCTGGTCAATATGGTTGTTGTCCAATCCCAAAGGTATGGTTACAGATGTTGTATAACTTTCCATTTACAAATTTATTCACTCATTCTGATAGTCACTTTAATCTGTCTGAATGGCAGTATATCTCTTAGCATTTCATATTGTTATGTGATAACATATAGTTGAACTGTTTATTGATTTTCTGATTTGCCTTTTAACAGGGCTTCAATTGCATGGATTGTCATAGAAATCTATCTGAATGGCAATAAGTTTCCTTAATAAAGTCTGCTTGTAGCACTTCATATTGCAATGTGATGTTATCACTGAAAATGTTATTACTTTTCTTGTTAAAAGCTTTCGCGTTATCTCCTGTAAACCTACATTAGTTTGAAATAGTATTGATTAAATTAAATGTTCTAAATATACTGATTATACTTCAATTCACAATAACACCTTTTTTGATTCCTACTATTATAAATTCAGATATTATTGCAATGTTTTTGATAATACCAAAATTATGACAGTACCAGTTTTGCAATAATAAAAACTTCCTTTCATTATTTCAGATTCAAACGTGATTTACCCTTATAAAGTTTTTGCAATGGCATTAATAAGATTTCACATTATTGGTTGATGGCAAGGAATTGAATAATAAATGCATGCATTAATTTCTGAATTTAGAGTAAATTAAAACTTTTACTGTATCAATAGTTAACTTTTTCTAGGTCAGTTTTACCTGAAAGAGAAAAATAAACATTAGGATAGAATTAGCTGTATATCTTCATGTTATAAATGTGCAAATTGTAAGGTTTCTAATAGGCTTACACTTTACAGGCTGTCTGTTGTACTGATGGTAAACATTGTTGTCCTGAGGGAACTACCTGTGATGTGTCATCTGGAAAATGTAACCGAGGAGACATGTCTGTTATAGACTGGTTTGAAAAAGTGCCTGCCAATGTTGGAAGTGTGAAATGCCCTGATGGTCGGTCAGAATGTAAAACAGGACAGACCTGTTGTAAACTAGCATCTGGTCAATATGGTTGTTGTCCAATCCCAAAGGTATGGATACAGATGGTGTATTTTTTTTCTTGTTTCCAAATCAATTCAGTTGATCTGATATTCCCAAAAATTTGTCTGAATGGCAATAAGTCTCCTCTTAATATTTCATATTCCTTTGTGAAGGTATATAATTGAACTGTTAATTACTTTTCTCGTTTGTTTTTGAACAGTTCTTTAACAAAACACTGATTGTTACAAAATTTGAGAGCTTGTCAATAAGTCTCCATTCAGCATATCATATTGCTATGTGCATGATGTGGAGACATATCATTGAAATTTCTATTATTTCTCATTTAAAATAGCAATGCTACATTTCACTATTATACCTCTTTGAATTTCTTGTAAACTAAAAACATTTTGTATCAATACTCAAATATTACCAGCTTCACTTTTATTTGAAAGAGAAATATATATTTTGGGGTAGAATAAGTTGTATTTATTCATGTAATGAATCTGCAATTTGGAAGGTTTACTTAAAGGTTTACACTTTACAGGCTGTCTGTTGTACTGATGGTAAACATTGTTGTCCTGAGGGAACTACCTGTGATGTGTCATCTGGAAAATGTAACCGTGGAGACATGTCTGTTATAGACTGGTTTGAAAAAGTGCCTGCCAATGTTGGAAGTGTGAAATGCCCTGATGGTCAGTCAGAATGTAAAACAGGACAGACCTGTTGTAAACTAGCATCTGGTCAATATGGTTGTTGTCCAATCCCAAAGGTATGGTTACAGATGTTGTATAACTTTCCATTTACAAATTTATTCACTCATTCTGATAGTCACTTTAATCTGTCTGAATGGCAGTATATCTCTTAGCATTTCATATTGTTATGTGATAACATATAGTTGAACTGTTTATTGATTTTCTGATTTGCCTTTTAACAGGGCTTCAATTGCATGGATTGTCATAGAAATCTATCTGAATGGCAATAAGTTTCCTTAATAAAGTCTGCTTGTAGCACTTCATATTGCAATGTGATGTTATCACTGAAAATGTTATTACTTTTCTTGTTAAAAGCTTTCGCGTTATCTCCTGTAAACCTACATTAGTTTGAAATAGTATTGATTAAATTAAATGTTCTAAATATACTGATTATACTTCAATTCACAATAACACCTTTTTTGATTCCTACTATTATAAATTCAGATATTATTGCAATGTTTTTGATAATACCAAAATTATGACAGTACCAGTTTTGCAATAATAAAAACTTCCTTTCATTATTTCAGATTCAAACGTGATTTACCCTTATAAAGTTTTTGCAATGGCATTAATAAGATTTCACATTATTGGTTGATGGCAAGGAATTGAATAATAAATGCATGCATTAATTTCTGAATTTAGAGTAAATTAAAACTTTTACTGTATCAATAGTTAACTTTTTCTAGGTCAGTTTTACCTGAAAGAGAAAAATAAACATTAGGATAGAATTAGCTGTATATCTTCATGTTATAAATGTGCAAATTGTAAGGTTTCTAATAGGCTTACACTTTACAGGCTGTCTGTTGTACTGATGGTAAACATTGTTGTCCTGAGGGAACTACCTGTGATGTGTCATCTGGAAAATGTAACCGAGGAGACATGTCTGTTATAGACTGGTTTGAAAAAGTGCCTGCCAATGTTGGAAGTGTGAAATGCCCTGATGGTCGGTCAGAATGTAAAACAGGACAGACCTGTTGTAAACTAGCATCTGGTCAATATGGTTGTTGTCCAATCCCAAAGGTATGGATTTTTTTTTGTGTTTCCAAATCAATTCACTCGATCTGATATTCGCAAAAATCTGTCTGAATGGCAATAGGTCTCCTCTTAATATTTCATATTCCTCTGTGAAGGTATATAATTGAACTGTTAATTACTTTTCTCGTTTGTTTTTGAACAGATCAACTAACAAAACACTGATTGTTACAAAATTTGAGAGCTCGGCAATAAGTCTGAATGCAGCATATCATATTGCTATTTGCATGATGTGGAGACATATCATTGAAATTTCTATTATTTTTCATTTAAAATAGCAATGCTACATGTCACTATTATACCTCTTTGAATTTCTTGTAAACTAAAAACATTTTGTATCAATACTCAAATATTACCAGCTTCACTTTTATTTGAAAGAGAAATATATATTTTGGGGTAAAATTAGTTGCATTTATTCATGTAATGAATCTGCAATTTGGAAGGTTTAATTAAAGGTTTACACTTTACAGGCTGTCTGTTGTACTGATGGTAAACATTGTTGTCCTGAGGGAACTACCTGTGATGTGTCATCTGGAAAATGTAACCGTGGAGACATGTCTGTTATAGACTGGTTTGAAAAAGTGCCTGCCAATGTTGGAAGTGTGAAATGCCCTGATGGTCAGTCAGAATGTAAAACAGGACAGACATGTTGTAAACTAGCATCTGGTCAATATGGTTGTTGTCCAATCCCAAAGGTATGGTTACAGATGTTGTATAACTTTCCATTAACAAATTTATTCACTCGATCTGATAGTCACTATAATCTGTCTAAATGGCAGTATATCTCTTAGCATTTCATATTGTTATGTGATAACATATAGTTGAACTGTTTATTGATTTTCTGATTTGCCTTTTAACAGGACTTCAATTGCATGGATTGTCATAGAAATCTGTCTGCATTGCAATAAGTCTCCTTGATAATGTCTGCTTGTAGCATTTTCTATTGCAATGTGATGATATCACTGAAAATTTAATTACTTTTCTTGTTAAAAGCTTTCATATTATTTCCTGTAAACCTACATTAGTTTGAAATAGTATTGATTAAATTAAATGTTCTGAATATACTGATTATACTTCAATTCACAATAACACCTTTTTATGCCCCGCCATAGCGTAGGGGGCATTAAGTTTTACCCTTGTCCGTCCCTCCGTCCCAAAGTTGGTTTCCGTTCTCTAACTTAAGTTTGCCTCAACCAAATTTTACGAAACTTATACACAATGCTTATTACCACAAAACAGATCAAGTTTGAATTTTGGTGGCGTCCCTTTAAACGTTCTAGAGTTATGCCCCTTTACAAATGGAAAAAATGCTGAATTTTTTGTTTCCGTTCTCTTACTTCAGTTAACCTCAACCAAATGTTATGAAACTTGCACACAATGCTAATTACCACAAAATACACATCAAGTTTGAATTTTGGTGGTGTCACTATTACTGTTCTAGAGTTATGCCTCTTTACAAATGGAAAAATTGCTGAATTTTTCGTTTCCGTTGTCTCACTCAAGCTTGCCTCAATCAAATGTTATGAAACTTATACAAAATACTTATTACCACAAAACTCACATCAAGGACAAATTTGGGTAGTGTCACTTTTACCATTCTTCAGTTATGTCCCTTTATACCTTTATATGATAGTAAGCAGGGGCATCATCTGTGTCCCATAGACACATTCCCCATTTATTTGATTCCTACTATTATAAATTCAGATATTATTGCCATGTTTTTGATGATACCAAAAATATGACTGTTCCAATTTTGCAAAAATAAAAGCTTCCATTCATAATTTCTGATTCAAATGTGATTTACCTTTATAAAGTTTTTGCAATGGCATTAATGATATTTCGCATTATTGCCTGATGGCAAGGAATTGAATGATAAATGCAGTAAATTAAAACTTTTATTGTTTCAATAGTTAACTTTTTCAAGCTCAGTTTTACCTGAAAGAGAAAAATAAACATAAGGATAGAATAAGCTGTATATCTTCATGTTATAAATATGCAAATTGTAAGGTTTCTAATAGTCGTACACTTTACAGGCTGTCTGTTGTACTGATGGTAAACATTGTTGTCCTGAGGGAACTACCTGTGATGTGTCATCTGGAAAATGTAACCGTGGAGACATGTCTGTTATAGACTGGTTTGAAAAAGTGCCTGCCAATGTTGGAAGTGTGAAATGCCCTGATGGTCAGTCAGAATGTAAAACAGGACAGACCTGTTGTAAACTAGCATCTGGTCAATATGGTTGTTGTCCAATCCCAAAGGTATGGATACAGATGGTGTATTTTTTTTCTGTTTCCAAATCAATTCACTTGATCTGATATTCCCTAAAATATGTCTGAATGGCAATAAGTCTCTTCTTAATATTTCATATTACTTTGTGATGGTATTTAGTTGAACTGTTAATTACTTTTCTCCTTTGTTTTTGAAGTTCTTTAACAAAACACTGATTGTTACAAAATTTGACAACTTGGCAATAAGTCTCCATGCAGCAAATCATATTGCTATGTGCATGATGGGTAGCCATATCATTGAAATTTCTATTATTTGTCATTTATAATAGCAATGCTAAATTTCCCTATTATACCTCTTTGAATTTCTTGTAAACTTAAAAACATTTTGTATCAATACTCAAATATTACCAGCTATTCTTTTATTTGAAAGTGAAATATATACTTTGGGGTAGAATTTGTTGTATTTATTCATGTAATGAATCTGCAATATTGAAGGTTTACTTAAAGGTTTACACTTAACAGGCTGTCTGTTGTACTGATGGTAAACATTGTTGTCCTGAGGGAACTACCTGTGATGTGTCATCTGGAAAATGTAACCGTGGAGACATGTCTGTAATAGACTGGTTTGAAAAGGTTCCTGCTAATGTTGGAAGTGTGAAATGTCCTGATGGTCAGTCAGAATGTAAAACAGGACAGACCTGTTGTAAACTAGCATCTGGTCAATATGGTTGTTGTCCAATACCAAAGGTATGGTTAAACTTCTGTACAGGTACTATGAATAACAAATTTATTTTGTAAAAATTGTTTCTGTACTAACAACAAAATTATTATATTTATATTTACCTGTGTACGTTACTTTATTTAACGCCATTTTGTTCTAGGTTAAAGTTGTCTTTTGACATTGAAACATCTTTTTTATTTATACTGTGTCATTGATCAGACTTAGTCATTCATTGAATATTTACTTGTTTTTGTGTATTGTCTTTTTGATTGAGTTAAGGCATTTCAACTGATATTTTATTGTGGGTCTTTTTATGTTGTAATGTTATACCACTGTTTCAGGTTAGGGTGAAGGTTGTCGCCTGTTAAAACGTTTAAACCCGCTGCATTTTTATGCACCTGCCTTAAGTCAGGAGCCTGTTGGTCAGTGGTTGTCGTTTGTTTGTGTGGTTCATGAGTGTTTCTTGTTTCTCGTTTTTTTTATAGATTAGACCGTTGGTTTTCCTGTTTTAATTGTTTTACACTAGTCTTTTTGTGGCCCTTTATAGCTTACTGTTCGGTGTGAGCAAAGGCTTCGTGTTGAAGGCCGTACTTTGACCTATAATTGTTTACTTTTTATACGACTGCAAAAAATTTTACGGTCGTATATTGGTATCACGTCGGCGTCAGCGTCGTCCGAAGACATTTGGTTTCCGGACAATAACTTGAGTATGAGTAAATAAAAATATATGAAATTAAAACACAAGGTTTAAAACCACAAAAGGAAGGTTGGGATTGATTTTTTGGGTTATGGTCCCAACCGTTTAGGAATTAGGGGCCCAAAAGGGGCCAAAATAAGTATTTTTCTAGTTTCCAGACAATAACTTGTGGAACAGTGAATGGATCTCTCTGAAATTATACCACAAGTTTCCATACCACAAAGGAATGGTTAGGATTGGCTTTGGTGGGTTATGGTTCAAACCGTTTAGGAATTAGGGGCAAAAAAAGGGAGGGGAACAAGGGTTTCCTGGTTAATGGACAATTACTTAAGTATTGGTCTTTGGATCTCTATGAAATAGATATTGGACCATTAAGCATTATATAAGGGATAGCATTCGATTGATTCATGATATTTTACAGTATATAGAAGAGAACAATATTTTGGGATTTTGATTTTGAGAAAGCTTTGATTCTTTATGTTTGGACTTTTTGCTTTAAGTATTACAATTTTTCATATGTTGAATCTAACTGTGTATTTGGTTGTTGGGCCCATTTTCTTATTGGTCCAAATTTTGGTCCTAAGGCTATAAAATTTGTTTTGTTTGATTTAATAAACATTAAATAAAATTTAAAAGATAATAATCACAATGTTATATTTGAATTACCTCCCTTACATTGCTATTAAATTATGTAAAGTTGTCAGCTAGTTCTAGTATGAATTATTTTTTAGCTGTTTCTAGAAACATTAAATACTGTGATGAAGTATATATGATATAATAATAGTGTATATCAAAGGGTTCAGTGGTAATAAATTTTCATATTCAGAATTGTTTACTTGTGATCAATATCATTTGTTTGGGGTTATTTTAGCATTAAGTGTTACCTCCCTTACAATGGTTTTGTTATGAAGTATTGTTGTATTGTCTTGAGGTGATTAGCTGTCAATTTATTTTTAGAAGTTACTATTAAATACTGATGAAGGTTTATTAATTTTAGCCATGATTATGTATGTCATTTTCTATTTCAATACTTTTATGATGTATTTAAATGGGTTTATATGGTTGCAAACTCCATTGGAAATTTCAATTGAGATTATGACCATATCTTGGGGGTAAAAAAAAATGGTGGGGGATGGGGACAATTTTTTATCAAGATTTCAGAAATTGAAAAGAAAATTTATTCCATTATTTTTTTTTTTACAAAAATGGGGAGGGTGGGGGTTAACAAATCTTTTTTTGAGGGGAGGGGGGGTCAATTTTTCATTGTCAATTTTCCAAAGAATAATTGTGTGTCACAATTGCTAATTGCTAATTCTTTGTATATCGTCTGAAAACAGATTTACAAAGTATTGCGCAACAGCACAGTGTATTGCACAGAAGCATGAAATTGAATATAAATTCAAATCATATAACCAATCAATTCTAAGTTCTTTGACTACAGTTATTCTGTGTCAGAAACCTATTATGTGTCAAATATTTAATTACAATCCAAATTCAGACCTTTATCAAGCACGAATATTGTGTCCATTTTTGCCCCAACTGTTCAGGGTTGGACCTCTGCGGTCATATATAGCTGGGCTTGGCGAAGCAATTTATTACACATTGTGACTTGGATAGATATATGTCTCATTGGCACTCATACCACATCTTCTTATTTATATTTACAGATGTTGTATAATTTTCCTTCAACAAATTAATTCACTTAAACTGATAGTCACTATAATCTGTCTAAATGGCAATAAATCTTCACTCAGCATTTCATATTGTTATGTGGTAACATTTAGTTGAACTGTTTATTGATTTTCTGGTTTACCTTTTATCAGAACTTGAATTGCATAAAATGTCATAGAAATCGGTCTGAATGTCAATAAGTCTCCTAAATAAAGTCTGCTTGTAGCATTTCCTATTGCAATGTGATGATATATCGCTGAAAACTGTATTACTTTTCTTGTTAATAGCTTTCACGCTATCTCTTGCAAACCTACATCAGTTTGAAATTTGGCATTGATTGAATTAAATTTTCTAAATATACTGATCATTCTTCATTTCACAAAAACACATTTTTAGCTCACCTGGCCCGAAGGGCCAAGTGAGCTTTTCTCATCACTTGGCGTCCGTCGTCCGTCGTCGTCGTCCGTCGTCCGTCGTCGTTAGCTTTTTACAAAAATCTTCTGCTCTGAAACCACTGGGCCAAATTTAACCAAACTTGGCCACAATCATCATTAGGGTATCTAGTTTAAAATTTGTGTCCGATGACCCCGCCAACCAACCAAGATGGCCGCCATGGCTAAAAATAGAACATAGGGGTAAAATGTAGATTTTGGCTTATATCTCTGAAACCAAAGCATTTATAGTAAATCTGACAAGGGTAAAACTGATAATCAGGTCAAGATCTATCTGCCCTGAAATTTTCAGACAATTCTGACAACCTGTTGTTGGGTTGCTGCCCCTGAATTGGTAATTTTAAGGAAATTTTGCAGTTTTTGGTTATTATCATGAATATTATTATAGATAGAAATAAACTGTAAACAGCAATAATGTTCAGCAAAGTTAGATCTACAAATAAGTTGTCATGACCAAAATTGTCAGTCGACTCCTTTAGGAGTTATTGCCCTTAATAGTCAACTTTAACAATTTTTTGTAAATTTTTGTAATCTTTTACAAAAATCTTCTTCTCTGAAACTACTGAGACAAATTTAACCATACTTGGCCATAATCATTTTTAGGGTATCTAGTTTAAAAAATTTGTCCGATGACCCTGCCTTCCAACCATCATGGCCGACTTGGTTAAAAATAGAACATAGGGGTAAAATGCAGTTTTTGGTTTATATCTCTGAAACTAAAGCATTTAGAGCAAATCTGACAGGTGGCAAAAATGTTCATCAGATTTAGATTTATCTGCCCTGTAATTTCCAGACGAATCCAACAACCCGTTGTTGTGTTGCTGCCCCTGAGTTAGTAATTTTACAAAAATTTTGCAGTTTTTTGTTATTATCTTAGATATCATTACAATATCTAATATCTAGTACTATTAATTATGATTTTAAACTTTTTTTACATGATTTCCAAAGCATCAGTAAATACAGGTGAGCGACACAGGCTCTTGAGAGCCTCTAGTTTAATTCCTACTTCTATAAATTCAGAAATTATTGCAATGTTTTTGATAATACCAAAAAATGACAGTATCAGTTTTACAATAAAAACTTCCATTTATAATTTCAGAAGTGATTTTCCTTTATAAAGTTTTTGCAATGGCATTAATAAGATTTCGCATTATTGCCCGAGGGCACAGGAATTGAATAATAAATGCAGGCATTAATTTCTGAATTTACAGTAAATTAAAAATTTTATTGTATCTATAGTTACCTTTTCTAGGTCAGTTTTACTTGAAAGAGAAAAATAAACATTAGGATAGAATTAGTTGTATATCTTCATGTTATAAATGTGCAAGGTTTCTAATAGGCTTACACTTTACAGGCTGTCTGTTGTACTGATGGTAAACATTGTTGTCCTGAGGGAACTACCTGTGATGTGTCATCTGGAAAATGTAACCGTGGAGACATGACTGTAATAGACTGGTTTGAAAAAGTTCCTGCTAATGTTGGAAGTGTGAAATGTCCTGATGGTCAGTCAGAATGTAAAACAGGACAGACATGTTGTAAACTAGCATCTGGTCAATATGGTTGTTGTCCTATACCAAAGGTATGTTTAAGGATGTAGTATACAAGTATTTTGGCATTGAAAAGTATTTCACTTGATCTGATATTCACTATAATCTGCCTGAACGAAAAAAAGTCTCGTCTCAGCATTTCATATTGCTATGTGATAATATATAGTTGAACTATTTATAACTTTTCTGGGTTTCTTTTTAACAGAACTTTAAAAAGCACCTATTGTTACAAACATCTGTCAAATTGGCAATAAGTCTTCTTGCAGCATATCATATTGCTATGTGCATGATGTGGAGACATATCATTGAAATTTCTATTATTTTCTCATTGATAGTAATACTACATTTAACATTTACACCTCTTTCGATTCCTAGTTAACTAGAAAATATTTTGTATCAATGCTCACATATTACAAGCTGCACTATTATTCGAAAAAGAAATATATACTTTGGGGTAGAAGTAGCTTTATTTATTCATGTTATGAATCTGCAAACTAGAAAGTTTACTTAATGGTTTACACTTAACAGGCTGTCTGTTGTACTGATGGTAAACATTGTTGTCCTGAGGGAACTACCTGTGATGTGTCATCTGGAAAATGTAATCGTGGAGAAATTGCTGTATTGGACTGGTTTGAAAAAGTTCCTGCTAATGTTGAAAGTGTGAAATGTCCTGATAGTCAGTCAGAATGTAAAACAGGACAGACCTGTTGTAAACTAGCATCTGGTCAATATGGTTGTTGTCCAATCCCGAAGGTATGGTTACAGATATTGTATAACTTTCCATGAACAAATTAATTCACTTAATCTGATAGTCACTATAATCTTTCTGAATGGCAGTAAGTCTCTCCTCAATATTTCATATTGCTATGTGATGATATATAGTTGAGCTTTTTATTACTTTCTGGTTAAAATCTCTAGCACTAGACACATATATTTGAACGATATATTTGAACGATTGCTTAACTTTAAAGTTTTCTGATCTTGAAAATGTGAAAAAAGGATTTTTCCTAGAAACAAAACCTTTTTTATAACTTATATTTGCATTTTTGTGCTCTGCAGTTGTTTGGCAAAAGAAAAATAACATTGAAGTAGAAATTGCTTTATTTAATCTGGGTATCATTTTGCATGTGGAAAGGTTTGCTAATAGGCTTGCATTTAACAGGCTGTCTGTTGTACTGATGGTAAACATTGTTGCCCTGAGGGAACTACCTGTGATGTGTCTTCTGGAAAATGTAACCGTGGAGAATTTGCTGTATTGGACTGGTTTGAAAAAGTTCCTGCTAATGTTGGAAGTGTGAAATGTCCTGATGGTCGATCAGAATGTAAAACAGGACAGACATGTTGTAAACTAGCATCTGGTCAATATGGTTGTTGTCCAATACCAAAGGTATGTTTGAGGATGTAGTATATTTTGCCATTAAAAAGATTTCATTCGATCTGACAGTCAGTATAATCTTCCTAAATGACAAAAAGTATCCTCTCAGCATTTCATATTGCTTTGTGATGATATATAGTTGTACTGTTTTATGGTAGTACTTCAATTGCACGCATTGGCATAAAAATCTGTCTGAATGGCAATAAATCTCCAAAAAAGTCTGCTTTCGTGTAGCGTTTCCTATTGTAATGTGATGATATATTGCTAAAAATTTCATTTCTTTTTTTGTTAACAGCTTTCACACCATCTCATGCTAAACCTACATAGGTTTGAAATGATATTAATTTTAAATTAAATGTTCTAAATATACTGATTTTACTACATTTCACAATAACACCTTTTTTGATTCCTAGGACTGTAAATTTAGAAATTATTGCAATGTTTTTAATAATACGAACATTTTTTGCCATTTCAAGTTTTGCAAAAATAAAAACTACCATTCATAATTCAAAAGTGATTTTCCTTTATAAATTTTGCAATGGCATTAATAAGATTTCATTATTGCCTGAGGACAATAAATTGAATAATAAAAATGAATTTACAGTAAACTAAAAAAAAATTGTATCAATAGTTACCTTTTTCAAGCTCAGTTTTATTGGAAAGAGAAAAATAAACATTAGGATAAATTAGCTGAATATCATCATGTTATAAATATGCAAATTTGACAGTTTTCAACTATGCTCACAACTAACAGGCTGTCTGTTGTACTGATGGTAAACATTGTTGTCCTGAGGGAACTACCTGTGATGTGTCATCTGGAAAATGTAACCGTGGAGACATGACTGTATTGGACTGGTTTGAAAAGGTTCCTGCTAATGTTGGAAGTGTGAAATGTCCTGATGGTCAGTCAGAATGTAAAACAGGACAGACATGTTGTAAACTAGCATCTGGTCAATATGGTTGTTGTCCAATACCAAAGGTATGTTTGAGGATGTAGTATATTTTGCCATTAAAAGATTTCATTCGATCTGACAGTCACTATAATCTTCCTGAATTACAAAAAGTATCCTCTCGGCATTTCATATTGCTTTGTGATGATATATAGTTGTTCTGTTAATGGTAGTACTTCAATTGCATGCATTGGCATAAAAATCTGTCTGAATGGCAATAAATCTCCAAAAAAGTCTGTTTTCTTGTAGTGTTTCCTATTGTAATGTGATGATATTATTGCTAAACAATTCATTTCTTTTTTTGTTAACAGCTTTCACACTATCTCATGCTAAACCTACATAGGTTTGAAATGATATTAATTTTAAATCAAATGTTCTAAATATACTGATTCTACTACATTTCACAATAACACCTTTTTTGACTCCTAGGACTGTAAATTTAGAAATTATTGCAATGTTTTTAATAATAGGAAAAATTTTGCCATTTCAAGTTTTGCAAAAATAAAAACTAACATTCATAATTCAAAAGTAATTTTCCTTTATAAATTTTTTCAAGGGCATTAATAAGATTTCATTATTGCCTGAGGACAATAAATTGAATAATAAAAATGAATTTACAGTAAACTAAAAAAAATTGTATCAAAAGTTACCTTTTTCAAGCTCAGTTTTATTGGAAATAGAAAAATAAACATTAGGATAAATTAGCTGAATATCATCATGTTATAAATATGCAAATTTGACAGTTTTCAACTATGCTCACAACTAACAGGCTGTCTGTTGTACTGATGGTAAACATTGTTGTCCTGAGGGAACTACCTGTGATGTGTCATCTGGAAAATGTAACCGTGGAGACATGACTATATTGGATTGGTTTGAAAAGGTTCCTGCTAATGTTGGAAGTGTGAAATGTCCTGATGGTCGATCAGAATGTAAAACAGGACAGACATGTTGTAAACTAGCATCTGGTCAATATGGTTGTTGTCCAATACCAAAGGTATGTTTGAGGATGTAGTATATTTTGCCATTAAAAGATTTCATTCGATCTGACAGTCACTATAATCTTCCTGAATGACAAAAAGTATCCTCTCAGCATTTCATATTGCTTTGTGATGATATATAGTTGTACTGTTTATGGTAGTACTTCAATTGCACGCATTGGCATAAAAATCTGTCTGAATGGCAATAAATCTCCAAAAAAGTCTGCTTTCTTGTAGCGTTTCCTATTGTAATGTGATGATATATTGCTAAAAATTTCATTTCTTTTTTTGTTAACAGCTTTCACACCATCTCATGCTAAACCTACATAGGTTTGAAATGATATTAATTTTAAATTAAATGTTCTAAATATACTGATTTTACTACATTTCACAATAACACCTTTTTTGATTCCTAGGACTGTAAATTTAGAAATTATTGCAATGTTTTTAATAATAGGAAAAATTTTGCCATTTCAAGTTTTGCAAAAATAGAAACTACCATTCATAATTCAAAAGTGATTTTCCTTTATAAATTTTTTCAATGGCATTAATAAGATTTCATTATTGCCTGAGGACAATAAATTGAATAATAAAAATGAATTTACAGTAAACTAAAAAAAAATTGTATCAATAGTTACCTTTTTCAAGCTCAGTTTTATTTGAAAGAGAAAAATAAACATTAGGATAAATAAGCTGAATATCATCATGTTATAAATATGCAAATTTGACAGTTTTCAACTATGCTCACAACTAACAGGCTGTCTGTTGTACTGATGGTAAACATTGTTGTCCTGAGGGAACTACCTATGATGTGTCATCTGGAAAATGTAACCGGGGAGACATGACTGTATTGGACTGGTTTGAAAAGGTTCCTGCTAATGTTGGAAGTGTGAAATGTCCTGATGGTCAGTCAGAATGTAAAACAGGACAGACCTGTTGTAAACTAGCATCTGGTCAATATGGTTGTTGTCCAATACCAAAGGTATGGTTACAGATGGTGTATAATTTTCCATTAACATATTAATTCACTAAATCACTATAATATGTCTCAATGGAAATAAGTTTCCTCTCAGCATTCTATATTGCTATGTGAAGATATATGTTATACAGATGTTGTATAATTGTCCATTAACAAATAATAACTTGATCTGACAGTCCGTTAAACCTGTCTGAATGGAAATAGTTCTGCTCTCATTATTTCATTTTGCTTAGTGATGATACATAGTTATACTGTTAATTACTTTTCTGTTTTGTTTTTGAACAGTACTTTGAAAAGCACTGATTGTTACAAAAATATGTTAGCTTGGCAATAATTCTCCTGGCAGCATATCATATTGATATGATCATGATGTGAAGACATATCTTTCTAATTAATAGCAATGCTACACTTCACAGTTATACCTCTTTTGATTTCTTGTAGACTAAAATATATTTATCCTGCTGAACTGACTTTAGATAAAGCTAATGCTAACAATGAACACTGCCCTTTCCTGGATCTTGATATCTATATCTTTAACGGGAAGCTTAATACCAATTATTACACCAGGGTTTTTTTGATATCACAAACTAGTCAAAACATTTACTAAATTTTATCATCAGTACAAGGACATCATTAGTAAATATAAATCAACATGCAGACATCTTATACGTTCCGGTATTTCACATCCTATCTTTTATGGTAATATTCTATACAAAGCACAAAAATGTAAACATTCACCTCAGAAGCTAACCAAACCTTTAAACAGACTTATTCAGAAGAGATATAGTTACGATACTGTTGTCAGGTCATTAAAGATGGCATATTTTGGTATTAATATTGATTCACTCATAGGGTCTTTGCATCGGAAATAAACACATTTATTCTAAAACAAGTTGTTGGCATGATACGGGCCATGTTCTTCTCATATATTTTATGATGGTATGATACTAAACCCCTAACAGGAGGGATTGTGCTTGATTTTCATATGATGAAGACATAATCTTTCAATCAGTTTAATTGAGGTCTGGAGCTGGCATGTCAGTAACTGCTAGTAGTCCTTTGTTAATTTATGTATCATTGTCATTTCGCTTAGTTTCTTTTGTTACCTATTCTGACATCTGATTCGGACTTCTTTTAAACTGAGTTTTATTGTGCGTATTGCTGTGTGTTTGTTTATTCTACATTGGCTAGAGGTATAGGGGAGGGTTGAGATCTCACAAAACATGTTTAACCCCGCCGCATTTTGGCGCCTGTCCCAAGTCAGGAGCCTCTGGCCTTTGTTAGTCTTGTATGTTTTTTAATTTTAATTCATTTATATGTTTTGGAGTTTAGTGTGACGTCCATTTTCATTGAACTAGTACACATTTTTGTTTAGTGGCCAGCTGAAGCCCGCTTCCGGGTGCGGGATTTTCTCGCTGTGTTGAAGACCCATTGGTGGCCTTCGGGTGAATTCTGCTCTTTGGTCGGGATGTTGTCTCTTTGACACATTCCCAATTTCCATTCTCAATTTTATTTGTACCAATACTCAGATATTAGCAGCTGCATTTTTATTTGAAAGAGAAATATATATTTTAGGTTAAAATTCGTTGTATTTATTCATGTTATGAATCTGCAAATTGGAGGGTTTTCTAATAGGTTTACACTTTATAGGCTGTTTGTTGTACTGATGGTAAACATTGTTGTCCTGAGGGAACTACCTGTGATGCGTCATCTGGAAAATGTAATCGTGGAGAAATTGCTGTATTGGACTGGTTTGAAAAGGTTCCTGCTAATGTTGGAAGTGTGAAATGTCCTGATGGTCAGTCAGAATGTAAAACAGGACAGACATGTTGTAAACTAGCATCTGGTCAATATGGTTGTTGTCCAATACCAAAGGTATGTTTGAGGATGTAGTATATTTTGCCATTAAAAAGATTTCATTCGATCTGACAGTCACTATAATCTTCCTGAATGACAAAAAGTATCCTCTCAGCATTTCATATTGATATGTGATGATATATAGTTGTACTGTTTATGGTAGTACTTCAATTGCACGCATTGGCATAAAAATCTGTCTGAATGGCAATAAATCTCCAAAAAAGTCTGCTTTCTTGTAGCGTTTCCTATTGTAATGTGATGATATATTGCTGAAAATTTCATTTTTTTTTTTTTGTTAACAGCTTTCACACCATCTCATGCTAAACCTACATAGGTTTGAAATGATATTAACTTTAGATTAAATGTTCTAAATATACTGATTTTACTACATTTCACAATAACACTTTTTGATTCAGCCATGCTGGATCTATGCGATCACTCTGGTTTTGGAGATGGTGCAGAATACTAAGTTGAAGACATATCATGAACTTAATTATGTGTTTTAATGACTTGCAGAAACTTTCTACACTATTTTAATCATCAACTGCAAATTTTTGACATGTTATTTGCCCTTAAATTAAGAAAAGATTGGTCGAATAGTGACTTTATTTTAGATATACACTTGGACATAGTTCCTATCTAAATCAAAATTTATGATGATTCACTATTTATAAATTAATTTGAAAAAGTATTTGTATATCAATTGAATCAGTTGATAAGAATTTTGAAAGTATTATATTAGTATCTTGTGCTTGTGGAAATCATTGTTCAATGAAATGTAGGTCAACATGTGTATTAATATATCTAAGTTGATTCCCACACTTTTTTGAAATGGTATTACTCCAATTCTTTCCATAGGCAAGTAAGAGTCAAATGATTATTAACTGTCATGATTTTCAAATACGTATTAATTAGAAACAACCCCAGGCTTAATTCAAAACAGTTAATATCTCATGACCTGTTACATAATTAAATAGTCACAATTTATTACACACTTAACTGAATACACACATTCTTGACCTCAATAGTAAATCTACAAATGTATTTAGATCTACACTGCATTAAAATATTCTTTTAATTTTGCTAGCTAGCTGAATGATTAATCTGATGTGCTTTTTTTTTTCAAAGAAAATACTTAAAATGAAAAAAATATGTATAATAAATGCAAGCTTCTTCTCTGGATCTTTACACCCTTTATATGGTAACCTTACTTTCGTATGTCGAACAGTTCCACCACCGAGCATATTTTATTTTACTTGTAAAATCAGTGCCATTATCATCTGACATAAGTCAATAATCAAGTTCTAATTAATTAGTTACAATTATCAGAAATTTGGTTGAAATATTAAACAAAATTGCATAACTCTTAACTGAGCATTTTCTGCAATAAAATTTATTTGTTTGTTTTACATTTATATCCCATTATATTGCTATTTAACAGTAATTGGATATATCTCAGCATTAGGTATTTGTACATTCAGATTTGAATACAGGAAATGTATTTTTTCTTAATGAAGAATGAACACCAATTTAGATAAAGAAAGTTATTATTTTTTTTTAATTTTTGTTGTTTAGAAAGTGCATTTATAAGGCTTCTTTCTGGAAATTATTAAACCTGTCATTATTAATGGCATATAAAAAATATATTACTTGTTTGACGATTTTCCTTTCCATTCTCGTCAAAAGTAAAATCTGACAGAGTCTAAAATTGAAAGATCAGTATATATATATATCTATATTTGCATCAATATTGCGAAATTCCCTACCTTTGGACAATAACAGAAATTTTACAGTAAGATTGGAAATGAACAGAGTAAAAATTTAGAAAAAAGTATGGTCAGAAAGAATATGAGACTAGCTATGAATATGACTGGATCACAACATCAACAATGCTTTGATTTTTTATTCCTAGGACTGTAAATTTAGAAATTATTGCAATGTTTTTAATAATACGAAAAATTTTGCCATTTCAAGTTTTGCAAAAATAAAAACTACCATTCATAATTTCAAAAGTGATTTTCCTTTATAAATTTTTTCAAGGGCATTAATAAGATTTCATTATTGCCTGAGGACAATAAATTGAATAATAAAAATGAATTTACAGTAAACTAAAAAAAAAATTGTATCAATAGTTACCTTTTTCAAGCTCAGTTTTATTTGAAAAATAAAAATAAACATTAGGATAAATTAGCTGAATATCATCATGTTATAAATATGCAAATTTGACTTTTTTCTACTATGCTCACAATTAACAGGCTGTCTGTTGTACTGATGGTAAACATTGTTGTCCTGAGGGAACTACCTGTGATGTGTCATCTGGAAAATGTAATCGTGGAGAAATTGCTATATTGGACTGGTTTGAAAAGGTTCCTGCTAATGTTGGAAGTGTGAAATGTCCTGATGGTCAGTCAGAATGTAAAACAGGACAGACATGTTGTAAACTAGCATCTGGCCAATATGGTTGTTGTCCAATACCAAAGGTATGGTTTGCAGATGCTGTATAATTGTCAATTATCAAATAAATTCACTTGATTTGATAGTCACTATAATCTGGCTGAATGGCAATAAGTCTCCTCTCAGCATTTAATATTGCTATGTGATGATATATAGTTGAAATGTTTATTATTTTCTGGTTAAAATCTCTAATACTAAACTCAAATCTAAAAAGATTACTTAAATTTAAGGTTTTCTGGTCTTGATAATGTAAAATTACTGGGTTTGTTGCCTAGAAACAAAACCTTTTTTATTAACCAGATTTTTGAAGGAAATATCGGTTATTAAAATGGTGATGTACGGCGGACGGCTGGGCGGATCTACGGGCGGCTGCCAAACAGTGTCAGCCCAATAACATGAAAACGCTTTATCAAACTTGTTTCAAATTTAAATATGTTGTTTCCTGGGACTTAATGAATGTCTTGTTCAATTTTCAAGACTTAAGTATTTCTCCTTTTTGAGTTATCGCCATTTTTAATATCCAAAAGTGGAATTTTAAATATTTTACTCTTGTTATCATGTTATGATTTGTCTTATCTCACAATAAAAATTGGAGTGACAGATTTATTTGAAAATTATCTATGTCCTAAGTGGTAATGATTATAAGCTATATCATAAGACATTTTGAAGATTATAACATTATTAATTATTATATATGTAATGTTAGAGTACTATGTTAAACCATAGTTCTGTTCAATTAGATCTGGGAAACATTTTAGCATATGATGATTTATTTTCATTATTAATTAGATCTGGGAAATGTCTTAGCATATGATAATAATTGGAGTGACAGATTTATTTGAAAATTTTCTGTTTCCTGATAAGATCTGTAGGACTGTATATATAAAGTTTGAAATTTACTAGAAGGACTGTATAAATGAAGTTTGAAATTTACTGTTCATTATTAGACATTTTGTAGATAATTAAGTCTCCCTAAATCATATATATTCTTACCCCCACCCAACTTCAATTTGATAATGTGCTTTTATCTTGTAAAAGGTCGAGATCCCCACCCCTAAACCATATATATTCTTGCATGAGACAATAAAACAAATCAAATGAAATAAAAGGCGAGTCCAGTGAGGTCTGAGAACTTTGTAAACGGTTGAGATCCCCCCCCCCAAACCATATATATTCTTGTATGGGACAATAAAACAAATCAAATGAAATATAGGGGAAGTCCAGTGAGGTCACCCCCACCCCCCTTCTTTTTGAAAACTTGTAAACGGTCAAGATCCCCATCCCGAAACCATATATATTCTTGTATGGGACAATAAAACAATTCAAATGAAATAAAAGACGAGTCCCCTGGGGTCAACTCAACCCCCTCCTGTTTAAGAACTTGAAAACGGTCGACTTCCCACTCCCTAAACCATATATGTTCTTGTATGGGACAATAAAACAAATCAAATGAAATTTAGGGGAAGTTCCCTGGGGAAACCCCCACCCCCTTCTTTTTGAAAACTTGTAAAAGGTCAAGATCCCCACCCCGAAACCATATATATTCTTGTATGGGACAATAAAACAAATCAAATGAAATATTGGTGGAGTCCCCGGGTTCACCCCCACCCCCCTTCTATTTTGAAAACTTATAAATGGTCAAGATCCCCACCCTGAAACCATATATATTCTTGTATGGGACAATAAAACAAATCAAATGAAATTAAAGGTGAGTCCTTTTGGGTCAACCCCAACCCCTCCTGTTTGAGAACTTGTAATCGGTTGAGATTCCCACCCCTAAGCCATATATATTCTTGTATGGGACATTAAAACAAATCAAATGAAATATAGGGGAAGTCCATTGGGGTAACCCCCACCCCCCCCCCCCCTTCTTATTGATAACTTGTAAACGGTCAAGATCCCCACCCCGAAACCATATATATTCTTGTATAGGACAATAAAACAAATCAAATGAAATAAAAGCTGAGTCTCCTGGGGTCACCCCCACCCCTCCTGTTTAAGTACTTGTAAACGGTCACGATGCCCACCCCTAAACCATATATATTCTTGTATGGGACAAAAAAACAAATCATATGAAATTTAGGGGGAGTCCACTGGGGATCACACCCCCCTTTTGAGAACTTGTAAACGGTCGAGATCTCCACCCCTAAACAACCGTATATACTCCTGTTCGTCATTTCAAGAAGATTTGAATGACATACAGGGTCAATTCATAGGCGTCACTTATGCATATCACAAACCAATTTGTACTGGACTTTGGCCAATGTAAGGTGACCATGGGAATGACGAATTATTGGAGCTTTGTTTGGGAGACTTCGTAACAGCATCCTGTTACAATTATTTCTTGTTACTGATAAGTTTTATTCATTTTGAAAAGACATTGTATTAATGATAAATGAGATTTTGGATTTTTTTCTTCTTTTCTTTGGTAAATTGTTTGGAGAATTTTGTGTCATGTTTGTTTGTTATTCTGTAAAAACTAATTTTCTGAATGCTATATATTTTTTTTTTATGAAGTGAACTCCTTTAAAAACTAAGCTTATATTGTTTATTAATAAACATATATTTAGATTTCTGATTTTGGGCCCAGTTTTCAAGTTGGTCCAAATCGGGGGTCCAAAATTAAACTGTGTTTGATTTCAACAAAAATTGAATAAATATAGGGTTCTTTGAAATGGTTAATCTAAACCTGTATTTCTTTTCATTTATAATAAGATAATACCACATTGAGGTCCAAAGGGTCCTAAATTAAACTTTTGTTTAATTTTATCAAAAATTGAATTCTTTGGTTCTTTGATATACTGATTCTAACAATGTTTGAGTGTTAAATCATATCTAATTTTAGAGAACTTAGTCATCACTGGTTGTTGTTATAAGCTCACCTGGCCCAAAGGGCCAAGTGAGCTTTTCTCATCACTTGGCGTCCGTCGTCAGTCGTCTTTAGCTTTTTACAAAAATCTTCTCCTCTGAAACCACTGGGCCAAATTTAACCAAACTTGGCCACAATCATCATTAGGGTATGTAGTTTAAAAAATATGTCCGATGACCCTGCCAACCAACCAAGATGGCCGCTGTGGCTAAAAATAGAACATAGGGGTAAAATGTAGATTTTGGCTTATATCTCTGAAACCAAAGCATTTAGAGTAAATCTGACAAGGATAAAACTGATTATCAGGTCAAGATCTATCTGCCCTGAAATTTTCAGACAAATCTGACAACCTGTTGTTGGGTTGCTGCCCCTGAATTGGTAATTTTAAGGAAATTTTGCAGTTTTTGGTTATTATCTTGAATATTATTATAGATAGAGATAAACTGTAAACAGCAATAATGTTCAGCAAAGTAAGATCTACAAATAAGTTGTCATGACCAAAATTGTCAGTCGACCCCTTTAGGAGTTATTGTCCTTAATAGTCAATTTTTAACAATTTTTTGTAAATTTTTGTAATCTTTTACAAAAATCGTCTTCTCTGAAACTACTGAGACAAATTTAACCATACTTGGCTATAATCGTTATTAGGGTATCTAGTTTAAAAAATTGTCCGATGACCCTGCATTCCAACCATCATGGCCGACTTGGTTAATAATAAACATAGGGGTAAAATGCAGTTTTTGGTTTATATCTCTGAAACTAAAGCATTTAGAGCAAATCTGACAGGTGGCAAAAATGTTCATCAGATTTAGATTTATCTGCCCTGAAATTATCAGACGAATCCGACAACCCGTTGTTGGGTTGCTGCCCCTGAATTGGTAATTTTAAGGAAATTTTGCAGTTTTTGGTTATTATCTTGAATATAATTATAGATAGAGATAAACTGTAAACAGCAATAATGTTCAGCAAAGTAAGATCTACTAATAAGTTGTCATGACTAAAATTGTCAGTCGACCCATTTAGGAGTTATTGCCCTTAATAGTCAATTTTTAACAATTTTTTGTAAATTTTTGTAATCTTTTACAAAAATCGTCTTCTCTGAAACTACTGAGACAAATTTAACCATACTTAGCTATAATCATTATTAGGGTATCTTGTTTAAAAAATTTGTCCGATGACCCCGCATTCCAACCATCATGGCCGACTTGGTTAAAAATAGAACATAGGGGTAAAATGCAGTTTTTTGGTTTATATCTCTGAAACTAAAGCATTTAGAGCAAATCTGACAGGTGGCAAAAATGTTCATCAGATTTAGAAATATCTGCCCTGAAATTTTCAGACGAATCCGACAACCCGTTTTTGGGTTGCTGCCCCTGAGTTAGTAATTTTACAAAAATTTTGCAGTTTTTATACGACCGCTAAAAAATTTTGTGGTCGTATATTGGTATGACGTTGGCGTCGTCTTCGTCGTCGTCGTCGTCGTCGTCGTCCGGCGTCGTCGTCCGAATACACAATGGTTTTCGCACTCTAACTTTAGTTTAAGTGAATGGATCTCTATGAAATTTTACCATAAGGTTCAATACCACAATAGGAAGGTGGGGATTGATTTTGGGGGTTATGGTACCAACAGTTAAATAATTAGGGGCCAAAAAGGGGCCGAAAATAAGCATTTTTGTAACTTCCAGACATAACTTGTGTGTTATTGTATGGATCTCTTTGACATTGTACTACAAGATTCCATATCACAAAGGGTCGATGATGGGATTGATTTTGGGGTTAATTTCCTCGAAATTTTAGGAATAAGGGGCCAAAAGGGGGCAAAAAACAAGCATTTTTCTAGTTTCATGACAATAACTTGTGTGTAAGTGTATGGATCTTTCTGAAATTTTACTACAAGGTTCCATTTCGCAAAGGGAAAGCTGGAATTGATTTTGTGGTAATTGCCCAAAACGTTTAGTAATAAGGGGCCTAAAAAGGGGTGAAAAATAAGCATTTTTTAGTTTCTAGACAATAACTTGTGTTCAAGTGTATGGATCTCTCTAAAATTGTATTACAAGGTACCATACCACAAAGGCAAGGCTGTTATTGAGCTCAGTTTGGGGGGGGAATGGGGGGGTGATGAATCATAGGGGGGGTCAAAAAAGGGGTAATTATTTTTTTTCGTTTAAGGAATAAGGGGAAAAAAGGTTAAAAAACTAGGGTTTCCATTTTAATAGACAAATAATTGAGTAAAGAACATTATTTAAAAGCAGTATAAGGTTGGTAATTCAAACTCATTTAAATATCTCACCTGCACTATGTTTGAATTATGTAAATTGGAAATTTGTTAATTATTTTAGTATAATAAACTTCATTGGAAAATTGCCAATATAAAATTTTGCTGATGAAGGTTTTTTGTTTACCTTTAGTCTGACTATGATGTCATTTTCTATTTTAATAGCCTTATGATGTAGTTAAATTTTTTTTAATACTTTTATGATGTATTTTAATGCGCTTTTATGGTTGCAAATTTATTGTTTTAATATAATAAACTCCATTGGAAATTTACCAATAGTTTGTTTATTTTTAGCTATGACTATGATGTCATTTTCTATTTAATTTTAAGGTTACAAATTAATTTCAGTTTTAAATATTATTGTAAAATGTTTGCCCAAAACATTTATTAATAAGTGGCCAAAAAAGGGGGCAAAAATAAGCATTGTTTTAGTTTCCAGACAATAACTTGTGTTCAAGTGTATGGATTTTAATTGAAATTGTACTTAAAGGTACCATACCACAAAGGGAAGTGGGTCAAAAAATTTGGGGGGGGGGGGGGGGGATTTTTTTTCCTTTTTTTTTTCTTTAAAATTTTCCATTTTAAGTTGGTTAATTCTGATCACAAAGAGAAAGTTGGAATTGAGTTTGGGGGATAATTGCTCAAATGTTTAGGAATAAGGGGCTAAAAAAGGGGTTAAAAATAAGCATTTTTTTTTAGTTTCCAACAATTAATTGTGTTTAAGTAATTGGATCTCTGTGAAATTGTACTGCAAGGTACCATACCACAAACTGAAGGCTGGGATTGAGTTTGGGGGGGGGGGGGGGGGGGGCGTGATGTGTGAAAATTTTCCACTTAAAGTCGGTTAATTATTTCTGATTTAGATATAAAAGCAAATAATAATTTTGTGGTTTGATTTTATCAAAAACTTAAATTGAAGTTATGTATATTGTAAATTTAGGTTACATTGGAATTTAAGAATTGGCTTTGGGGTAGGGTTATGGCTCAAACCTTTGAATAATAAGGGAAAAAAAGGTGAAAAAACAAGGGTTTCCAGGTTAATAGACAAATAAGTACAAAACATTATTTAAAAGCAGTGTAAGGTTGGTAATTCAAACTCATTTAAATATCTCACTTACACTGCTTTTAAATTATGTAAATTGGAAATTTGCCAATAACTTTATTGTTAATAAATGCATTGGAAATTTGCCAACAATTTTAGTATAATAAACTTCATTGGAAATTTGCCAATATAAAATTTTGCTGATGAAGGTTTTTTGTTTACCTTTAGCCTTGACTATGAAGTCATTTTCTATTTTTATAGCCTTATGATGTAGTTGAATTATTTAATACTTTTATGATGTGTTTAAATGGGGTTTTATGGTTGCAAATTTATTGTTTTAGTTTAATAAACTCCATTTAAAATTTGGTAATAAAAAAAATTTTTGTTTATTTTTAGCTATGATTATGATGTCATTTTCTATTTTACTTTTATGGTTGCAAAGTTTTTATTTTTAGATATTACTGTTAAATGATGCTGATTAAGGTTTTTGCTATGTTTAGCCATGACTATGATGTCATTTTCTATTTTAATATCTGTCATGATGTATTTAAATGGGCTTTTATGGTTACAAAGGAATTTTATTTTTAGATATTACTGTAAAATGTTGCTGATTAAGGATTTTGTTTATTTTTAGCCATGACTATGATGTCATTTTCTATTTTAATACCTTTATTATGTAATTTCCATTTTTAGATATTACTGTTAAATGATGCTGATTGAGGGTTTGAATGCTGGGATTGATTTTGGGGGTAATTGCCTCCAAATTTTAGGAATTAGGGGGCAAAAAACAAGCATTTTTCTAGTTTCATGACAATAACTTGTGTGTAAGTGTATGGATATTTATGAAATTGTACTACAAGGTTCCATATCACAAAGGGAAAGCTGGAATTGAGTTTGGGGGTACTTGCCCAAAACGTTTAGGAATAAGGGGCCAAAAATAAGCATTTTTCTAGTTTCCAGACAATAACTTGTGTACAAGTGTATGGATCTCTCTGAAATTGTACTGCAAGGTACCATACCACAAAGGGAAGGCTGGGATTGTTTTTGGGGGTAATTGTCTCAAAATGTTAGGAATTAGGGGCCATAAAGGGGCAAAAAAACAAGCATTTTTCTAGTTTCATGACAATAACATGTGTGTAAGTGTATGGATCTTTATGACATTGTACTGCAAGGTTCCATATCACAAAGGGAAAGCTGGGTTTGAGTTTGGGGTAATTGCCCTAAACTTTTAGGAATTTGGGGCCAAAAAGGTGCAAAAAACCCAAGCATTTTTCTAGTTTCCAGACAATAATTTGTGTTCAAGTGTATGGATCTCTCTGAAATTGTACTGCAAGGTACCATACCACAAAGGGAAGGCTGGGATTGAGTTTGGGGGTGATGAATCATAAGGGGGTTTCAAAAAATTTGGGGGGGGGATTTTTTTTTCCCTATTTTTCTTTAAAATTTTCCATTTTAAATTGGTTATTTCTGATTTATATATAAAAGCAAATAATAATGATATGGTTTGAATAGGTAAATTAAAAAATTTTAAGTTCTTAGACTACTTTCATTCTGTGTGAGAAACCTATGCTGTGTCAAATATTTAATTACAATCCAAATTCAGTGCTGTATCAAGCTTGAATGTTGTGTCCATACTTGCCCCAACTGTTCAGGGTTCGACCTCTGCGGTCGTATCAAGCTGCGCCCCAGCGGAGCATTTTATTTGTTATTATCTTAGATATCATTATAATATCTAATATCCAATACTATTAATTATGATTTTAACCTTATTTTACATGATTTCCAAAGAATCAGTAAATACAGGTGAGCGACACAGGCTCTTGAGAGCCTCTAGTTATATTATTGATTATAAGTTGAAAAATTGCATCATATCTTATTTTAGAAAACATTTATCATGTTTGAGATATTTCCCTTTGCACAGAAAATATTATGGATAAAATTAACCTGTGTTTCATTTCAACATAAATTAAATAAATATAGGGTTCTTTCAAATGCTGAATCTAAACCTGTATTTAAATATTAGATTTTTGGGCCCAGTTTTGAAGTTGGTCCAAATCAGGGTCCAAAATTAAAGTTTGTTTGATTCAACGAAAATTGAATTTATGGGGTTCTTTGAAATGCTGAATCTAACCATGTATTGAGAGATTTTTTATTGTAGGTTTCTTTATCAAATTGGTCCACATAAGGTAAATGTCCAATTTCAAATATTTCAGTTCTTTGACCACATTCACAAACCTATGCTGTGTCAAATATTCAATCACAATCCAAATTCAGAGCTGTTTTAAGCTTGAATGTAGTGTCCATACTTGCTCAACTGTTCAGGGTTCGACCTCTGCAGGAAAATCCGGTTTGCTGTCACTCTTGACAGCCTCTTGTTATAACTTATACTTGCATTTATATGCTTAACAGTTGTTTGGGAAGGGAATAAAAGAAAATTGGAGTAGAGTCTGCTTTGTTTAATCCCGTTATTATTTTGCATATGGAAAGGTTTGCTAATAGCCTTGCATTTAACAGGCTGTTTGTTGTACTGATGGTAAACATTGTTGTCCTGAAGGAACTACCTGTGATGTGTCATCTGGAAAATGTAACCGTGGAGACATGTCTGTAATAGACTGGTTTGAAAAAGTTCCTGCCAATGATGGAAGTGTGAAATGTCCTGATGGTCGGTCAGAATGTAAAACAGGACAAACCTGTTGTAAACTAGCATCTGGTCAATATGGTTGTTGTCCAATACCAAAGGTATGGTTACAGATAGTGTATAATTTTCCATTCAGATTAATTCACTAAATCCCTATAATATGTCTCAATGGCAATAAGTTTCCTCTCAGCATTCTTTATTGCTATGTGAAGATATATATTTGAACTGTTTATTACTTTCTGGTTGAAATCTCTAACAATAAACACATATATTTAAAAGATAAAGCTTAAATTTGAAGTTTTCTGGTCTTGATAATGTAAAAATACTGGGTTTGTTGCCTCGAAACAAACTAAACCTTATACTTGCATTTATATGCTTAACAGTTGTTTGGCAAAAGTAAAAAATAATACCAGAGTGGATTCTGCTTTATATTATCCAATTATCATGTTGCATATGGAAAGGTTTGCTAATAGGCATGCATTTAACAGGCTGTTTGTTGTACTGATGGTAAGCATTGTTGTCCTGAGGGAACTACCTGTGATGTGTCATCTGGAAAATGTAACCGTGGAGACGTGTCTGTTATAGAGTGGTTTGAAAAAGTGCCTGCCAATGTTGGAAGTGTTAAATGTCCTGATGGTCGGTCAGAATGTAAGACAGGACAGACATGTTGTAAACTATCATCTGGTCAATATGGTTGCTGTCCAATACCTAAGGTATGGTTAAGGATGTAGTATGTTTGCCATTAAAAAGTATTCTCCTTTATCTGATAGTCACTATAATCTGCCTGATTAACAAAAAGTTTCCTTTCAGCATTTCATATTGTTATCTGATTGCATATAGTTGAATTGTTTATTACTTTTCTGCTTTGCCTTTTGATAGTTCTTCAATTGCATGGATTGTCATAAAGATCTGTCTGAATAGCAATAAGTCTCCTTAATAAAGTCTTATTGTAGCATTTTCTATTGCAATGTGATGATATATCGCTGACAAATTTATTACTTTTCTTGTTTATAGCTTTCACGCTATCTCATGTAAAACCTACATTAGTTTGAAATGGTATTGATCAAAATAAATGTTCTTTATATCCTGATTTTACTACATTTCATTATAACCTTTTTTGATTCCTAGTACTGTAAATTCAGAAATTATTGCGATGTTTTTTAATATGAAAAATGTGACAGTTTCAGTTTTTCAATAGTAAAAACCTCCCATTCATAATTTTAGTAGTGATTTTTCTTGATAAAGTTTTTGCAATGGCATTACTGTGACTTGACTATAGGTGTTGCTGTTCACTTTTACTTATTGTTCAACCAGATTGTAAAATTGACAAAACAATTTGGACATTTAAATTGACCAGTTGGTATTTTTAGAGGTGATGAATATATGATCACTCATGCATTTAGAGTATACCTGGATGCTGTCCCATCACTTCACCTGTTCAATTGTAAATGTTGTAATGTAACTGGGATAGGTCTTTCAAACGTTATCCATGTGGCAAACTTATTTCATGTTCTAATATTTGCTAAAATACTGCTGATTTCTGAAAAATTCATTTCCCTATGCTTTCCACTAGAGAATCCTAAAATAAGTAAGTCTTATTTTCATTGAAATGAATGTATTCCTTAAAGTAACTGGCCATACAATTGCCAAAGAAACATTTTATATTCTACTGTCATGTCTAATTTTAGGAGTGAGCAAGCCAGATAAAGAATATATATATATTTTTTTCTTGTAGGATATTTAATTGCATATCATATGATGCACTACATTTTCTTTTATTGTTTTCATATCCAAATACTATGTCGCCGCGATATAGCCTTGTTGTGCTAATGCGGCGTAAAGCAACCAACAATCAATCAATCCAAATACTATGAGTACTTGAATTTCTTTTATATTGTTGAAAAGTCCTCTTTGGTTTTTTTAATGGGAGATAACTAAAAAAATTTTTTCACTCTTGTGGAAATCTTAATTATATTATAATTCCATAATTTTTCCAGGATTAATAAACACCAGAACAAATGTGTGCATTCCTTCATTTTGACATTTGTTCAATACTTATTGGCATGAGCCTTGTACAAAGTGCTTATGCATAGTGAAATATCAAAATATTAGTTATGAATAAACTTATTTATTTATTTATTATTAATTGACACTGATATTTAATATCCCATCCAGTATTCCAGTTTCACTATTTAAATAATTTTAAAATATTTTTCTAACCTTAATAACTTTTTGGAATATTTTCTTACATTTTTCACTATATCACTAGATTTTTTTCTGTATCCACTGTATTCTGTTTAATTAAACAGGTGCAGAGTAGTCTTTATATTGGATCCAGAATTTTGTAATTTTTGACTATTTCCAATTTCACATTCAAAATAATTATCTAAACTTTACAGATTTTTGGGAATATTTTATTTATAATTTTCACTACATCACTTTTTATTCTATATCCACAGTTTTCATTTTTTTATTTCATTTTCCATGATATATGTCCCAATTAAACAATATTAGATCCAGAATTTTATAATGATTATTTCCAATATCACATTTAAAATTTGTATCCTCACGTTATGAATTTTTTGGAATATTTTACTTTAATTTTTCACTTTTTCACTTGAATTGACTATATTCACTGTATTCACATTTTATTTCATTTCCATGATATGTATCTAATTTAAACAGGTGAAACATCTTCATATTAGATCCAGAATTTTGTAATTATTATTTTAAAAATCACATTTAAAAGCCACAGATCTCCTACTTTCAGTTTTCAGCATTCCAGTTTTGAATTGTTTTTACCTTTTTGATTATCTAAATCCCAACTTATAAAAAGTGAACTCCTTGAGTGAACACAATATTATTATGCACAAAAATCTTAATAGATTTTTAAAAAAACACTGCAAGGTATACTCCAAACTTTGTTTCGAATTTTACATGTACTTCATCAAGTTAATGCAACACAAAACATTTTGAATGAATGATTTCTTCCTTGATACATTCATGACAATCCATACTTGGGAAAACAAGTCACATTTTAAGCAGCAAAATTAAATGGCATCTAAGAAGTGAATTCAAATTAAATAAATTTTTTATGCACATTGATTCCAATAGATTTCAAACACCGAAGAATACTCCAAAATGAAAACTTTGAACAGATATATGAAAGAAAGCATAACATATCCATCTGAAAACTGAAACTGAAAACACCTGAATAGCTATTTCTTGTTTCACTGACAACTGGACAATACTATGTTTTAGGGTTAAACATTTAAAGATTCATTTATTATGTAAAAACAGTTTTAATTTTCATACATATTAACATCCAGTTAAGAAAATATTTTATTGATTTAGATTTTTGGGTCAAAATTAGATAAATCATCTATTTTAGGAATTTATAACAATGAAAACATATCATATTTTCTTTCCTATCAATTTTATAAAAGAATAAACCTAGATGAAGACAAACTTCAGGAAAAAAGCATGGTCTAATGTTGGGTTAGGTGAATAAAAAACAGTACAGGTAGCATCAAGGTAGACTCAACTCTAACAATACCAACTGTTCAATTTAAATGTCCACACTGTATTGTCAATTTTATAATCTTGTTGAACAATAGGGAAAGGTAAACAGCAACACATAAAGTCAAGTCACAGTAGTTAGATTTTGCAATTTTGCCTGAGGGCAAGGAATTGAATAATAAATGCACGCATTGTTTTTGTCGCGCCTGTGACTTTTGTCACAGAAAGCTAGACATAGGTATAGTGATCCGGCGACGGCGACAGCGGCGGCGTTAACTAACTATTTAAAAGCTTTATATTTTAAAAGGTGGATGACCTGGATGCTTCATACTTTGTATATAGATGCCTTATGTTTTGAAGTTTCCGCCTGTCATATGTCCATTGTCCTTGACCTCATTTTCGTGGTTCAGTGACTACTTGAATAAAAAGTTAACATTTCTTGTAATGTTAATTTCTCTCTTATTATGAGTAATAGGATAAATTTATTTAGTATGTGCGTACCTTGCAAGGTCCTCATGCCTGTCAGCCAGTTTTCATCTGACCTCGACCTCATTTCATGGATCAGTGAAAATGGTTAAGTTTTCGTAGTCAAGTCCATATATCATATACTATAAGCAATAGGTCTACTAAATTAGTGTATGAAATGATTGTAAGGTGAAAATGTCCGACTGGCAGGTGTCATCTGACCTTGACCTCATTTTCATGGTTCAGTGGTTAAAGTTTTTTCTAATACTATATGCAATAGGTAAACTATATTTGGTGTATGGAAAGATTTTACAATGTAAAGTTGTCAGTCTGGCAGGTTTTATTTGACCTTGACCTCATTTTCACTGTTCTTTGCTCAGTGTTAAGTTTTTGTGTTTTGGTCTGTTTTTGTTGAACTATAAGCAATGTGTCAACTACATTTGGTTTATGGAATGATTGTTAGGTGTTTATGTCTGTCTGGCAGGTATCATCTGACCTTGACCTCATTTACATGATTCATTGGTCAATGTTAAGTTTCATGGTTAAGTTTGTTTCTTAGATACTATAAGCAACAGGTCAACTATATTTAATGCATGTATTGATTGTTAGGTGTACATGTCTGTCTGGCATGGTTCATCTGACCTTGACCTCATTTTCATGATTCGTTGGTCAATGTTAAGTTTTCCTGGTTAAGTTTGTTTCTTAGAAACTATAAGCAATAGGTCAACTATATTTGGTGTATGGAATGATTGTAAGGCGTATGTGTATTTCCGGTTTGGTTTATCTGACCTTGACCTCATTTTCTTGGATCATGTTAAGTTTATGTGATACTTGTAATAAAGCTTTATATTTAAGACTATCAACATTAAATCAATGGTAAGTAAAGCAGGCGGGACATTTCAGCGTGTGCACTCTTGTTGAATTTGCGGTAAAATAAAAAAAAAACTTGTTATATCAATAGTTACCTTTTACAAGCTGCACTTTTACTTGAAAGAGAAAAACAAACATTGGGATAGAATATGATGTATATTTCCATGTTATAAATCTGCTAATTGGAAGGTTGGTAAGAGTTCCATATGGCACCCCACCATACTAAAAGAACACAATAATGTATTACAGTTTATTCCGTGGGGGTGCCATATGGAACTCTTTCCGGAAGGTTTTCTAAAAGGTTTACACTTTACAGGCTGTCTGTTGTACTGATGGTAAACATTGTTGTCCTGAGGGAACTACCTGTGATGTGTCATCTGGAAAATGTAATCGTGGAGAAATTGCTGTATTGGACTGGTTTGAAAAAGTTCCTGCTTATGTTGAAAGTGTGAAATGTCCTGATGGTCAGTCAGAGTGTAAAACAGGACAGACATGTTGTAAACTAGCATCTGGTCAATATGGTTGTTGTCCAATACCAAAGGTATGGTTACAGATGTTGTATACTTTTCTGTTAACAAATTAAATCACAGATGTTGTATAACTTTCCATTAAAAAATTTGTTCACTCGATCTGATAATTACTAAAATCTGTCTAAATGGCAAAAAGTCTCCCCTCAACATTTCTTATTGTTATGTGATGATATATGGTTGAACATTTTATTACTCTTCTGGAAAAAAACTATAACACTGAACACTATTTCTTGCAATATAATTATTTAAATGATTTTTCTTAAATGAAAAGTTTCCTGGTCTTAATAATGAAAAAAAGTTTGCATTTGTTTCCTAAAAACAACTATTATTTAACTGATATTTGCATTTTGTAAGCTTGACATTTTTTTGGCAAAAGTCAAATATACATTGCAATAGAATCAGAGGTATTTAATCATATAATAGATCTGGAAATTAGAAAGGTTTGCTAGTAGGCTTAAACTTTTCAGGCTGTTTGTTGTACTGATGGTAAACATTGTTGTCCTGAGGGAACTACCTGTGATGTATCATCTGGAAAATGTAACCGTGGAGACATGACTGTTATAGACTGGTTTGAAAAAGTTCCTGCTAATGTTGGAAGTGTGAAATGTCCTGATGGTCGATCAGAATGTAAAACAGGACAGACATGTTGTAAACTAGCATCTGGTCAATATGGTTGTTGTCCAATACCAAAGGTATGGTTACAGATGTTGTATAACTTTCCATTAACAAATTTGTTCACTCGATCTGATAATCACTAAAATCTATCTAAATAGCAAAAAGTCTCTCCTCAACATTTCTTATTGCTATGTGATGATATATAGTTGAACATTTTATTACTCTTCTGGAAAAAAACTATAACACTGAATACTATTTTTTGCAATATAATTATTTAAATGATTTTGCTTAAATGTAAAGTTTCCTGGTCTTGATAATGAAAAAGTTTGCATTTGTTTCCTAAAAACAACTATTATAAACCTGATATTTGCATTTAATAAGCTTGACATTTTTTTGGCAAAAGTAAAATACACATTACAATAGAATCAGATGTATTTAATCATATTATGGATCTGGAAATTAGAAAGGTTTGCTAGTAGGCTTACTCTTTACAGGCTGTTTGTTGTACTGATGGTAAACATTGTTGTCCTGAGGGAACTACCTGTGATGTGTCATCTGGAAAATGTAACCGAGGAGACATGACTGTAATAGACTGGTTTGAAAAAGTTCCTGCTAATGTTGGAAGTGTTAAATGTCCTGATGGTCGGTCAGAATGTAAAACAGGACAGACATGTTGTAAACTAGCATCTGGTCAATATGGTTGCTGTCCAATACCAAAGGTATGTTTAAGAATGTAGTATGTTTTGCTGTAAAAATGTGTTGCACTTGATCTGATAGTCACTATATAAATCTGCCTGAATGACATTAAGTCTCCTCTCAGCATTTCATGTGGCTATGCGATGTCATATAGTTGAACTTTTAATTAATTGTTTTTGGTTTGCCTTTTATTGCAAAAGAAATAAAACCTTTCTTCAGAATGAGTTCCTCTTTGAATTAAAAACCGTTTTACAATTAAAAACCGAACAATGCTTGTATGATTCTAAAATTGCAGAAAAATTGCAAAAATGACATAGGTTAAGTATGTACAACAGAGAATGTATAATATGCATTTAATAATGTGCAATATAACTGATTTATTTCTAAAATTTCAGAGGTGTCAAAGTTAAGTTATTATAATATTTTTTTTAAATACTGGTGTTGTTTTGTACACTTTTTAGGCTAATGTATATTGTGAAATTTTGGTAGCAATTCTATTATATTGGATTATAAACACACAAAAAAAAATCTTCTTTTTTGATTTAATGTAACCTAGAATAAATTTAGGACAGGCTAAATGGCTTATAATTGGTACCTAATATAAGCATTGTCATTTTTAAATTTTATTGGTTGAACACAAATGTGAAATATTTGCAAGAAAAATTTCTATAGAAATGTAGCAAAATCTTAAGTCAGAAATTTACTTTTATCTGTTTATAATCAGTGTTATTGAACAAATTGAAAAATAAAACATTTGTAAAAAAAATATGAGAAAGTAATAATTGGTGCAAACTGCAAAATAAATTATATCCATTTTTAATGGTTTCATAGTGATACTTAAGGCTGATATAGCAATGTGCCAATGCATATCACATTTTCCTCATACAATCTAGTAACCCACTAAACAACAAATTACAACAATTACAATTCAGATAAAGTAGTAGATTAGAATAAATACAACATCAAATGCAGTTTTGTATGTCCTTTTTTTAGCATTGGTACATGTATAGATAAATTAGTGGATTATAATAAATACAACATCAAATGCAGTTTTGTATGTCCTTATTCAGCATTGGTACATGTATAGATAAATTAGTGGATTAGAACAAATACAACATCAAATGCGGTTGTGTGTGTCCTTATTTGGTATTGGTACATGTATTTCATTACTGGGAGTTAAGTTTTTTGTTCATCTAAATTAATCAATGAATGATTGGCTTTACAAGGAAAGATTTAAAGGTCCCATTGAATAAACTCCACTGAGAACAATAGCTATTGTATTTATTCAATGGGACATGTGAACTTGCAAAAATTTGAATAGCATGACAAAAAGGAACTTATTTTGGGGAAGGTTTCATTTCTTTCCCAATAGCTGTACTTTAATTGCACTGATTGTCACAAAAATCTGTCTAAATGGCTCCTTGTAGCATTTCATATTGCTATGTAGAATACCATTGAAATTTTCTCATTAATAGCAATGCAACATTTCACAATAATACCTCTTTTGATTCCTAGTAAACTAAAAAATATTTTGTATCAATACCCACATATAACAAACTGAACTTTTATTTGAAAAATAATAAATATACATTCAGGTAGAATAAACTGTATTTAGTTATGTTATCATCTGCAAATTGGAAGGTTTACTTAAATGTTTACACCTTACAGGCTGTCTGTTGTACTGATGGTAAACATTGTTGTCCTGAGGGTACTACCTGTGATGTGTCATCTGGAAAATGTAACCGTGGAGACATGACTGTAATAGACTGGTTTGAAAAAGTTCCTGCAAATGTTGGAAGTGTTAAATGTCCTGATGGTCGGTCAGAATGTAAAACAGGACAGACATGTTGTAAACTAGCATCTGGTCAATATGGTTGTTGTCCTATACCAAAGGTGAAGCCAATATTTATATTCCTTGATTTATTTAGCATATGCAATTGGTTTTTCTTTAAATTAGAAAAGAATAAACCCATGGAATGCTAGGAAATAACAAATATGTCCATGGAAAAGTGTTTATATTTTGTTCTCTTCATAATGATTAATAATATCCCTTCAAGAAGAAGTTCAATGATCACTGTATAGCTAAATACAGACAGTTGGTAGAACAAGCCCAGATTTTTATATTTCACATAGTAACAGTCTGTAAAAATGCTGGACACCATATCAAGAATCATTATTTTCACTCAAGCCAACCAGTCTTTGCTCTTACTGCTAAATGCCATGTGCCTAGAAGAGAAGCTAGAAATCTCAATTTTAAGACTTTGTTTTGATCAGGCCAGTTATTGCACCTTTGCCCTCCTGCACGCAGGGATGTGGGGCTAGAACATTGAGGTAGTTCAGGTTTCTTTTCAGTAATATTATAACGAAATCAATGTTGCAAGCTAAGTTACACTAGCTTTTTCATCAGTGAACTTTCTCATTGACATTTACCCCATATCTGCTTGAATTCATATTCATTTTACTGTCGATGGTCGGGCTTCTCTCAGGTCACACTGGTTTCCTCTACCAATATAAACTGCCCACCACAATATAGCAAATAGTGCTGAAAGGGGCGTTAAACACCAACATTCAATCAATCATTAAAAACACAACATTGTTTTTTCATTATATCATTAATATAGAACATTGAGCATTCAAATTTATATTATGTATCCTGAATAAAGGAACTTTAAGACATGAGGGGGGTCTTGTAAGTCTTTGGTTTGTACTTACAGGCTGTGTGTTGTACTGATGGTAAACATTGTTGTCCTGAGGGAACTACCTGTGATGTGTCATCTGGAAAATGTAATCGTGGAGATGGAAGTCAAATTGCCTGGTTTACAAAATTAGAGGCAAAGGTTGATACCATCACTTGTCCTGACAACTCATCTACATGTAAAAATGGACAGACTTGTTGTAAAGCTGGAAATAATAAATATGCTTGTTGTCCACTGGCACAGGTATGAAGTTTTAAGAATTTTGTCAGTGAATCGTTAAGTAGCATTTTAGTTAGTCCTGTGTAATATAATTATATATTCTTGTATTCCTCCTGCTTAAAATTCCTTCTTTCATACACTAATTACTATGGAAAAAATGATACAAATATATATATATATATATAAATATTTTTAAATTATGAGAGATGTATTTAATGTGAAAAGTATCTCTTTATATTATATTTGTATGGAGATGAATTGTTTTTACTTGTCCATCCATCTATTCAACACAAAAGATTGTCATGTATGACTAAGCCTGGTATCTTTGATGAGTTTTTTTTTTACATTTTAAAGTTTTGCACCACCATTATTGATACAGTGGTTTCATTGAATAAAAATGATTCTCTTTAAACTATAAGTAGTTGTGCACCTTTTATTTTTCATTCAGAATGCCTTTTAGAGTTTCTCATAGCAAATTATGAACTTTGGGAGTTTTTTTGTCAATTCAAATATATCTTCCATTGATTTGTATTGGAACAGAACTGGATATTATTTCTTCATATCATGTTTACATTTCTAAGTAAACCAGAAATTTAGTTTTAAAATTGATAGTCATTAATAACTTGATAGAGAAAGAATGAAGGATGAAACATATTTGTATCAAAATAGACATTTTAAATTATATTGATATAATTTGTATTTTCAAAGCAAAGACAAAGTAACATCTAGACCGAATATTTTTTCACTTTTTTATTTTTAGGCTAATACTGATAGTTTTTTGTTTTCTTTTACTGCCTAAAAATGGTTACCTATATTTGACAAGCAGATTTGCCCCTACTATTTTTATCTTTCTTATATAAAGGATGCAGAAGGTTGTTAGAAAACTTATGCTCAAGTAATTGATTTTTTTTTCTTTAGTCAGCTGAATACTTTTTTCTCATTAAATATGTCAAACAAAATGCTTTTTGGGAAAAAAACAACCAAAAGACAAAAAACAGTCTACAAAACACTAATAGAAAACCTAAGACTGAGGAACATGAACCTTAGTTTTTTGTATATTGTTTTGTTGCTGGTTGTTTTTCATTTTGTCGATTCTCTTTTTGGCATAGTTTTTTTTATAGCCACTTGTTATTTTCTTCCTTTGTTTTACTCTTAAAAAGGGAGAAAAACCCAATTTTCTAATTTTATTGTTAATCCCTTTCTTTGGATTCCGTTGAAAATCATTTCTGATTTATTTTAGCCAAGTGTGAAACAACTATTTTAATCTGGTTTGTTGTCTTGAGTAACTTTTCGCCTTTTTAATAAATTTTTGCCCTGAATTAGCATGAAACTTTAGATTACTTCATGATTGGTTAACAACAACCAATTAATCAAATTAACTTTTAAAAAACTTTTTTCTAGGCTATTTGTTGTGATGATAACCTTCACTGTTGTCCTCAAAACACAAAATGTAACATCAAAACCAGTAGCTGTGATTTACTGTTAAGTGCTAGTCAACCTCTATTATCATTGGAGACTCATTTACAGACTGTTACTTGTCCTGACGGGCAAACAGTATGCCCAGATAAAAATATATGTTGTAAAACAGGTAGTAGTGGATACTCATGCTGTCCTTACTCCAATGTAAGTTACTGATATAAATATTGATAATCAAGTTTTAAAACAGAATGAAAAGAAAACCATAATTTCATAATAGTTTGCAATAATTTTTTTTAACAAAACAAAAGTTGCAAACACGTATATATTTTCCTTCGTTTTCAAGACACATCAGTTTTCACAAGATAGTTATACTCTAATATTATATCTTATTTTATTGTCCCGCCTTGACGGAGTTAAAAAGCGAGACATAGGTATGCTGTTTCCGGCGTCGGCGAGGGAGGCGGCGGCGTGAACAATGTATTAGTTTGTGATTAGGACTAGTTCATGGTGAACCACTAGTGGTAGGTAAATGATATTTGATATGCAGTTGTATTAGCATTGGCACATCTCATTACAATGGAGATTATTTGGCCCCGCCCCCTCAGTCAAGGTCTATTGACTTTGAAACTTTTCATAGTTTACATGTATTAGTTTGTGATTAGGTCAATTTATGGGGAATCACTAGTGGTAGGTCGATGAAATTTGGTATGCAGTTGTATAAGCATGGGCATATCTAATTTCCATGGAGATTATTTGGCTCCGCCCCTTAGTCATCGTCTATAGACTTTGAAAATTTTGCTAAGTTAACATGTATTAGTTTGTGATTAGGTCAGTTCAAGGGGAACCATTAGTGGTAGGCCAATGTTAATTGGTGTTCAGTTGTATAAGCATTAGCACATCTCATTTCCATGGAGAATATTTGACCCCGCCCCCTCAGTCATGGTCTATTTACTTTGAAACTTTTGCTTAGTTTACATGTATTAGTTTGTGATTAGGTCAGTTTAAGATGAACTGCTAATGTTAAGTCAATGATATTGCAAGTATCGTTTCCATGGATATTATATAGCCCCACCCCTGATCATGGTTCATTGACTTTGAAACTTTTACATAGTTTACAAGTTAATGTTTGTGTTTAGGTTTGTTTAAAGGGAACGACTTATAATAAGTCCATGGTTTTTGGTATGCAGTTGTATGAGCATTGGCACATCTCATTCCATGGAGATTGTTTAGCCATGTACCTTCAGTCATGGTTCATCGACTTTGAATATTTGCATAACTTACATGTTAAAGTATTGCAATTTTAATTTCAACATTTGCATTATCAAAATTACAAAAAGGCGAGACATATCTCTGTGATAACAGTTTATATCTATATATATATCAGTGTTTTTCTTCTCATGATCAGGATGATAGTTTCACTAGAATTCCTATTTATGATCTTTTCAATCATCATACTTATACTGAAATTCCTACAAATTATATTTTTTCTCATAATAGTTGCACTATATGATACCTATCAATGCTATGCACTAATGCTCTCGAATTAAGATGTTTGTGAATACTTGTTACCATGAAATATACCAATCTTTAATTGTCTCCCCTTGCACTTATATCACTGTGTATGTAGTAAGTTCTTTTCAAATCCTTAAATTGTATGTTTATGTGCTGATTGCCCCCTGTGAGAATATTGTAATAGTCTCCATCTGTCTATTCGAAATAATCCAAGTTGTTATGAAAGATAATAGATATAACTAGGTATATATATCTGATAAAATAAGATAGTTACACATTATATTCCACTAACTAGCTCCTAATGTATCCAAGAAGTTTTTGGGTAAACATTGTATGAAATGCAATCAAAACCCTATGATACTGACTTGATATCTATATCTTCCAAGGTTGATCACTATCTTTGATAGTTCAAATAAAATAGTGCAGTGAAGTGATCATTATTTAGATCCTATCCATTCAGTGTCATGCAATTTATTGATGTTATGTTATACTTTGATATTTAAGTTACAATATGATGTGTATTTGAATTACCATGCTTGTCAAGAAAACATTTTTTCATTCAAAATTACCTAAGATATGCATGGTGTATGAATCTGGTATAAAAAAAGATTCAACTACAAATGTATAATCATGAACAAAGGAAGATAACTCAACTCAAATTTTGAATTTGCCTAGCAAAATAAAATTCAATGTTTTATTTAAAAATTCACAAAATTGCAAAATGAAAGCAATATTTACCCTTCAGTGCTCAAAGCACATTGATTCTTCCTTGGCTTTTGACTCACAAACAAAGGCAGAACTTTGATGTAATGAACCTTATAACTTAAAATAAACCTCGTTATGACACACAGTATTATCTAATACAATTCCAATATGAAGCTCCTAATGTATTCAAATAGTTATTCATCATGTTTTGCATTTTTGGGGTTTGAGTGTTCCTGGTAAAAGTAAACCCAGAAAGAGTGTTTCGTGCACACCAAATTTATGATGCGTTATTTTCATATCATAGAGATATCAATGTAATTGTTTAATGTACAATGCAACTTAAAATTACCTATTCTGTTTTTTTTTGTAGGGTGTTTGTTGTACAAACTCAAAATATTGCTGTCCACACACATATGTATGTGATGAAGAACCAGGAATCTGCCGCATTCCTTACACATATGGACTGGTACACATGCCAAAACCTGTTGTTGGGAAACCATTACTCTAAGAAAAGACTGTTGGTTTAATAGTATACAATATCTCGGCTTGTTTAGACTTATTGTTTGTGTACTGTCCTTTTTTGTTTGTCAATTTGTCTGTTTGTCCATTACTGCAACAGACGATTATGATATTGTTGTTTTATATCTTTTGTTGTTCTGCATATCATTTTTGGGTAATATTGGTTTTTTATGGATCTTTTCGTATAGAGCAGTTTGACATAACAAAATCACATTCATTGGAATGGAACAACATTGCTTGATTCTTATCATTGTAGATTTTATTTCATTTTTAATGTAACTGCAAATGTTTGAGTTCTCATAAACAGAAGTGTGTTAATGTTTAAAACAACACCTTACAAAATTGCTACATGTATAAACATGTGTAGTTGTGCATTATAAATGAATGATTATTTTTTCGCCATGTTGCATGGAGTGTTAATCCATCATACTGTATGGTACATTTCAGACAAGTAGGCATATGATGAAATGAGTGGAAAAAGGATACTTATTTCATGTCATTTAATATATACAACAAACTCATTATTTTTATAACAACACTGAGCCTTCATACTTAAAATTTGCACATAGTTCATAGTTTTTTAGGATTTTGTAATTGTAAAATAGTCGATGTTTAGCAACTTTCATAGTAGAGGGTACAACCCAATTGTGTGTATATCTCCTCCTTGAATTTAATTCAGAACTTCAAATTTAAAAACATTTCTTTATTTATTATATACCTTTTTTTTAACATACTTGGGAAACCTTTTGCAGATTTTTTATAGAGTGAAACTTCATCAATTTTCAGCAAATTTCGCAATGGTTGATACAAATTACCAATTTTATTTCATCAATTCCTGCAGTTTTTAACCCAGAACCTTTTAGGTTTTCTAGAATTTTGTATAAACATTGCAGATGTGAACTTTACTTTGTGAAATTTGTGGATATTTGTTGCAGCTTACCAAGATCATTTAACTAAGTCAATATACAAAGCATTCCAGGTGCATGGTAAAATTTTTTATCATAATTTGGTCTATTTTAGCTACTTGGAGATTGCAGTTTTAATTAGTCTAAAAGAAGTCTGTAGATATTTAATTTCCTTACTTGCATTCAAATAATTGATTCCTAAAGCATATCAATACTTATGCAAGTACTACTTATATACACAAATCATCAGTATTACATCCCTACCATTTTAGTCTTTTACCTATTATTGTCAATATTTAAAATATTTTTTTGGAATATAGAAAGAAGGAAAGGGGGAATGAAGAGACTTGTTTTTTTTTCAGTATGAAAAACAAATATTTATAAGTATTTTTAGTCCTCAAAATGTAAATATTATTGATGCTTTACATACATTAGTAAGTGGTAATAAATGGTTCTAAAATAAAGTTCACATGCTTTTGATTTTAGTATAGTTCTGTAAACACATTGTGACTGATTGCATCTCCTTGTTTCATTGTTTTTGAATAACTATGAGAGTATGAATGTTGAAATGTGTGATTTTGAATTTAAGTCTTTTATTATTTTGTATTAAAAGGAGGACATAGCTAATATCATGATGTAGTCAAGAATTGACACATACATATCTTCTGTCAATATGTGTGTAGATAAAGCAAATATCTAAGTAATATCTCTTGTTACAAACAGTTTCTATATACATATTTTGAATGTTTTTCATGGACCAATGATCCAGTTACATTTTATTTCGCACTAATTGGATCACAAATATTGTAGAGATCTGTGTGCATTTTGTGCATGCAAGTGTGGTTGAATGTGCTTTGCTATTCAAAAAAGTTAAAAATCATGTATGGATTACATGTATTTCAGACGAGTTAAAACTGTTTATAAAATTTGTATGAATGATATTATAGAAGATATATTTTATTCTTAATATAGCATTTAAAATATTCCTCATATGCAAATTGTTCAGAAAATCTCTCAATCATTTTTAGCTCACAATGAAAATGTAGGATTATTTAATTGTTAAATAGATCTGAATCAGGTCTGTTCAAATGTTAGAAAGACGGTTGCACATATAAGAACTTTCGGTTGATGAAAGTTATAAAATATAACACAAAACAAAACAAAATACCCCTTACACGAATATACAATAATGTCAGTTAGACAAATAAGAAAATAAATTATCTGAAATAAATCTAAAATGGTATAAAGATATGTCAACAATTTTAGTGTGCATGGCACATGCATATTTATAGAGACAGAGAAAATGTGAATCCCAATTGCAATATCAGAGAGGAAATCCTGTAATTACATATATTGGCTGTTAATGGTTAAAACTTAATGACATTTCTCCTTAAAATTTGTATAAATTATTGGGTTTTTTTTTTCAAGTAAACATCGACCTATCACTGATAAGTTTCATAGTATCTTGAAAAGAGAAAAACAAAGAGTCTAAATGTGAATAAAAGAGATAGAAGATTATTGAGTAATCCACACTGTGATATTTTAATGTTGAAAGTCACATTCCCTTACATAATTTGTATTTTGACTTCATATCACTTGTACTTGAATAAACTATATTTATAAATACAGCATGTGATTTATTATGAATGAGACGTCTAGCTGTGTATTTCCACAAGACATATACAAGGACCAAAGCAATATTGCCTGCAGTGTTGGAAAAAAGTCAAAACCAAAGATCAAGCTGAAAATTACCCTTTATTATCATGTACTATAAATATTTGTTTTTTTTTAATAACAAACATTATTCTAAATCTTAGAATAGCCCATCTAGTGGATATTGTATGGTTTTTGGTGGAAATCACTCATACCAATAATAGAATTAAAAATTACTTTAATGTAAAAAACTCTTCTGCATTGAAAAATTGCTCATCTGGCAGTACATATATGGTCTTGATTGAAAATACATGTAAACCACCCGACCGTGCGAGACCCTTATGGATAGTCAAGGTCGTTAAACACCCCCTAGTAGTAGTATGTAATCCACAAATCAGATTACTAAGACAATTACATATATTTGCTTACAGCCACTTCATTTGGTCTATGATGAATGGATGTCTCCATGGCTATCATACGACATCTCCTTCATTTTAAACTTATGTAAGATATTGTTCTGTAATGTGCATTAGTCAATTTGGAAGTCTTTGTATGGTCTACATGGAAAAAATGTCTATCCCACAAACAATTTATAAAACATATGTATATGAAAGAATGTTCTGCAGGGTTCGATAGTAAATTTTGAGACTATTGTATGATCTTCCAAGAGAAATTTTTTTTTAAACAAATCAAATTAAAAAACTCTACAAATTCTAAAGTAGGTCTTAGTAGAATCTACAGTGAAAGTCTCTCATGTTATCAGTGCATTGTTTTGTTGGAATTCTTGCTCTTTTAAAATCCAAAAAAGATAGAACAACACGTTATAAATTGCAAGCGCTTTTCTATATTTACCTTCATCAGGAACTCTCAAAGCCGAAAATTTGACAGCCAAGATGTGTAAGAACCGAAACAGTTGAGTCCCAAAACATTCTCGTCTTGCTATGGCTTGTTTATGATGAATTAAAAGGGGATGTTGGGTTTATGTCAAGGAAATCAACCAAGCAAAGTTTGCTTGCAAATGGATTTGTTCCGATTTCTCCCGTTTGGTACCAGCAATATATCCCCTTATCCCTATTTCTCTGCTATAGTAAAACATATTTTTCATTAAATAAACTGTGGATTTCAATGTTACATGTAACGTGTAATCAATTTGAATATATCGGCAAATTGCTACTTATAACTTAAAATCGATCACATTTAAAGGAGCACTAGCTGTCAAACTCCTATTCACCGATTTAACTCCAATTCTTATGTATTATTTATAGCATGTTGAAACGTATATCCACATTACAAATAGTCCAAAAGATACAATTAACAATGTTTGGACTCGTTATAAAGTATCAACAATTCTTGCGTATTTTACGCTAGATGCCATTTAATTATCCATCGAGATGACCTGCGAATACTGTCGATGATCATATAACTCGCTATAAACATAAATACAAATAGATAGACAGCCACGTGCCATCATAAAATGACAATATTTCTTAGTTTGAAATCATGTTTTAGATTAAAATTTATGTAAATCATCGTTTTACCTGTATAAAACGATTCTTTTGTATGCTGGAGCAGTCAACGAAATGGATGGTTATTCCTGGGGGCTCCCTTTAAAAAAAATGTTTTCAATTTTGACATTCTTTTCTCTTAAATGAACGAAAACGCTAACTACATGCTCAACACATGCGCAGCCAATCTCACTAGAGTCCAGTTGACGGTTGCATAAATACGAATTTAAATTAGGTTGAATTATTGGCTTGCAAGTAAATAATACATTAGCGATATGTTTTATTTTATTTTGACGAAATTGAAACAAAACGACTGCTAATAGCGAAATCTTTTTAATACATTACGCTTTTATAAATGTTTGAAACAAAGCAAATCATTTTTTTTTTTTGTTTATTTCATAGTTAATGCCCCTTTTAGAAATAGTTCATTCAAAGGCATGAACTTTTATCTTAAATTCCGGATTCTATAATAAACTCATTAAAGAAACAGGCTTAAAATTGTGAACGCCAGACGCGCGTTTCATCTACAAAAGACTCATCAGTGGCGCTTGAATAAAAAAATTCAAAAAGGCCAAATAAAGTACGAAGTTCAAGAGCATTGACATATAAACAACATCACAATAAAAAAGAATGTGAAATATCACTTTTAATAAGGTTTTTGTCTCGCCTTGACAAAGTCAAAAAGCGAGACATAGGTATGCTGTTTCCGGTGTCGGCGGCGGCGGCGTCAACAATGTATTAGTTTGTGATTAGGTCTAGTTTAAGGTGAACCACTAGTGGTTGGTGAATGATATTTGGTATGCAGTTGTATTAACACTGGCACATCTCATTTCCTTGTAGATTATTTGGCCCTGCCCCCTCAGTCAGGTCTATTGACTTTGAAACTTTTGCTTAGTTTACATGTATTAGTTTGTGATTAGGTCAGTTTATGGGGAACCACTAGTGGTAAGTCAATGATATTTGGTATGCAGTTGTATAAGCATTGGCACATCTCATTTCCATGGAGATTATTTGGCTCCGCCCCCTTAGTCATGGTCTATTGACTTTAAACCTTTTGCTTAGTTTAAATGTGTTAGTTTGTGATTAAGTCAGTTCAAGGGGAACCACTAGTGGTAAGTCTATTATATTTGGTATGCAGTTGTATAAGCATCGGCATATCTCATTTCCATGGAGAACATTTGGTCCCGCCCCTGCAGTCATGGTCTATTGACTTTGAAACTTTTGCTTAGTTTACATGTATTAGTTTGTGATTAGGTCAGTTCAAGGGAAACCATTAGTGGTAGGCCAATGTTAATTGGTATGCAATTGTATAAGCATTAGCACATCTTATTTTCATGGAGAATGTTTGGTCCCGCCCCCTCAGTCATTGTCTATTGACTTTGAAACTTTTGCTTAGTTTACATGTATTAATTTGTGATTAGATCAGTTTAAGATGAACCGCTAATGTTAAGTCAATGATATTTTTTACATAGTTTACAAGTTAATGTTTGTGTTTAGGTTTGTTGAAAGGGAATGACTTGTGATAAGTCTATGGTATTTGGTATGCAGTTGTATTAGCATTGGTACATCTCATTTCCATGGAGATTGTTTTGCCATGTACCTTCAGTCAAGGTTCAATGACTTTGAATATTTGCATAAATTACATGTTAAAGTATTGCTATTTTTATTTCAACATTTGCATTATCAAAAGTACAAAAAAGCGAGACATATCTCTGTGTTAACAGTTTATTACAAGAACATCATAACATCCAGACACAAACATTGCATTTATAAAAGAAATTGAATAAGATTGTAAGTAATTTGTTGCAACAACAACCTTTAATAATTTACAAACTATACAGAGAATACGTTTGTTGAGATGTAAAACGTTACTATAAACAAGGGTCAGTTCCCTTGGATAAATTTCGGCAGTATAATTATGATTACTTAAAAGAAGGATATTATTTAATGATTTCGAAAAATTCTAGTTGATGATTGCGGGAAAGTGTAGTGTAGAGAGTGGAAAAGTCGTTATATTAAACTCGAATTGAAAGGACCACCTAAATCACACAAACAGCTTTTTACACTTCAAAAATATAGATAAAAAGTAACATAATAAAAATTCAAATCGGAAAGTCCCTTATCAAATGGCAAAATCAAAAGCTCAAACGCATCAAACGAAAGGAAAACAACTGTCATATTCCTGACTTGGTACAACTGTTCTTCACAGAAAGGACATAAAGATTAGTGAATAACACTTTCTAGAAGCCGATAATAAACGATATTTTATGGGGGGTTTTTGTATGTAGTTTTGATAGCCAATAAAAAAATAACTACGAGCTCAAAATTCTTTGCTAATTTTATTAAAATCGAAATGGCGATTATGATGGTCTGACATTTCATTGAAAAGTTCGTATCCAAATGATTCTAATGAGTACTTATTGTATACCTCTACTTGTCAAGGTCATAGTTACTAAGAATAGAGTGAAATACGTGCAGAAAAAGGGTTTCCAGATAATTTTACAACATAACGATTTTGCCACATGACTCATCGGTATTAGGGATATTAATAAAAATTAGATAGGGCACAACTCAAAAACAAGGGTGGTTGATGCATATTTCAGGAATACTTTTTAATTAGCTGTAAATCAAATACCTTGTTCAAAATTTTAAAGAAGTCATTTACCTCAGAATTAGAAAGATGTGTTATTATTTTTGAAAGGGATGAAATTCTTCTCAAGACTGGTATTTTTTCGCAAATACTCCGCTGAACATGATATATCTGTTCAACAACACCAAACATCAATAGAGATGTTTAAGTTAAGCATTCGAATTTAAAATTACTTATCCTTTGCAATCAAGATGTAGCATAAACAAGAAACAGCTACATCTGATAAAGCGCACCAATGATCAAACTTGTTGAAGGATAAAAAAAACACGTTTTGGCACGACAAAAAGGGCACAAAAGGCAGATCATTGTGTACATGCACCGGTTATGGTGATAGATAAACAATATTCATCTTGTAAAAGAAAATACATGAAAAAAAACACTTGCTTTTAACCATTCAAAATCCAGGATAGTTATATAAGCTGTAATTATTTGAAAAATCATACAAAATACAGAGATGTACCTCATACCGACAATGTCAGTTGAAAAATGATATAATGCAGATTTTCTCACATAAAGCTTATGTTTTTCAGTTCTCTATTCGGAAAGAAAAAAAATATGCGATCTTAATACTTATAAACTGACATCACTTATCCATTGCACGTAATTTCTATCAGTAAAATTATTAAAACTTGAAAAACTTGAAAAATGTCAAAATCAATTAATTATAACCTTTAAAACCTATTGTGACGACTAAAATTGAGCTATCAATTTTTAAACGTTATTTTGAATTAACTTAATCGTCATTTAAATGGTCCCGTCTATTAAGTCATTATATAGAATCATGCGAACTATATAATGATGCTACAGATAATGAGGAATAAAATTTAACTTCGTGAGCTTCTGACTCCCATATATTTCTGCAAAGGGAATTATTTTAACATCTTTCACTTGTTAGGTAAGTAAGTAAACAATGGCGTAGGGAGAGAGAGAGAGAGAATTATTCTAACGTGTATTTGCTTTGCATTATAATATTATATGACTTATAAATATTTATATTATTCTAATATCCGTTATTTTTGTTTTACATAAAGTAAACTCATGCTCACTAAATAATTGTATGTATCACTAAAATGTGTGAGTGTTGGTTAATATCATAATATTCTGTCATGTATATAGACACCGTTTCTCTTGTATTCCTCATACTCGTCTCATTTAAGCGCACTGGTTATCTTTTTATTTGTCACAATTTAAAACAAAGAAAGAGATTTGTTAATTTACATTTTGATCGTAATTCCATGACCAGGATGTCCCCTGTCAAAATGTGTAAATCAATCTACGCATTTCTTTAGAAAAATGAAGAAAAAAAAGGGACTAACTCAAAACATTAGTTGAAGTTCGCATATTACATTTGTAATGTCCTAGTAAACTGTCATGATCCATTTATTCGTCTCATTACTTAATAACAATAACGGTAGTATTTTTTTGCTGCACCAAATGCACATTTCGACAATTATTCTCATCTTATTATTTTGTGTTCTTTAAAGAATGGGGTGTAACTAGAGATTGTTAAATAATTTACAACCTTCTACAGCCGATTCCAACGTAGATTCCTTGCTAGCTCAACCATGAAATCATTATTAGGTAAGGTACATCCAGCCTTTGTGTGGAGTCAATAGTTAAGCAGAGAACCAATCAGAATTAAGTGACAGAATTATAAACATTGTAAAACTAGTTTTACAAGTCTAGTTTTACAAATCAGTGTGAAAATAAGTTTTCAATCTAAATTTAAAATTCAAAGATAATTATAAGCTCATTCACAAGCATGTTGTAGGTGTGTTTGATTTGCCAATTTTATTTGGATAAATGGTGAAAAGTTAACTGAAAGCTGAAATTCCTAAAATGTTTTCTTCTTCGTCAGACATTACAAATAATAATATATTTTACCTGTCTGTTGAATTTGTTACTTCAAGTTAATAAAATGTAGTTGGATATGATTGACAAGTGCTGACCGTATTCACTTTTATACATACACATATGTTTACAATACACCCGCACAGGTAAAAAAGATTGGAAGGTGTTCAAAAGTACATATGACCTGATCATTCAATCTAGGTCAGATTAAATCTAAGTAGAGACATAAAAAATGGTCTTCATGGCTGCATTATTTATCTAAAACTAATTAGTAAGGTAATGTTAACAAACCAAGTGGATGTCCTTAAACTTTGCAATATTTTCAATTCTAAACTGCAGTTGTTTGCTGGTGTTTTTTTTTTCGTTGCATTTTTAACTTAATATATGCACTTAGTACTTCAACCGTGCATGATATTAAGTAGTATAATAATTTTTCTTTTCTGTGTGAACAAGGATTTGTATATCTCACTATACAAATCCTTGGTGTGAATATAAAAGATTTAAGTTCTAAAAAATATGCATATAACTATAAAGAAAATACATAACAATGATTTATGCGTGGGTATTACACCAAAAGACATTAATTAACTAAACTGCCTATTCACGGCGTAAATATTTAAAAAAAAAAACGTCACTCCGCTTCTGATTTATTGTAATAAAAAGATTTTTTAATTCAATCAAATACTAAGAAATGAAATTTCATTTGCACCTTTGTATGAAACATACATATCTTATAAATAATAAACAGGCCATTGATACAAATGTTTTCATTGGATGATAAAATAGCGCTTTGCTCCTCCCAATTTTAAGGTAATAATCATTTCATGGTTGAGCTAGCTAGGAAGCTAACCAAAGATTCTACCTTTAGCTACACACTCGTTGGAATCGGCTTTAAGACTATGGCTGATTTAGAGCATGAGGCATATGGACTTGTCAATTAATACTCGGGCTGATTCAGATCATATGGCATAGGGACTTGTCTATTAAAACTCGAGCTGATTCCGACCATACGACATATGGACTTTTCTATTGGACTAGGCCTGATTTAAAGCATACATCAAAGTGATGAATCTATTAAAAAAATTAAAACAACACTTTAATAAATTTCATGCGTTCGAAACTCTTTTATGGATTAAACTTCATCAGGAACGCTCAAAGCCGAATATTTGAAAGCCACGGATTTATAAGAACCGCAACAATTGAAGAGCTGTATGACCAAAAAGGAGCTAAATATAATGGTCAAAATCCATCTAAGGTCAGCTTACCTGAGGTAATTGAAATTTGATTTCTTAATAATTTATAAATTTAAGTAGAGTTTTATATAAATTATGTCAGTACCGAAGTACTGACTACTGAGCTAATGATACTCTCCGGGACTGATAGTCCACCAGCAGCGGTATCGACCCAGTGCTGTAAAAATGAAACAACACATTATAAATTGTATGCGCCCGAAGAGCTTTTCTGGATTAACTTTCTTCGGAAACGCTCAAAGCCGAATATTTGAAAGAATAGGATGTATAAGAACCGAAACAGTTGTAGAGCTTTATGGCCAAAAAGGACCTTAGGGACCGGTCAAAATTTCTTGATGCATGGGACCGGTGCAAACTGTAATGGGACAAGCACTTTTTGCAGTGTTTACAGGAATGGGACTCAATGTTTTTTCATTATTGGCAAGCATGGGACATGAACTTTTTGAAACAATGTCTGTATATGAAAAAAAAAATATTTGATAAATCTATAACAAACAAAAATAACATCATGAACATCTAGCAATGTGAATTAAACAGTTACAACATACCAAATTCATTTTCAAGATTTAGGGACCGGTCAATATTTATTGAGGGGAGGGACCGATGCAAAACGCAGTAGGACACACATTTTTTTAACTTAATTTTTGATAGGACTTCTACTTTTTTAGTTTTCAGCACTGATAGGACAGCAATATTGTTATGGCATATGTATGAATGTAGAAAATAGTCTATACAAATTTAATTACAACAAAATAAACAAGATTAATTGAGGAACAAACAAGTAACATATGGTGTAAATCAGCCCATCTAACTAAATTAAATATAGATCTATCAAAATTCCAGTTTTTTGGTAGTTTGGTTCATTGCTGTGAAATTAAAGAATTAAATTAATAGGTAAAAAAAATTTGATGAAATTCAGATAGTCATCTTTAACTATTTTTATAACTTTTTCAAATCAACTTGGATTTTCATCAAACTATACAGCTATCTTAGTTATATATTGATCTTACTGAATCCCAGGTCGTTATGTAGTTTGGTGTACTGCTGTCAAATTTAAGGATTAAATTAATCTAGGTAAAAAAAGATAGAATTTGCATTTTGGACTAAATTCAGATAGTACACTTTAATGTTTTTTATAACTTTTTCAAATCAACTTAGATTTTCATCAAACTATACAGCTATCTCAGTTATACACTGATCTTACTGAATCTCAGGTCGTTATGTAGTTTGGGGTATTGCTGTCAAATTTAAGGATTAAATTAATCTAGTTCAAAAAAGCTAGAATTTGCAGTTCAGACTAATTTTGGATAGTTAACTTTGAATTATTTTATAACTATTTCAAAGCAACTTGAATTTTCATCCAAATCTACAGCTATCTTCATTATATTTTTATCTTACAAAAAACAGGTTATTTGGTAATTTGGTTTATTGCTGTCAAATTTAAATATTTAAATTATAGGTTTCTATCTGAATTTTGTCAAAACTGAAAATTTTAGCCTTTTTTTACCTATTAACTAAGTCCTTAAATTTGACACAATACACCAAAACACAAAACAACCTGGTATTTTGTAAGATAAATATATAATAAAGATAGCTGAAAAGTTTGATGAAAATCCAAGCTGATTTGAAAAAGTTATAAAATTTTAAAAATGACACCTTTGTTTTGTTAAAACAAGAATTTAATATAATCATGATAATAGAACTTTCATAACAATCCTTGATAACCTTTTAAAAAAGGAAATGTGTTCGAAAGTTACAGTAAAAATTTATTTTAATCAAATTAAATAAATTTTTGTCAGATTTAAAGACATGGCATACATGAGGCACTTTAATAAGGTTTAATTACATCAGTACATGTGTGTTTTACAGGTAGAAAGAAAGCCCTACTTTTCTTAAACTCGTGTATCACTTATCAAATGTAGGACAGAAAGTCACAGGACAAAAAGTCACAGACAAAAAGCCACAGGACAAAAAGTCACAATTCAGTTTTGAGATTATTTTTCTTTAACAGAAAAACACTTATTTAAAAAAAATACATTTTTGTACTTTTCTTGAACTTTAGTATATAAAGCAACTTTGTAAACAAAATTTATATAAAAAAAGTATTTATAATGATCAAATAATTGTTATGAAAACAAAATGTCAAAGTGGGTTGGTACTTAAACGGCTTCATGGTGCCAAGAAATATATCTTTTGCATGAATTAAATTTAATAAATCTTTATTTATCAAGTCTAATGAACAATTTCCTCAACTGTAAAATAAATATATGTAATAAAAAGTAAATATTTAAAGATCTTTCTCTAAAATATTCAAACAAGTGTATACATATTATTTGTGACTTTTTGTCCTATCAAATTTGTGACTTTTTGTCCTGTGACTTTCTGTCCGTTTACCTACTTATCTAGTGAATTCAAAAGGCCTTGCGCTTTAAGTTTAACAGGATGTTGCAATTTTGAATGAATGTTATTTAGAATTTAATACTCTCTGGTAGGTGTGATCTTTTTGCCCCAAGCAGGAGGTATTGCTTTATACTTCACCACTCTAATCAGAAGGACAATTTTAATAATTTCTTTAATGTTTGATCCCTTTTTGATATATTCATATAATATATATCAACATGTCGAGACAATGTCGAGACTAGTCAAGTAAAATGTGAGCACAAAATCTGGTCTTTTCAGACTCTGAGCAGTTTATAGTGTAGACAATGAACAAATCCAAAGTGATGAAGAAGATGACCTTGTAATAAGAGCCTATGACAGTTCTGACAGTGATAATGACAATGATGATAATAATACTAAATGATGAATACAGTAGTAATAGTAGTATTAGTGGCAGTGAAAGTGAAAGTGAAATTGAAAAGGAATCTTATTTGCCTTCTTCAAGGAGGAGATCATTTAAAATTCCAGACAAATTCAAAGACTACTATACGTGATCTATGTTAATCTGATAAAAATGAAGTTAAACATAAAAAAAAAGATGTGGTATGATTGCCAATGAGACAACTCTCCACAAGAAACCAAATGACACAGAATTTAACAACTATAGTCTGTTTGATTTATTCATAGATTAGATAGGACATATACTTATTTAGTAGATATTTCATATAGGACAGAAACTTTAGTTGGTATATTCAGAGGGTAGGACATAGCTTTTTGTAAGTGAGAAATATGAATTACACCGATCCCAACCCCCCAATAAATATTGACCAGTCCCTTAAAGAACAGTGAAGGCAACAAAAAAAAACTTTGGAACAGAATAAACATGAAAAAATACTTTGATATAAAATTAAAAAAATATGTAAAAATTTGGTTAGATATTTTACATGTATAACTGTTTAACAAATGTAAAAAAAACGAATTCATGGATAGTGTTTCTGCACAAAAAAGCATGATTGTCAAATATATTTCTGTCCTCCCATAAAGCAGAATTTACCTACCCACTGTTAATTTAGAATAGTCAGATTCTAAATTAAGCTGCAATTTTTTTTGAAAAAATGTATTCTACCATACACTTCATACATGTTAATTGTTTAATATTGCATGTATCATTTATTATAGTCAATAACATATTGTCATCTGTTTTGGTTCCTGTGTTGGCAATGAAGTATGCTTATGTATTGTTTTGTTTACTTTATAACAGCAATATAGATACAGTTCACACATAGTAGCATTATTTTTCAGCTATCCAAATACATTGTAGCATAAAATGTAGCCACAACTTTGATCATGTTTTTTGTGCTTTAACATGGGACACACACTTTTTTATTAGGTAAAGTGCATGGGACAAGCATATTTTTATTCTGCCAGCAACCATGGGATCAAGAGAATTATTTCAGACAATTTTCTTTTTGCACCGGTCCCATGCATCAAGAAATTTTGACCAGTCCCTTAATATAAAAGCCAAATCCATGTAAGGTCAACTTTGTTTGTTAGTTTCTTAATAATTTATAAATTTATAGACGGTCAATTTAAGAAAAGTTTGATATAAATCTAGTCAGTAATTCATAATGAATTACTGACTACTGAGCTGATGATACTCTCAAGAACTTATAGTCCACCAGCAGCAATAGTTAAGACTCTGGCTAATTCAGGGAATACTAAATAAGGACTTGTCGTTTGCTGTCTTAGACGCTTGCTGTTTTAGAGCATAACGTAGATGGACCTCTCTTGTAAGACTCAGGCTGATTTGGAGCGTGCATTAAAGGGACCGGTATTTTTAGAACGTGGACCGATTTGGAAAGTACGTTAAAAAGTATTTTGTATAACTGAAAATGGCAAATTGGTTTGATTGCTTTCTCATTGACTTGTACCACTTATTCTTTTTATAGCTTAGAAAAGGTACTTTTCACGGTTTTAAATTTGGTTATTATGTAATATCATGAACGATTGCATTCACGAAAAAAGCACGTGGGTTTAAAACAGGCAGGTACTTAAACCCAGCTGTAAAAGACAATGAGATTCAAAACTATTTTATAGAGAAATTGGTTAACCCTTTATTTACAGAAGTCGTAACACTCTCTATGAATTATTCATATGCACACGTGTTAACCTTTGTTATCAATTAAAATTTCTTAACATTTCAGCCATATACCTAATGCCGTTCCTATATTTTTAATCGTATTTTTCAATATGTTTTATTTGTTAACACTGAAATTGCAAACTCCCTCATAGGCAAAGTTGATATTTTTTTTCTCTCCATCTTTCATTATATTTTAGATAGACGATAACAATGATAACAGCTGTTCTTGTGGTAATTATTTCTTTTGTTGAAGCAAGTAAGTTGCTAGTAAATGTAACAAATAAGTGGGATAGATATTTTGTTTTGTATTGTTTAGTTTGATCCCAAATAATGATTTTAAAAAATATAGGATAAGCCAGTTTAAACGTCAATGAGAGAGAAACCAAAGTAAAATATGAACTAAAAGTTGTTTTGTTAAGCTCTGGTGGATGGTTGTCTCATTGGCATTTATAACACATCTCCTTATTTCTATAAAAGTCTTCACATAATCCCCCATTCTATGGAGATATGTCCTAATATATATTATAACCATAATATCTTAGATAAGTTTTCACAACCACTGCTGGTGGACGTTAAATCTAGACCACGGTACACCTAAGATTCTATTTTGATAAATTATAATTAAGATAGTTACATAATTTAAATGATATTTGCAGCTGCCTTTCCTCGCTTATCATCTGTCAGATAGAATAAAAAAAAAGTTTATAAAAACAAAATCTATCCTGCCTTTCCTTTCCTTGTCACCAACAAATATTTACTGCATTTACTCAATTGAATTATTTTGTAATGTTGAGCACATCAATGTATTCCAAATAAAAGTAAGGAAAAATATACCTCACTGATTTATAAAGTGTTAGTCTCATTTAGAAAACGTTTGGAAATGGAACCGTTTAAGATACTATATGTATTTCTTGACATTAAAACTAATGCATTTCAATTATGTACATCAAAAATGATTGTTGCAAATTTTCAAATTTAAATACAAAAGAAACTTTGTGGATATACACGCGATACATGAGGGAAATACATTCCTTGATATTACTACTAAAGGGTCGATGCCTCTGCTGGTGGACTGTAAGTCCATGCAGGTATCACTAGCCCAGTAGCCAGAACTTCGGTGCTGACAGGAAAATTGGTTGATTTAAATCTACTATTAAAAAATTTCGATATCATGTTGACTTAAGGAATGTATATTCCTCATGCATAGCTCAGATTCCTTGTTCTTGTTTGGGTGTACTTTTTGTCCTTTTTTTTTTTATCTTATCAGCTCTTCAAAGTTTGTATTAGGGTTTGGACTTTCAAATATTTTGGCATCGAGCATTACTGAAGAGAATCTAATTATCTAAAATCGAAATGTGCATCTGGTGCAGTAAAATTGGTTCCGTTAATATTGTTAGTGTGGAGAAATATGACAGTTATATCGGCTACCTACATGATGACGCTAATTCGTGAAGGAGACGCTGAATATTTATCTATTAGGTCTTGATACTTTCCGATGAACTTTTAGAGAAAAGGGACGAAAAGTTCTTTCAAAAAACCCTGGCTCATTATTTTTAGGCAATGATTCCGATGTCGTTTTACAAAGTCTGAGTAGCAGCTGCAAGCTCTTAAATATCGTATGAAATGAGAAATGTATACTCCATACGCGGGGGAAGTTGGTATATTGCTGCTGAGGTGAGGAAAATTTATAATTTCAAAATTGAAATGGTCTCGTTTGTCCCCGAGGATATCACCAGCCCATTCATTAGTCAGCACTTCAGTGTTGACATGAATTATCATTGATATGGTCATAATTATAAATTAACTATTTACAAAGGAGTTGGTTCAATAACTTATAATTTTGGCCCTAAAAATCTGAAAATTTTTAACTACGACAATGTTCGTAGAATTTGATCAAAACATATGACAAAATGTCTTATTATTTATGCCGCGTGCTCAGCGGAGAAGCAGCAAATACCAATTTTAAAGTCCTTGGCTTGACCCGGTCGGGGGTCGAACCCACGACCTTTCACACTCGAGGCGAACACTCTACCACGAGACCACCGAGGCTGTTCAGAAAAAAAGGAGGAAAGCATTGTGGATTATTTCTTTTAGTAGAGTGTTTTTAATTTTTCATGTGGTAATTGGGTGTGAAGGGTGGAAAAATCGAAGGTTTTGATAGAATTTATTTCAGAGAATGATCGATATTAAAAAATTTCCAGAAGTTCGTGTCAGTTCTTTAGAATCTGAATTTTCGTGAAGATCGTTTTTATTCACAAGTATAATATGTTGCAGTCGACTCAAATCATTTGAAAGGTTTATTCAAACTTAAGAATTATTGTTCGTAACTTAGTCATACATGGATTCCAATTTTCAATCAAAGTCCATCACTGTTCCGTTGAGTTGTGTTCAAATACTTTCCAGATGATTAAGACATATTGTAGGTGAACAGAGTTACTTATGAACAAGGAAAACATACCATTAGTAGAATTCAACTAACCAAACCAAGTCAGTCATAGCTTGTTATATCGTTTCATTAGTTACAGTTCTCCTATAACGGACTGCATGCTTTTCATTTCATTTTTTGATTGGACAATATTTTATTGTGAATTATTTAACGTATTTATTTTATTTCCAGCAGCGGTCTATACTTAAGTGTTGGACAATCGTCCGGTTGGAAAATGAAAATATCATTCTAAACCAATTTCGGTAGAGCAATAACACATATGATATTTGAAGTCTTGTAAGCAAACCAAATTACAATTTATGAACTAAAAACAGCAAACGATCATTTAAATCATGCCAATGCACAAAACACTGTATACTAGATAGGTGATACTTATGGGAACTGGTAGTACACTGGCTGTGGTATCAACCTTGTCATCAAGCAAGCAAAATCAATGATCTTAAAATTATTTTTACGACGTTAAACCTTTTAAGGTTTACTCCAAGTTAATGATCTGAACACTTTGCTCTCTTCAGGACAGTAAGGCAATACCAAAAACATAAATCGACGAAAAAAATATACAATGAAAAGAAATAATAGATAACATAAAAACAAAAGCAAGTATATCTTTTAAATAATGTGTGCAATAAGAAAATTTCAATCTTTTTTTTCAATTTTTAAGGTAAAAATTGTCAAAGTGGTTACACAAAATGTAGAGACGGGATCCAATGTTTTCCTTTGACCTCTCTCTGTGACGGACGACACATGCATTGTACAGATGGCAGTGACGAAGACCCAGATTTCTGTAGAGGCAAGTCTCATATACAATATAAGAAATATTGAATAATGATGTATCTTTCTATTTATGATGAGAGCATGGTGAAGATTGCAGTTATAAACATTGAAACAGATTTCTCTAAGATTAACAATAAAGCAAAAAACTGACGAAAATCACCTTTTTAAAGGTTGAACACGAAGTGCCATGTTTTAATGAAATTAGTGAACGTTTATTTCAAGGCCATTACAATTGTGTTTAGAACTATGACAACAAAAACAAAAGAATAGTGTAAACAGTGAAATTTTCGCGCAGTTTTATTTTCGTTATTTTCGCGGTAAGAGTTGAAACGCCAAAATAAAACAGCCGCGAATAATTCAAGGAAAGTCGATTCATAAGCTAAAGGCCATACATGAACGTATATGAATAAAATATGTACACGACCACTGCAGAACACCGGATTTGCACACCACATATCGTTACCGAAAATCACAACTTTAGATGTATTTCTAAATGAAAGGCAATGTAAGAAATCACAATTTAACTCATCTTAGCCTAATTAATATGAAAGACATCTCAAGCAAACGGATACTACAGATATTGTTATATAAACAATTGTTTCAAATATGTACACAGCTGTCAATCAGTTTTACAATGATTACCTCATTATATCTGCTACACAGACTAATCAGATCAAAAGATCGATTTATTAATTCGCAGTAATCCTGACAACATAAAATTCATTCTTTATATGAGTCGATATGTCATTTGCTTTGTTTATTGTGTGTGTGTTTTATAAAGCAAACATGACTAATAACTTTAAACTACTTTCACATTAATGAACCGACAAAAAGGATTTCTGATTGATTTTATCACTTGATTTACGACACATGTAAAATTGCTTACCTTCCAAATCATTTGTTATAAAATACTTTTGTAGGGTACCGGGATATCGCGAATTCAAAACTGCGGTAATTTATATTTGGTTGGATAATCGTGAAAAAAACGGAGCGAAAATTTCCCGGTTTACAGTATTACAACTTTTGTTTTCCGACTTAAAAATTGATTATATTGACTTTGTTATCAGTATATTAAAACCATACTAAATATTATTGTTGTACACATATAAACATTCACGGTACTACAATCTGTCGATACCTATATTTTGCCATTGCACAAGGTCATGTTTTTCTCTGACTGTTAATGACGTTTTTACGTTAAATCCATTGGATGTTGGGTGTGTACTGATTGATATTTTAGTCATAGATACTTTGATTTTTTTTAGTTGTTATTGGCTTTGAACTTGATGTCAGTAACTGCTAGTACTCATAGATCTTTACTTACTGTCCCATGTTAGGGGGTGGGTTGGCGCCAGAAAACTAGTTTAACCCACCATATTCTATATGTACCTGTCCCCAGTCAGGAGCCTGTAGTTTAGTGGTGGTCGTTCATGTCTGTCATATTTGTTTTTCGTAAATTGTTTTGCTATAAATTAGCCCATGGGTTTTCTCAATGAAATTGTTTCATATTTTTCATGTCGGAGCCTTTTATAGCCTACTATACGGTATTTTTTTTCTTCTGATTGTTGAAGACCGTATGGTTGCCTATAATTGCTTTCATCCGCTTAATTAAAACTTTGATAGATAGTTGTTTCATTGGCAATCATACCACATCTCCTTATTTTTATATAAGAATATATAGCAATATTTAAGGGGGAGTTATGAAAAGTTTTTTAATTTCTGTTAACCTAAGCGAGTAATGCTTAAAAAGGGAATTAATTATTCCTAACATTACATTTTAAGCGTCTGTCTCGACCATTTTGATTGAGTTGATTGAACATGGTTAATTTAGAAAAATACATAGAATCTATAAAAATGGATTGCATTAAAATATTAACTTCAAAGAACTTTAAGAACTGGACTGAAATACCAAAATTAATTTTAAGCAAATTTGGAAACAATATATACTTTATCTTGATATAATCAAGGTTTCGATTAAAATAAAAATATAAAGACAAACACCCAAATAACTTCAGACTAATCCGCCAACAAGTTAATTGGAGAGATCAGTTGATTACATTTCTGAAAAAAAAAATTATTTCATAACTGAATAGATAGTAATATACAATGCATAATCTTTATCATCGATGAAAATGAACTATTACAGAAATTTTTATTAGACAAAAGCTAAATAAAAAGACAATTTGGATTACTGGATTCTTAAAATTAGAAAAAGCTATACCGAAAGAGTGGGTTGATATAGTAGCTGGAAAGTGTTCAAGGACAACTAATGCACTAACAGATTATGTATTTAATATTTATGACATAGATCACTGCAAACTGAAAATAACTAAAATAAAAGCAAGTGAAATTTACTTCATTTTTTCTTAAGCGGTCATCTCGGTAACAGACATAAGCGGTCATCTCAGTACCAAAATCTATGGCAATGAATCTATAAATTGGTCAAAACCATCAGGTCTCTGATAAAACGTCGGTATTCAGAGTCTCGGTATTCAGCACGAAAGAAGCTGTTAAATGTCTATCATCTCTTCACGATAAATATGTTATAGTTCTTGCGGACAAAGCTTTTACTACGAGTGTCTTGTAAAAGAATTAAATGGAATAAATGAGCACACAGGTAATCTCACATAAAAAAATATATCATTTGACAAGGATGAGATTTTGACGAATCATAAGTCCTTCATGGCCTCAATGAACATTTCATTGAACAGCAAATCTGAGGACTTACCCTGTTTGTATTGGAAACCTAAGCTTTACATAATTCCGTACAAACAATGGTACATTACCGGCTCATCTGCATGTTCTACAAAGGAATTTTCCATTAGATTGACAAAAATTCTGTCCGCAGTGAAAGAAAGTCTTCAGAAATACTGTGACATTGTTAACTCGCGTAGTGGTATTAATCATATGTTGATTCTTAAAAACTCAAAAGAACTTCTGGATAATTTTCTCGATCTTTCTCCGAAATTAATCCTTTCAAAACTTTTGATTTCTAAACCCTTTATACTACTATTCCTCATGTTATATTGAAAAATCGTCTTAAAGAAATAATCCACAATGCTTTTCAATATAAAAATGGTAGCGTACGCTATAAATTTATTGCTTTGGGATACCATACGGCATAATTGTTAACACTGAACAAAAAGGTAAAACATGCTACACAGAGGAACAAGTGATCATTATGCTGGAGGTTCTTACATATTTGACCTTTTCAACACATTGTCGGCATTCCTATGGGAACGAACTGTGTGCCTTTCCTTGCCGACCTCTTCTTATTTTCATATGAGTCGGAGTTCCTTCAGACACTTGACAACAAGAAAAATATCAAAAATGCCAGATCACTTAAGTATATTGATGATGTTCTTTCAATTACCAATCCAAACTTTTCGGATTGGGTTCCATTGATATATCCTCCAGAACTAGAAATCAAAGAGACAACAGACACGGTTTCCTCCGCCTCATTTTTAGACTTATACCTCAAATTTGACATAAGAGTTCATCTCAGTACCAGAATCTATGACAAACGAGACGATTTTAATTTTGAAATTATATATTTCCCCCACCTTAGCAGCAATTTACCAACTTCACCTGCATATTGGATAAACATTTCCCAACTCATTCAGTATTTCATAGCTTGCAGCTGCTACTCAGACCTTATCAAGCGCCACCAGTGTCTGAGCAGGAAGTTGATGAACCAGGGTTATGTCAAAGAAGGTCTCGTCCTTTTTCTAAAAAAGTTCATCGGAAGATTCCCATAACTTGTTGATAAATATTACGTATCATCTTCACAAGTAATACATGATGGTTTTGAAGTATAGATTCTAGGAACTGACGCAGTTTATCATCTCAATTACGTTTTATAGTGTTCTTTTTATTTGTCTTTGTATTTTTTTAACCTCTGCTGTTTATTTCATTTTTGGTAATATCCTTTTGACGTGGCTCGGGGTTTATACATCCTGCCATTGTGTTATTGTGCTATACCCGCCTATAGTAATTTTTATTGTATTCTTGTCTTTCATTTTTGCTTATGTGCTTTGTCTATATAGTGTCTTTATGCCATTTTTCTGTGTTGAAATAGTTATTTGTTTTTATAGTGGTTAAGATTATAACACAATGTTGACTGCTGTATCCAAATTTTTTACATTTTTACCTATTATGTCTGTTTGTTTTGCTCATACATTGTTGTCAATATATTCTTCCAAACAATTTTTTTTGGAAACAATGGAAAATTGTCCAGACTCAGACTGTAATCACTGTAACATTACAGAATAGTATAACCTTTTTTTTTTTATTACATGCCACTTTCTTGAAAAGTTTTGGAAAGAAATATCAACTTTGTTTACCCACAGTGATTAGGTTTTCAATACACAAAATACATTATTTGTCTGAATTTAGAACAAAGAATATCAATATATTTTCTGTATTCAGAACAAAGTTTTAAAATGGGCTAATTCTACAAAACAAATTGTTTAACACTGAAAGAAAATGTCTATAAGAAAAGATGTTTAGGTGTATTTAGATTATATGATTTTTTAGTAATGTGAACTTTGTGTATTAATTGATTTGTTATTTAATTTTTATATATTAATTAAGATTGTATGTACATTGCAATAGTTATATAATCTGACACTTATGTGTACAAGAACACAACATTTTTTTTATTGGTTACAGTATGACTTTCAATCTTTTAAAATTTATAACTGACTTACCTGAATAATAATCTAGATATAGCTTATATACAATATATTCTAAAATTGTTTAAAAACAACCGTTAACCTAAACTGGTTCGTTCAAACAATCGGTACGTCCAAAGCTTGAATGAATTATTTCTCCGGAGATTTTACCGAGGTTTGACGGTACTTTGTTACATAGCAACGTATATAATATCTAAAATTTTACCCGAACATGTTAACAAACAGAACAATTTGTTTCATGTTGTATAAAGCATAAAATTAATGCAAAAAAATCATATTCTAATGCATTACAAAAAGAAATGATACGTTAGATATTGAAAAAAACATGTATCACTTTGAAATAAAATAAAATTCCGCTCAACCTTATGACAATTTTTGGCGCATCAACGTCATGGCTGAACGTGACGTCATACAAAATAAAACCTTTCGTACTGATAGCTAAGGAGATATTTGTCAACTATAGATTTGACGGTAAAATTTAGCCAATGCTAGTATTGTTACATAAAATTGCTGGTTTGTAAAAAAAAAATACTCTTTTAATCATTATAAGTTGGTTTGCGACCACAATTCTTTGATTGAAGCATAAAATTGAATTTCTCCATGTTTACAGTGCAGAGTGCAGTATAAGACACATATCGTGAGGGTACCCAAATTGCACTTATTTTGACAGTTTTTTCACCTACAATTATTTATTATTAAGACAAAAGTTTCCACTCTGGGTTTATTTTGTAGATGTATCCTTATTTACTATATAGTTCCACCAATTTAGTTTTGAATCCATATTGAATCATAGAAAAATGGATTTGAACCGACCTCCAAACGATCCATGATTCTGTGATGAGGAGTACCCAAATTACATCCATGCTTAAATTCACATCCTTAAAAATCGAATAACAGATGTTTTGTTTTATTTCTTCAAATATTTAGAACAGTTTCCATATATTTTAATTTTTTCAGTGAATACTTCATTTGATGATATACTAGTATACAGTGAATGTTTTGTGCATATCTACATATATTTAGCTATGTTGAAAGACGTGCATAATGTCAAATCATTAAAATACAAATTGTTTAGTCTCTAAAAAAAAACTTGTAAGATTTCCGCTGCTTTTGATGCTACATAGGTACAATTTGGGTACTCGGTGCAATTTGGGTACTGTGACGTTACATTGATTGACTGATTGAAAAAAAAAACTCTCTTGACAAATCAGATTCTACAATAGATCGAATTCTAACGGCTGTCTATGAACAAAGTGAGCCTATAACCAGATTACCGTTACCATTATATTGACAAAATTGGGTGAGCAATTATAAAAAACGAGCCCTATCTTGGATAAGATATAAAATTCGGATAATCTCTTGTTTCTTTAACGTAAAATAATGATTTTATTCATTTATTGATGTTATATTAATATTTTTGTAAACGACTAACAATATGCCTTATTTACCTTAAGATTCCCTAAATTTTGTTATCAATGAAACGGGGACCTTCACTGAGATAGCTGTGTCATTTGGAGTAATTATCTACAGCGTATGAAATATTGTTGTTGAAAAAACAAAAAACTAAAAAAGAAGCAATTAATGAATATCTGTGAATGTCTTTGTGGTTTTACAAATATACATCAAAACAATATTCTTTCCCATTCGAGGCTTTTCATGTGTGGTATTGTGTTAAATAATGTTACTTAATTGTGGACATTTGATATTGATAAGGCTTACAATTATCGGCGAAGAGAGGCGAAAGATAACAAAGGGACATTCAAACTGATAAGTCGATAATAAACTGACAACGCCATTGCTAAAAGCGAAAAGGACTAACAGACAAACAACAGTATACAAAACACAACATAGAAAACTAAAGATTGAGCAACACGAACCCCACGAAAACCTGTGTGTGATACGTTTCATTTTCTTTTTTTTGTATTCAATATAATATTTACTTGTTTATGTTCTCAGAGCAATCTTGTGCTGATGGATACACTAAATGTGAAGATGGAGTTCACTGTTTTGAATCATCTGGTTTGTGCGACTCTAACGATTGGTCAACGAGGTATCATTGCAGTGATTTGAGTGATGAGGATCCTGAGTTTTGTAAAGGTAAGATAAAAAGTACCGACTGAAATCAAGACACCAAATTTCATACAGCCTTTCGTGCCTTGTCAATATTTCACAGTAGAACCCATGGTTTGATAGAAATTCAATGACATTATTATCCAATTTCTTTGAAATTATTTTTCCCGAGTCAAGGACTTTTCGTATAGAATTGTGCCTACATTCCATGACTTTTATAAATCTATGATGGTGTTGTATTTTCAACAAGAACACATATAAGTCATATGGCCTTTTTATTCTTTTCACAGTGCAGTCTTGTGCCGACGGTTATGCAAAATGCAGAGATAATATTCATTGTTTTCCATTAACTGGTTTGTGTGACAATGATACATGGCATTATACTTATCACTGTAGTGATTTAAGTGACAAAGATCCGGAGTTTTGTAAAGGTAAATATCGATAAATGTAGATTATGAGACAATTTCGCATTCGTATATATAATGTCATCAAACATATAAAATCGATGAACATTCTGTATTTGATACTTTCATTTAGCTATCAAAGTATATTTTGGACTGTATATAGATATAAGAAGGTGTGGTATGAGTGCCAATGAGACAACTCTCCATCCAAGTCACAATTTATAAAAGTAAACCATTATAGGTCAAAGTATGGTCTTCAACACGGAGCCTTGGCTCACACCGAACAGCAAGCTATAAAGGGCCCCAAAAATTACTAGTGTAAAACCATTCAAACGAGAAAACCAGCGGTCTAATCTATAAAAAAAAACCAAGAAACACTTATGAACCACATCAACAAACGACAACTACTGAACATCAGATTCCTGGCTTAGGACAGGTGCAAACAATTGCAACGGGTTTAAATAGGATGATTTTACAATGTAATGAATACATTTTTGAAAGAAACGCCAGCAGACTGGATATTTAACATGCTTGCTTTCACTTCATTTTAACTCTGGTAGATAGTTTTCTCTTTGACAATCATACCACATATCCTCATTTTTATTTCAAATATGGAATTAAAATTGATGAATGAATTGTCCGTCATTGTCCACTCTTGGTTTCTGAGAATTAATATTGTAATTCATCTAATGAATTGTATAAAAGTATTTTGATGCGGTACTTTTGACAGGGATATGTCCTATGAAATTGTGTTTGTTACAGACCATACGTGTGCTGATGGTTATGCTAAATGCAGAGATGGTATTCATTGTTTTCCATTAACTGGTTTGTTCAACGAAATTGATAAGGCTTACATTTATCGGCAATATAGTTACACACTTAAATATTTCTTTTTCTTTTATTTTTATTCAATATACATATTTACTTGTTTATGTTCTCAGAGCAATCTTGTGCTGATGGATACACTAAATGTAAAGATGGAGTTCACTGTTTTGAATTATCTGGTTTGTGTGACTCTAACGATTGGTCGACGAATTATCATTGTAGTGATTTGAGTGATGAGGATCCTGAGTTTTGTAAAGGTGAGATGAAAAGTACCGACTGAAATTAAGACAGATACAGCATTTCGCGCCTTGTCAATATTTGTCAATATTTGCGCTGGGATAAACATATAAAATCAATGAACATTCTGTATTTGATACTTTCATTTAACTATCAAAGTATATTGTGGACTGTATAGAAGGTTTCTACAATAGATATAAGAAGATGTGGTATGAGTGCCAATGAGACAACTCTCCATCCAAGTCAAAATTTATAAAATTAAACCATTATAGGTCAAAGTACGGTCTTCAACACGGAGCTTTGGCTCACACCGAACAGTAAGCTATAAAGGGCCCCAAAAATTACTAGTGTAAAACCATTCAAATGGGAAAACAAACGATGTAATGAATAAATTTTTAAAAGAAACGCCAGCAGACTTGATATTTAACATGCTTGCATTCACTTCATTTTAACATTGGTGGATAGTTTTCTCATTGGCAATCATACCACATATCCTCATTTTTATATTAAACATGGATCGAATTCTCCATCATTGTCCACTCTCGGTTTCTGAAAATTAATATTGTATTTCATCTAATGATTTCTATGAAAGTATTTTGATGCGGTTCTTTTGACAGGGATATGTCATATAAACATTTTTTTTTGTTACAGACCATGTGTGCTGATGGTTATGCTAAATGTATATATACCATCTTAACCCATTTAAATATAACGATAACAGATATGATGTTGAAAGTGTTGTCAGGAGAATTAATAAGTCAGAATGTTATATTTGAAACATTAACGGGCAGTTTTGTTATGTTTGGACGCTTTGTTTACCATATTCTATTTGTAAAAAGATTAAATTCCACTCTTTATTCTTCCCATATGTACTGGCAATAGTTAAATGATACATTGTAATAATTATTATACATTTCATATTGTTATACGCAAACTGACTTAAAAAATGGTTTCCGTTACTTTGTTGTTTCTAAACTTTTTATCTCGAGTGTTGAAGTTTGTGAATATCCCAGAGATAATTGCACAATGAAACCAGTTTTATAGATTACATCTATTTAAAGAGACTACAGTTAATATCATGCAAACACCCGTTTTTAACCTAACATCCTATTTTAAACCAACATTGTGATCATGGCTACCATATACGAAAGGCTAGGATATATAAAGAACTACTTTTGAGAACCTATCCTACTGCCTGTCGATACTTTTATTTTGGCATTCCACAAGGCATGTCTTTTTTGACTGTCCATGACGTTAACATGACGTTAATCTCTGATGCATGATTTTTTATTATTAATTGTTTTTGGCTTTTAACTAGCTTTCGGTAACTTCGAGTACTCTCAAATCGTACTTTCGTGTTAATTTGACCTGTTGATACAATTTGTAATGTATTTTTGTTATTTAATGTTTACTCATTCAGTGTTATATCTAGTCTCACTTTTTTAAATATATACCACCTTTGATAAGTGTTAAGTATGACGATAAATTTTCACTTTTGTGCTCGTACTAGTAACAACAAAATTATTTATTTTGTAAAAATTATTTCCATACTCCATGTTTACCTTATAATAAAATTATTTTTATTTACCTGTGTACGTTATTTTATTTGGCGGCATTTTGTCCAAGGTTATGGTTGTCTTTCTCATATTGTTTTTTTACATCTAACCCCCTTGTTTTATTAATTTTGTATTTACATTGTGGCATAGATCAAATTTATTCGTTCAGTGTATGTTCACTTGTTTTTGTTAATATGTCTTTTGAATGAGTTAAGCCATTTCAATTGATATTTTATAGTGTGTCTTTCTATGTTGTGATGTTACACTATTGTTTCAGGTAGGGTGAAGGTTGGGGCCTGTTGAAACGTTTAAACCCGCTGCATTTGTTTGCATCTCTCCTAAGTCAGGAACCTGATGTTCAGTGGTTGTCGTTTATCGAAGTGGTTCATAAGTGTTTCTCGTTTCTCGTTTTTTATATAGATTAGACCGTTGGTTTTCCTGTTTGAATGGTTTTACACTAGTCATTTTTGGGGCCCTTTATAGCTTGCTGTTCGGTGTGAGCCAAGGCTCCGTGTTGAAGGCCGTACTTAGACCTATAATGGTTTACTTTTACAAATTGTGACTTGGATGGAGAGTTGTCTCATTGGCACTCATACCACATCTTCTCATATCTATAAACATAAATCCTTAGGCTTTATATATGTGTTTTACTGAAAATGGAAACTAATTTTGTTTTGTTTTATTTTCATAAAGTAAAAAAGTGTCAAACTGGCTACGCAAAGTGTAGGGATGGCATCCATTGTTTCCCTCTGACCTCTCTCTGCGACGGGCGTCAAACTCATTGCACCGATGGCAGTGATGAAGATGTAGCATTTTGTAAAGGCAAGTATTGTGAATACAAATTCTTCAATAATGACATCAATATAACAAAACTAGGTGCTCGTGTCGATGGCAGTAATGACAAGTAATACATAATTCTGTAAATGGATCATCAAAACCGTTATTTGAAAACATGGAGCTCCCAAAAATGGATGATCCTAAAATGTTCAGTGTTCACTGAGTGAAGTTATTGATGAAATTAAAGGATTTCTGTCAAAGTAGTCCCTGTGACCAGGCATCATTAGTCTTGCAATATGCTTGTCATAATCATAAAGCAAACGCAGTTCTTAAAATACAACATTATGGGCTGCCAAATGTATTTGGATTATATATCTTTCTCATACATCTTGGTGCATAATGCAAATTTCTGAGGACTGATGTAGTCAAAAGGAAGAGTCCAGTAAGAGTACGTATCCAGGCCTTGACATTTAACCACTAAGTTTTTTTTACGAGGGACAGTAATATTTTGTTACAGGTATGGTAGCAGATAGTATACAGATAGGTGATGCAAGGTAAATCTCCCTTTCTAAAAATTACAAAGTGAATCAGTTTGTCTTGTGTGACCATGAAAATATTTCCAATGAATGTTACTGTGCATAACGCTGAAACCCAAAAATATGAAAAGACATGGATGAATGGGTAACCGAATACTTGAAGAGCAGACGACCAAAAAGAACATTAAATAGCCGAATTCCTCTACAGTTAAACTAAAGGAGCTGAATCTTTAACTTCTTAACCATTTTCCTAATCGAACAACGGATAATTTGGCAAAGGTAGCTTCCAAACAGTTTGTTTGTATTAAAGAGTATATAGATAATAAGTTCCCAAACACTTACAGAGATGCAATATTGAACTTGCATTATATTGATACAGAAACAGGGAATAGGTCTGCAATCAGAAAAATAATTGGTTCACATTTGAAAGCTACTGGCTATTAAAAATACATCTCCTCCAAATTTTTAAAATATGATGTCATTTAAAATTCAAAGCATCTAAATTGCTAGCACTTTCCTTTAATTCAAGTTTCGCTAAAGATTATATTCTCTAACCTGATGGTTCAAAATTTTGTGACTATGTTTATCGCATCTTTTACATTGAACTTGTAATAAAGAATATTAGATACAATTACGTCTGCTTCATATTGTAACTGTCATCAAGAAATTTGCATAGAGAATCGGTTGGGAACTATTCTTATGCCAAAAGAGATTATTTCAATTTTTCAATAGGGAACTTTCCGTTTCTTTATAGGAATATTCCGGCAGTACCCGTATATATAGAGTATATATCTCCCGTATAAGGAATTATCCATCATCTTTTCCTTTTTCTTAAAGTAACGTTGAAGTCATCCCTTTGAAGATTTACCGACACCATCAGGATTTGGTTGATCGTTGTGGAATTTTTGTGTAACATATTACAATGGATCGGTTCAAGTAGTCTAAGTCATCATTCCGTTCTTATTTCTTCTTTTGTTCCGTCATCAAATGTGACTTACATCGTATTGTTACTAGTCATAACCAACACCGCGGGTACCTTAAGGGAGACAAGAACTGTTAACCTTTCAATCCACAGCACTTGTGATCAACCCTTGTGACATTCATCTTTGGCAAAATTACCTTTAAATCAACTGGGACCTTCTTTATTTCACGAGGTATCATACCTATCCTAAGTCAGGAACCTGATGTTCAGTGGTTGTCGTTTGTTGATGTGGTTCATAAGTGTTTCTCGTTTCTAGTTTTTTTGTCTTGATTAGACCGCTGGTTTTCCTGTTTGAATGGTTTTACACTAGTAATTTTTGGAGCCCTTTATAGCTTGCTGTTCGGTGTGACCCAAGGCTCCGTGTTGAAGGTCGTACTTTGACCTATAATGGTTTACTTTTGCAAATTGTGACTTGGATGGAGAGTTGTCTCATTGGCACTCATATCACATCTTCTTATATCTATATAAACATTAAAAATGACTCGAAAGATATTGTCCGGAAACAGGTACGTTTTCTTTTGGTACTGCATTCATTAAAAGCCGAGTTCGGTTGCTATTAATAATATCCTTGAATATTGTGTTATCTTATGAATTGACAATGATATGCTTATATAAACTATTCGATTTACCCACAGACCAATCTTGTGCTGATGGTTATACTAAATGCAGAGATGATATTCATTGTTTTCCATTAACTGGTTTATGTGATAAAAATGATTATTATACGATGTATCATTGTAATGATTTGAGCGATGAAGATCCAGAATTCTGTAAAGGTAAGAATTAATAAAGAAGTTTATCAAAAACAATTATCAGTTCGCACATGATAGTTTAACAGTGGTAAATACAATGAAAACTTCCCTTTATGCTTATCTGTGTATAATAGTCATGGTGATAGCTCTACTTATATTGAAATTCCACTTATTTTTTTTTTATTATTCAATTTGTCACTTTTTGTTTCCTAAAATAAAAGCGAAAGATACCAAAGAGATGTTCTAACTCATAAGTCCAAACAAACTGGCAATGCCATGGCAAAAAACAAACAAAAAAACGACCAAAACAGTACAGTAAACACAACATAGAAAACTAAAGTCTGAGCAACACGACACCAACCAAAATTCGGGGGTAATCCCAGGTTCTCTTGAAGGTTAAGCAGATCTTGCTCCACATATGGCACCTGTGGTGTTGCTCAAATAAGTACAAATCGGATGATAAGTCTAATTCTGTAGGTCACATAGAGAAAAAGAGGACAGGAATTGTGGTTACGATACAATGTATTTTTTTTTAAATTTGATAACATTTGATAACATGCGTACCATTTTTATTGAATGATACGATGTAAATTTTTATCAACGTAGAATGCGTCTCTGAATAATTATTTCAATTCTTACTCAAAAGTTATTGCAGACATCTAGAGGTAGAGTAGAGTCTTCAACAAGACAAGAACAAAGTGTCAATACAATATGTGATGGACTAGATTTCCTCGAGGCAAGAAGAATTATGAATAATGAATATATTTCAGCAGGACTATACCAAATATCTATCATCAACATAAATGGCAAACACATGAAATTTGATTTTTAACTAGATACAGCTACTAAAAATTTTATTCTAAGCACACGCACGTGAGCAAGTGGCGCATAAAATTTATCAAGTGTTATGTGCATTTTTCCACTATTTTTCTTATATTTCAACCTTTTTTTAAATTTTTTTACATCAGTGGAATTACAAAATTTACATAAAATAAATCAATACTCTCATTATAGTTTCTATGATTCAAGCATTTTTAAAGTACTTAAACTGCTGATATGAAACTCCCTGTCGTTCTACAATCAACTGTATATCGGATAAAATTTCTAACGGCAATGTCACTTTTTTTAATAGGTAAACCATGTCCTGCAGATTATACCAAATGTAGAGATGGAGTTCATTGCTTCCCACTAACTGGACTATGCGATGGTTCCATAAGTAATTGTCTGGACCTCAGCGACGAAGATCCTGACTTTTGTAAAGATGATTAATAACGCAGACAAATTGGTTTTTATTAAATATTTGAAATGTTTTTCGTTCAATCTGAATTTTAGTTTTTTATGTATGAACTGGCTTGTTTGTTATCTCCGCAATGTCATTTATCATTGTTTTTTACAAGTATATTAAGGTAATCATATATAGAGGTAGGGCCAATATCCTTGGAATTTATTTCTCTCAGCAGCCATTTTCAGAAATTCTTTCAAACTTATTTTTGTAAACAGTTCACCAAACGAAAAACACCTGAATATAGACAAATTTTAATACAGTGTTTTGTTTATCTAAAGAAATGATGAGAAGGTTATCCTTAATATTAATTCGTTTGTTTAGCGACGTCCTTCGATGTTTAAACTGCCTTCAACAGTAACATGCAATACTGCATGACACCTTGATTTTATGGAAAATACGTGAAAATTGATTTACGTATATGATATAGACTCTTTACTTTTCATAACCTTTGCAAGTCCTCTCCACACAAAAAGGTACAATCTATACTACTAAAGGAAGAGACCGATTTCATTGAGTCGCAACTCCTCTGAAACCATACAAAGTCGGAAATATTTGTGATATGACGTATAAATGTAGTGTTTTGTACTTCCTAAATTTGTCATTGAAACAATTTTTTTTCCACAGAAAACGCCAAATTTTAAGAACATATTCGAGTTCGGAGACCGTTATCGATTCGTGTTTTATACGTTTTCGCGCATG